TTTTGACTATATAAGCAGCAGCACTCAACATTGAACATCAGATGCAAAGGGAGCACTTCGTCTTTATAAAGCCTATACCCCATTTGAGAGAGCGGGACATTCAGCAACAAAAACATTCAACTGCAGGATGTGATACATTATCCCAACCCAGTGGATCAGCTGGTTAGAATTATATACCTAGAGGAGAAACTTGGAGTCCAGTGAAAGTCATGGACTGCCAAAGGAGATGAAATGTTTAAATTTGACTTTGACTCCATGTAAACTCTCCCCCCTCCTCTTCCTTTTTTTTAAAAAAAAGAGAGTCTCTTGATATTTCTTTCTCCACCATACCTTTTAAAATACTCAATCAGGAAACGTGAAAGAAATACATAGGTAAAACTGAGATTCAAGAGGATATATCAAATTAAAAAAGCTAAATTCTTTTTTCCCTTCTGCCCCTGCAGCTCACTTTTAAATAATGAGCCTCATTTGCTTCATCTGATAAGCAGGGAGTACTCTTAGATAATGAAAAATATGGAAAGTACTCGGGAGGCGGAAGAAACATAATGTGACAATGTAGTGCTCTCAACAACTTTATAGAAAAGCGATTATACACCTTCCGACTTGGCATTTCAAAAACCCATTCCTGGACACAGTTCCCCAAAGGTGAGAATTACATTTGGCAGGTTGACTTGGAGATACGTGGGAGCTTAAACTTTATCTCCCTGTGTTTGTTGCATTGTTTGACGATGTTGCAAAGCAGCCTGACTCGGCAGTTTCTCCTACTTATCGCGCCAGTGCCAAAGCAGAGGAGTGCAGTTATCAAATGAATTCCCACATCAAAATTCACCAGCAAACAGTGCTTTGTTCCCTTCCTCCTCCAGCCCCAAATAAGTTCAGCTTCCAGCCTGCATTGTGAATGTCTGACTCACTGGACACTTTTTACAGCAGAGGGACAGCTCAGATAGGTTTGCCAGCTTCTGAAAATAAACAGTGCGCTAGTGGGCAAGAGCTGGAGAAAGAGCCTAGGATCCAGTATTTGGGGACCGCAGGGAGAAATGGAACCCAGCATTTTGGGATGGGTTGGATGGAGAGATGCATTTGGGCCCTGTGCCTAAGGTTTCACACCCTAGGGAAAGGGCATGCTATTACATACTTATATCCAAGAGGTATTTTTCTGTGTGCATTCATACTTCATATATCTTCACCTCTTGGGTTTCATTAAAACCTAATAATCTTTCCAGAAGCCTGCTTCCCTGCTTTAAGCTCAGCCTCCCTACGTACTCAGTGGCAGAGACCTTTGTCCATGGGTAGGCAAACTAAGGCCCGGGGGCTGGATCCGGCACAATGACCTTTTAAATCTGGCCCTCGGACGGTCCGGGAATCAGCATGTTTTTACATGAGTAGAATGTGTCCTTTTATTTAAAATGCACCTCTGGGTTATTTGTGGGGTATAGGAATTTGTTCATTTTCCCCTCCCCCCAAAAATATAGTCCAGCCCCCCCCCCCACAAGGTCTGATGGACAGTGGACCGGCCCCCTGCTGAAAAAGTTTGCTGACCCCTGCCTTTGTCTAATGTTAGGTAAGGAGATAAGGATGGAGACAGGAGGCATATATCAGGGTAGTATGGCCAGCTGAGAGGTTTAGGGGAGCCTTCATTACAGAGCAGTTTATAAAATGTTTACAATCCAAAACATAAGTCACATTTCAATGATTGGATAAGACCGAATGATCATGATCATTTGGGGGTTTTCCTTGGTAGGGTGGGGGGAAACACCTGCTGCCCAATGACAGTTATGCTAAAACTGGATCTCTCCGTTCATCTATATATGTGCAGCTCTAACTTCTAAAGCAGGGGGTGGTCAACCTTTCGGAGGTTGAGGAACACATGATCTCAAGATGGTGGATGGGGTGAAAGCCCAAAATGGGTGTGGCACTACTCTTCTCTACTATCTATCTATTCATTTTCTCTTCCAATCATTCTCTTTCTCTGAGATCCTTCCTTTCTTTCTTTTTCTCTCTCTCTCACATACATCTTCAAACCCTATATCCGCACTTTCCTGTAACCCCATTCACACAGTTCCCCTCGTTCATATCTCTGCTGAAACAGCTTTCGCTGCAAGACTGCTAACCACTGTCCTGAGCCACAGTCTTGGCCTTGTCCAAGGTCCTGAACTTTTCTTCCAGAATCCCTGGCCTGCTGCTCTCCATTTTGCTTGAACCATAACCTTCTCTTCATGGTGGACATTACTACAACTTAAATTGAATTGTATTTAACGGGATCCATTAACATTACTTTCAAATAGGACATATGACCACCATCTACTAATTATATCTAAGCCAATGTTCAGAGGGGCCTCCAGGTGACACCAGGATGTCGTGCCCAGCCCCCTAAATCCTCTGGACAAGGTGGCATCTATGATCTAAGCTGTGTGGGTATTACATAGTTTATACTATATACTTTAAACTATGGTTTGTTAACAAGCCACTGTCAGGAACTGCAGTTGGGTCCTGGCTTGTTTGAACAAACCAGCTTGGATGTAGTGAGGAAGTCTGGTTAGTTTCAAAGCAGAAGCTTCAGGGTGCCTCTTCATAGTTGAGATTTGCTACTTCTAGGTCACAGTGCTAAACCCTTACTTAGCGTTACATATGAAAAAGGCCTCTCAATAAGCTAGACACGGCTAGCAGTTATGGGGAGAGGAAGCAGGATTGCCAGCTCCTGCCCCTCTAACAGCAGCTTGAACTGCAAATATCAGCAAGTGAGATTTTCATGACAGTATTATCACTTGCTACCAATCAAACTGCTGTTGAAAGCACAGAATTGAAGGATCATTGTAAAGGTTTTCAACACCCAAGGACGACAGTGCCCTGGCATTCAAAATTAACAGCTGCTACAGTGTGTGAGATGGTAGCTATGCCTGACTTCATGGCTTTGCCTCCACAGGCATAAACACATCTAGTGGAGGCTGATCCATTAGGCAATAGGGCATATCCCCCATCAACCTCAGTCTGCTCTCAGCCTCTCAGCTGCCTGTCGTCTTCCTTGCAACCAGTCCAAGTGGAGGTACCACTTCTCAGCTCCCTTCTCCATAGTCCCAATGTTGTCCTTGAGGAGCACAGCAAAGAGATTAGTGACAGAACTAGTTGGCTCTGCTTTTCATTGGCAATGGTTTCACTTACTGTTGGTCTCCTTGCTTGGTGCCCTACCAGTCCCAATGGACACCAACTATCACTGGATGCAGTAATATGCCCATAAATTTTTGGATAAACAATCTAGCCTCAACAAACACTTAGAACAGGGGTGGAGAATCTGTGCCCCCCCCCCCAAGGTTGTAGGACTCTCATTCCCATCAGTACCTAGTTCAGCAACAGTGGGGGGGGGGATATGGGTTCCCCAACTTTGTCTTGGAAATTTACAACAAAATCCTGTACAGTTCTACTCAGAAGCAAGGCATGTTGTTTTCAATAGGGCTTCCTCCCAGGTAAATGCACATAGGATTGAAGCCTTTAGTGCTCTAGTATGCCTTTTCAAAAAGCTTCTCCAAAAGACTGACGGAGACTATGCTATCTAGGGGCATGCCCTCAAAATTAGGGAGTGCCCCTAGGCAAATAGGGATCATTGAAACACAAGTCATTTGTGTTGCATTATCCAATTCTAAAAGTGAATCAGCCACAGGACTTTGGGTTGAAAGAAGGGTTAAAACTGAGCAGACAACAAGAAACCATTTTACATTAAAATAGGACATCTTTTATTCAACTATACAGAGACCTAACCTTGCTCCCGTCTGAGGGGAAAAGAAACAGGTAATGGATTAGTCATCCCATGATGGGAAAAAGGAAATCAAACTGATTCTATGCAGAACAACAATGATATGCATCATGGCAAAATATTTTGTTAAAATTGGATTAAGGCTCCAAACCAGTTTCAAATCAGAATTTCACTCTTTAATGTTATTTCTCTTGAAAGTTCCTGGGGCTTCTTACACTGTTTCCTGTGTCTGTGACTTCCCTTTTTCCCTCACCTGTTTCACCTGAGTCACCAGAAAGCTCAGCTAATCCAGCCTTTCCAGTCATTAGTAGCCTGGCAACCAACTTTTTCCCTTATAGCAGAGTTTTGTGCTTGTCCTACCTGTTCTTTACAGAATTTCAAAAAGAGCAAGCCAGAGTGAAAGATGCTGTGTTCAATGAGAAAACAAAAGACCTAGAACCAAAATAGGGCTAGCTTCCTTGGCTGTCATATTGGTTCATGGATTTTAACAAAAGAATGAGAAAACTCAAAGGCATGTACAATGCGGGGTGGGACAGGCACAATTAAAGAGGCCAAAGAAATGGTAGAAAAGAAGGAGGAAGAGATGCAAGTGGAGTGTAGCCTGGGGTAAAGTCTAGAGGATCAGACAGAGAGGTCTGGAGGACTGTATTCAACCTGCAGGCCAAAAGATGCCACCTTTGATATAAAGAGAAACCAAACAGCATAGAAGATATCGGGCTTGGCCAAATCTCTGCTGCACTGAGCCTCTTTAGGAGAGATAGATGCCATATATGAGAGAACTGGTCTTTTAGCTCACGTTGCTCTGGTATCTTCCTACCAGGCAATTTCTATACATTCAGCAACCAAGAACTGTACAATTGGTTCTTTGTGCAGGTCACCCTTATGAGAACACAACTGTTGATTGGAGTAAAAGCTTAAGCTCCAGGTTAAAGGTTTAATAAGTAATTCCAGAGACTGCTTGCAAATTGTGCCACATCATCACTGCTCCACCAAATGGGCAGTTGTGTGCCCTCTATCACAGCAGCACACCAAAACAATATTTAGAAGCTGCTGCTCATATAATGGAACCAAATGGGAGGAAAGTACCAGTGGTGTAGGAACTTCAGGGACAATACCCTTCGCCTGATGGTGCTGAATGCAAGAGCTTCTTTAACTACAAGCATGAACTCTGATTTTGATTAAGTCAGATAGTGGCTATGGGTGGAAAGGACCATAAGGGTCTCCTGGTTCAACTCCTTGACATACAGAAACCTTTTGCCCAACATGGGACTTGAACTCATTACCCTGAGATTAAGAGTCTCGTGCTCTACCGACTGAGCTATTTCAAAGTGGTCTGAAGTAGCACAGAACTGATGTGCATACTGCAGCAGTTCCTCTTAATTGCATTTTTGAGCAACCTCAGCCAAAGTGATGTACTTTGAAAATAGAGGAAATACATACTTAGTGCTGCAATCTTGTGTACACTAACCTGGGAGTATGTTTCACCAAGCCCAGTGGTGCATGCTTCCAAGTAGACACACGTACAAGATTACGCTGTAAATCTATCAACTAGGAATCAACAGAGACTCTTGCAACCGAAGAGCGCGTGAGTGCTTGAAGATTGTGTTTCTTTTGAGCCCTACAGTTTACTAACATCACAAATAATTATTCTCATCTGGTCACAGACAATTTCTGATAATAGGCTCTCAGCAGGAGCCGTTTTCTGAATCCCTAATTGCTCCATGGAACAGAAGAGACCAGATTTACTACAATTACATTAAAAACACACACACAGGGCAAACATTTTGCGGTAGCATCTACCTTTCAAAAAGAAGATCAAACGGGAAAAGAACTGCCAATAATGAATTTGATTTGCAATTTAACCATCACATTAACTCTTTTAATTAACACTTGTAAACCATACTGCATTCAGATTAGAGTTATAGTCAGAATACTCCACCACCACCAATATTTGCTGCTCAATTGGCCCACTGAATACAAGAGAAACTGTCACCACCTATTGGTCTACACATTCTCAGGTCTTTCAAAGCAATGTTTTTGTCCTTGTAATGAATAATGTCTGCTAGTTTTTTAAATGCTGCAATGCAGCTTGTCTTGATTTTTAAGCAAGAAATTGCACTGATTGGTTTTTAAAGTTCTACTTCATGTTTTGATGTTTTAATTGCATTTTGTTTATGTTGACCACCCAGAGGACTTTGTTGATTGAATGGCCAGCAAATGTAAATAGGCAAAATAGAAATGCGCACATTGATTTCATTAAATCCATGTCCCCAAATTCTACCCTCCATAGAAGGGTTCTTTGTCAGTCATCATTTTCACCTTGGAAGACAGAACCGTCCCTGATAAAGAAAAAAAAAGTGGATTTCTTGTCAAAGGTAGTTTTTGTAAATATTGATGTGACTTTATTTAAAGTCATTGTCTGAATTTCAATTGAACCGAATTTGATTCAGTTTACATCTGTATACTAATTCTGAGTGCTCAAGACATGGAAAGTGGTATATAAAATGTTTAAATAAATAAACCCATAGAGAGTATGCATGCCTGCAATTGAATGGTGGAGGGCAAAATGAAGACGGAAGGAAAGTTGCTTTGTCGCTTCAGGCAACAAGAGGATGTGGTATTCGATATTAGACTTGCAGAATATCTTCTGGTAGCATATGGTGCTGGGGTACCATATTTTTCTGTGTATAACATGCCCCCATGTATAAGATGTCCCCTATTTTGCGGGACCCCTCTGGGGGTGGCCCAGAGTTGTCAAGCTTTTTTAGGGGGGATTATCAAAAATCGCTCAGCTGCCAAACCTACAATGCCACTCACACGTATCACAAACGCCTCCTATCCACTGTCCCCTCACCAGCAGAAGCCGCCAAGTGCCCGCCCAACTGCCACAGCTACAGCCAATCAAGCCCAGTCCTTGCTGCATCCAACAATAACATGCGCAATAGCCACAAACACTCTCTGGCTTCCGGAAGCAACATAACCCCCCCCCCAATGCACTACCCGTGTATAAGACAAGCCCCAAATTTCAACATATTTTAATAACAAAACCTCGTCTTATACACAGAAAAATATGGTACATATCTTTCTTGGCACTATTCTTCTCCTTTTTAAAGTCTTTAAAAAATACTTTTTCTTAGGCCTTTTCTAAGTCTTTAGTGCCAATATGTTTATGCGGCTTGAGGGAAATCCCAAGTTCAAGTCTTGCCTCAATGATGCATTCACTGTTTCCTTGAAATCCTCTCTTTCTCTTTCACTGACTAGCTCTGCCTCAGTTTTCCATCTGCCATGCTCCAATGATAGTACTGATCCAGGGTCAGCCCAAGATATTTTGCTGCCTGAGGCAAGGAAGAAAATGGAAAACTGAGTAGACTAGCAGATGAATCTTCCTTCAGCAAGAGCAACAGGACAACATCCTCCACCGTACTTGAGGGCACCAGGCTTGCTTAGGAGATGTACAGTAGGCCACATGCAGCATTGTACTATCTGCCAATACCTTGCAATGACACCACTTCCCTCAGAATTTGCCACCTGAGGTGGTCACCTCACTCTGTCTAATGGGAGGTTTGGTCCTCTGCTCACCTACCTTATAAACTTGTTGTATGGATTGCTGAGATAACGTATGTGCAGAGGCTTACCTAGGGTTGGTGAAACTGGCCTCCGCTGTGAGCACAGGTCCAGTGTGTGTGTGTGTGTGTGTGTGTGTGTGTGTGTGTGAGTGTGCACGCGCGCATGCATGCACGCACAGACACAAAAATCACCAGTCAGACTATGGAGTTTATGGTGTATTTATGTGTGTTGTGATATGCTGGCACTGTCACAGTGAGATCGAATGTGGGAGAAGCTTCCTGCCCTTCTCGCATCATGACACAAAAGCATGTGAATCTTTCTGACCTTCCTCTTTGCCTTGCCCTCACTCCAAATGCTTTGAGTGCTAGGGTCACACAAAATGTAATAATTTGTAATATGGCTATAGCAGTAAAGCATTTTTTTCCCTGGGGGCACCACTGATACAGCACAAGGGACTCTAGGTACACCTCTGTGTATGTGAAGTGTTCAGAATGCCATTCTATTCAACTTCTCTACCCCGCGCCTTACCTCAGGGTCATGGGTTTGAAGCCCCAATTGGGCAAATGATTCCTGTATTGCAAGGGGACTAGATGGCTGTTGTGGTCCCTTTCATCTACAGTTCTGTGAATGGTTACAATGACAGCCTAAAGGCTTTCACTGTTTCTGTCTCAATAGAAAAGATGGGCAAGAGAGCTCCCTTGAGAAGCGAGACAAAAACTCAAAGGGGTGTGGCATTTTGTAAAAATCCATCTTTAGAAGTAGAAAAACACAAAGCCTATTACTTTTTCATAAACATCTGGGATTTTTAACAGAAATCCGCAAGTGTCTGGGAAGGTAATAATGCTCTTGTGCATTTCATAAAATTGCTGTAATTACAAACGAATCCACCCACACATGTAGTTTTGGAGTTTAGAAATGTTTCTGTCATGTGCCTCGTTAAGAGGCTTCTTCCTTTTAAACTTATGAAAGGCACTTTCCTTTGTAGGGTCTGCAAATGGGGTGCGTAGCTCACAGAGCTTCACTCATTGCTACAAAACGTGTTCTCCATCACATGTGCTTTGTCATTCATTTCTGAAAGGTTTGATCCAGTAAACCAGATCTGTGAAGCAAGGCTGTGTGACAGAATAGATTTAAGATAGCCACTGTCTAGAAGCATTAAAAAAAAAAAATCTGTCCAAGTGCCCGGGTATGAAATCTTTATTTTGGGGAAAAACACATGAAAAGAGCCATTCTGAGTGGAAGCCTTAATCATAAAAAAGCCAACTATAAAGGAAAGAATTGTAATGCAAATGTAATCAAATTCTAACAAGTGTGCCTGAAAATACCTGTTGAAAGAGAGCGAGAGATGGGGGTAGGAATGATTAAAGAACATAATCTCGGAATCAAACTGTGCATAAAATCGCAGTGAGTCGCATTAAATAAATACACGTAAGAGAAATAAGCCCATTAAAGGCATTACTATGTGTAACAGTATCACACACTTAGCAATGCTTGCCAAAGTTTGATTCACAGAAAATAGGGGAACTAGGGGCTGGGAAATCAAAATGCTGACCCAGGTATTGTTTTACAGTTTGTAAATTTACTTGTTTACGGTGTGCCATTACAAATTTGCAAAAAGGGATAAGGCCACATCCATAAAATGTTAGTATGGTATCAAAAGGTAGATATAACAGACACCAAAGCAATTTTGTAATCCTAATAAATTATTCCTCTTGCTCTGCCAGCTGTCGTTCAATACTACAGTATAATGAAACAGCATTTGCATTGCTCTGTTTTGAGTTCCTCTTTCATAAAGTATCCTGCCTTCTCGGATCTTGAAGGAGAGGATGAGAAAGGGAAACCAGGGGCTGGTTCAGACAGGCAATATTCATCACTTGTTGACTATAGCATCAAATGATGTATTGTTTGTGTGAATGAACCACCACAGATCAAGCTACACATATCAATGTGAATTATATTTCATTACTAAAAGCAAAATGTAAAAGGCTGTAAATTTCAGCTAAGACAATAAAGGCAATCTGAAATCTCTGCTCAAAATCAAGTCACAGTAGCTAAAAGGCTCTGCGGAATAAAAGAAGCAGTTTTCCATTTGAATGGTAGGAGTTAAGACTAATGAATGTTCACTGTGAATTTTCCACAGTGTCAGTGCCACCACAGAAAAGGACCTGCTCCATGGGCCTAAACAATCTAAATTCATTGTGTGAAAGAATATGTAGCAAGGCCTCATTCACAGGTTTCAGATAGCAGGGAGGAACATAGAATCATAGAATTATAGAGATGGGTGATGTGAAAATAAGAAGGCTGGACCTCTGGTTAAGATGGCAACTGGTCAGATAGCTGGCTCTGGGGCTCCGCAGATCATGTGGTTTTAATTTAGTTTTAATTGGTTTTAACTTGTTTTAAAATCAATTATTTTATCAACTATTTTTAATTTGTGGAGTTGGAAGGGTTTCAGAGGGTCATCAAGTCCAACTCCTCACAATGCAAGAATCCTGCCCACAGCCATTCTTGGGTGGACTTGAACCACCAACCTTCTGGTTAACAGCCAAACACATCGACCCATCGCACCACCGGAGGGTACAGGAGAAGATGCTCCTGAGTTCGAGATCACATGAACAGTGAGTAGAGATGGTTATGCCTGGCAAAATCAGTTACCAGGAGTAGAAAACAGATAATAAGTATTTAGGCATGCCCTTGACATCATTTGTGAAATGCACATTGTGGCACCAACAAAATCGTGTGGCTCATCACAGTCAATACGATCAAAAAACGATGTGGGCGAATGAAGTCAAGTAGAATGATGGCAAAGAAGAGAGAAAACAAAAAATGTACTAAGGAGTTCAGAAAACTCCAAAGCAAGCAGGGCATTTCAGCATTTATTAAACAAGCTAAGCAGTTTCATTTCAGCTCTGTATTTTACCATCGAACGCTCAGCTAACGTCTTTGACTCATTCTTGCCTATTTATACACAGATCAGGCTTGCAATACGCCAGGCCTAATCACTGTATATATGCTGTTCGACATTTTGCCTGCCCCAATAAAATGTGCCCAATTTTTCAATGCATAATAGCCTAGGGGGGTTGTGAAAAAAAGCTCTGAAGTTATTTTCCAGGTTATGATGTTCTTTGATGTTACGGTAACACTTCTGAATAAGTAAATATTTGCACGAGAACCAAGTTACAGTGAAAACCTCACTCTCCAAAAGATAAATCCAGAGCTGGTTTCAAGCCAGCCGGTATCGCTGCCATCATTTATCCATCAAAATTAAATCCACGTGTGGGTGAAAAACCAAGCTTTACGGGAAAGATTTTACCTCCTCCAGATACATTTTATGGATATGCTAAATGTTCAATGTAGCTCGTATACCCAGGACCTAGCCTCGCGGAATGATCTTAATTCCACATGGCAGATGGCTCTGCTCTACAGTTGGAGACTTCTAACAAACCATCCAATACCTTTCTAGGACTCTGCCTGATAGAAGCCACATCCATATTACTCAAAGTGGATGATGCGACAGAAGCAATGGAAGCACTGGTTTTGTGCAGCCACCCCAAACAAGAGGAGGGCTCCTACAGAAGCAGTCAGAGGAGCCACCTGTTGCTGTTGCTTACTGGGCGGTAGCAAGGAGGTTGGTGAGCTGCAAATGAACCAGCAGGAGTGCTAAATAAGCTCTGCCAATGCATTCCCATCGCACTGAGCTCCCTGCCACCAACCCCTCCACTTCCAGGTGAGCAACAGTGACCAACCTGCTGGGAAGCTAATGAAGCAGCTCATTACTCAGCCAGCCTCTTCTAGAAGTGATAGTACTGCTGCCCGGTCAGTTCTTACCATTGTTCCCAGTTACTCTCTTGGCAAACGGCAAGAGAAATGGCACCAGAATGGGGCTGCAAAGGAAGAGATGCACCTGCGCCCTTGGGGAATCCTGTAGTAAAAACAGTGTTGGAAAAAAACCCCTATGTTATGACCTTCGCCTGAATCAGGCTCCTCCAACTCCCTCATCTCCTCCCACCTTCTCATCTGACCACCCACTACATTCTATCACCATGGGACTCATGTGGAGCCTCTGTGCTCTGTGACATCACTTCAGATCAGCCAATCAGTGCCAGATTCTTCAACAAGTGCAGAGTGTGATACAGATTGCCTTTCAGCTTATATCACAGGGACCCAACACCTTCCCCTGAGAGTAGTAGCTCTTCAGCCCCCTTATTGTGAAACCAGTTGAGAAGCTCCACTTTCCTTAGATCTATCAGGATTTTGTAACTAGCAATTCACAGGTGTCCTGTGCTTTTGGGGCTGCCACCGGGGGAGGAATAGGATTTGGTACAACCCACTTGTTTATGTTTCTCCTAAGGCCACATCTATTTCCAGCCACATCCTTTGTTCCGGGATTAATGATTTTTTTTCTTTAAAAAATATTTTTATACAGTCGTACCTTGGATCCCGAACTCCTTGGTACTCGGATGTTTTGGCTCCCGAACACTGCATACCCGGAAGTGATTGTTCCAGTTTGTGAACGTTTTTTGGAAGCCGCACATCTGACGGGGCTTTTGTGACTTCTGATTGGCTGCAGGAGCTTCCTGCAGCCAATCAGAAGCTGGGCTTTGGTTTCCCAATGTTTTAGAAGTCAAACGGACTTCCAAAGCAGATTCCGTTCGACTTCCAAGGTACAACTGTATACTGCTATTCATTTAAAAAGTCAAAATGGTTTATGATAGCACATAAAACTATACAATTCAAACCATATAAGAAGTTAAAAAGAGAGACCAGTGAACTATTGTGAAAATATGTATTCTTATTGCCTGCATAGGCCTGAAGAAAGAGAAAAGTTTTCAACAAGCATTTAATAGCTGAAACAGAAAGCACCTGCTGAATCTCTGTTGGCAGAGTGTCCCACGATATTGGATAAATGAAACTAAAGTCTCTGCTTCCTGTTGTTATCAGATGAGTCTCGCCAAGTTGGGGAATGACCAGTGCTACTCCTGCAGATGTTATCAGTGACTGAGCTGGGATATAAGGCTTCAGGTCGCTAGGGTACCTTGGACGTAAGTTGCTCAGGGCTTTGTAAATTAACTCTGCAAGATGTAATTCACTAGCACCTGAATGGTGACAGGTTCCTTGTCCCTCATTTAGAAAGCATCTAAGTTTCCCATTGCTTCAACCTCAAAGGACCTGGACATTTGTAGTTCTCCAATGAAGTTAAGGTTCTCAAATGGACCATTTTTAGAGACTCCCTGTCCTACTCACCTGCCCCGTACACCGAAGAGTCCCAGGGTTAGTTATGGGAAGCATTACGCAAACCCAGTTTAAAATTTGTACTGTAGGTGTTTCAAAGGGGATTAATAAAAAATAATAAAAACTTGCCAGCAACAGCTCGCAAAAGATTTACAATGGAAATTGAAGCACCTGAATCCTTGACCCCTGGATTATTTATATTACTATGTTCTCTATGATCAAGACCTGCTGATTATTGCTATACATATCAAAATGTCATCATAAAACCTTTTCTGATTCAAATGAGATTTGGGTGGATTTAAATCAAAGCTCCTCACTTCAAACCCTTCTCAAGTGCAAAAAGGAGTTATTGATTCCCATAAACCAGGGCATCACTTCTACATCCCTTAAATTCTGGTGGCATAGGGAGACTGTGCGCGGGCTGCTTCTCCAGTCTGAGTCACTGCCAGGAAATCTTTGAAATAACACTGTTTTCGCAAAGGGGGAAATCCATTTCAAAATAATAGCAAGACAAAATATTAGTGATCCACTCCTTGGAGTTTTGGAGATTAGAAAACCTCTTGCCCTTTAAATTCCAGCTTTCAAAGAACACTATGGAGAATTGCTTGAGCTCTTAGCTCCTCTATCTGTTTGGCTTTGCTCTAGTGGCGAGAGCATCGAGTGCGCGGCTGAGTGCCAGGCTGAATGCCTTTAAATAGAAGAAGCCAGACAGACATTTTGGGCTGGCTCCAAGATTTTGAAGGCCCACAAGCAAGGCCCAACAGCAAGTGGGCAGGACGTGTTAAGCAAAGGACTGCTTTTATGACTGTCCACTGTCTCCTCCTCCCGCCCTCCCTCATACATTTAGCGTTTTCTTCAGTCCCTGCACCCTTCCCTAGGGATGGGCAGATCCTCAAAGTACAGCTTGGAGACAGCAGCTATTTCTGATACTGGGTTACTGATTAAATGTTGAACAAAATGGTTCCTTTGGTGGTAGCAGCTAGAAGCTGAATGTTACCAGAATGTTTGCTTTAACTTCTTTTATGTTACTCCTCTTCTAAGATGTTGAGTAGTTTCCCCTGGGGAAGAACAGAAAATGTACTCAGAACGTGTCAGTAAATCTGACAACTTTGTAAACAAATCCTCTTGCAGAAATTGGTTTGGCCGTTTGTTTGTTTGTTTGTTTGTTTTTCTTCCATGTGGTACAGCCCTCCTTCTGTGTGCACCAAAACACAATAGACACAAGCCCACCTCAAGTTAGCACACACAAAAATGCCAGGCTGCCTTAATAGCATTGCTTCCACAAACCCTTTCAGTTCACATATGTATGCTAAATGGGGCTGGGTGAATTTAATGATAGAAAGTGCTGCCCAGAACAGCACAGGAACATATGGAACTGCCTTCTGATAGACTAATTCATTGGCCCGCCCACCCAAGAATTGTCTATAATTGGCATTTGGCCTCCATTTTTTGTGTGCAGGAATCTCTTAACTGGAGAGGTCAGGGGGGTGAGCCTGGGATCTTATGTATGCAAATAATGTGCTCTGCTCCTGAGCTATGGTTCCTTTTCCTTCATGAACATGGGGAATGTTCTTCTGATGTTCAGGAAGAGGAAGGGACAGACCCTATAACCTGAGTTACAGGGTGACATAGAGGGTGAAGCTTCTAGCAAAGGGTTTAGGCTTGAATGTGGGATGGATGAACCAGAAACAACAGCTGATTGGGATGTGTGGATTGTGGTCCATATAAAGGCATTGTTGCCCCATCCAACAGAGGTAAATGCTAATACAACAGGTGATCTATACATGTCCCCAGAGCTGAAAAGGCTTGAGCCTGGATATAATAATGCCTTGATAGCTCAGTTGGTTAGAGTGTGGCACTGATAATACCAAGATTGTAGGTTCAATCCCCATATTCCTGCATTGCTGGGGGTTGGACAGATGATCCTCGGGATCCCTTCCAACTCCACAATTCTATGATTCTATGAGCCAAGGCTAGACTAGACTTCTGAGTCCATGACAGACACAAAGCATGTGTGTACCTATTTGCACATGTATTTATTTCTATTGGGTTGGAGCCCATGTTTGTGGTTAGAAGGCTTCTGAGTGACTTATCAAGCTACCGTGTGAGATGATTGGCTAGACATCACGCACTAGGGAACCAAAAGTTCTAAGACGGAATTATTCAGGGAGCCAAGACACATGGGCCATTCTAGACTACTGAGCCCCAAACTACATATTACAGTTATTCATTCATGGCTATATTTCTTTAGAAGAAAAAGCACCTGTGGGACCTCAATCCAGATCAAGGCCCACACCAGCTTTCTGCCAACCCTTTCTCCACCATCCTGAAGGCATGCATTAATGCAAACAGCACCTTCAGATTCAAACAGCAGACAGGGAAGAAGTGATTTTCAGCAGTAAATTGGTGCAGGGCCCTGATCCATATTGGAAACCCATTCTGGATTAGGACCCAGCCCATATGCCAGCTAGGGTGGGTGGGGGTTGTGGTCCAAAAGATCTGGAGGGGACAAGTTTGGCAAAAACTGATAGTGAATCAAACTTTAAAAGGTGGGTTCTGTTTCAGTTCAGGTTCATGAGTATATAACTCTCCAGTCTGGTTCTGGTTCAGACATATGTACCAGCTTTAAGAAACTGGACTTGTGTGGATGGTGTCTTTATGTAGCTTAGTTGCTAGGTGGCACTAGACTTATTTTATGTGGCTGGAGGCACAAGATTTCTATTCCATTCCATTCTGCTAAGGGAAACAATGAAATTTCCATCTAGCTTCCTGACTAGTGTGTCCTCTAAGCCTTCCGTGACAAATTTGGAACCAATTTGAACTGTAAATAGAATCATTAAATAAATAAATAAACTTTTACAGTCACAGTGTAACTCGTAGAAAATGAATGCATGATAAATATTTAATTTGAGAAATACAGTGGTACCTCAGGTTAAGAACTTAATTTGTTCTGGAGGTCCGTTCTTAACCTGAAAATGTTCTTAACCCGAGGTACTATTTCTGGGTTAGCGGAGTCTGTAACCTGAAGCATCTGTAACCTGAGGTACTACTGTAGGTATTTTTATTTTTATTTACCTGCAATTTACGTGCACTAATGCTATATCCTCCTGAACTTTCTCAGTTGTATTTGACAACTTAGTGGATTGAATGAATTTCAGTCCCAAATTGTTCCTTTCTATATCAACTAGCAACACAGTTTTAGCTCATAAATGCCATTATATAAATCTGTGCAGGCAATTCTTATGTTCTTATTTTCACTTTTACAGACATGAAGCTCATTGATAAAGTAATCCAGGTAAGAACCAATACATTTATGGGCCTCTCTTTGTTATTCTCAGCCCTCTGGGGATTAGTTTGAAGTAGTAATCTGAAAAATCAATCACACATACATCATTTGAAATATAAGCTTCGAGAATTTTCAAACTATAGTTTCGTTAGATTAGCTTATTCTTTGTCTTCAGCTGAGCAAAGCAATTTGTATTTGGGATCAAAGTAAATGCCAGAGTCATGAAAATTACCAAGCTCTCTAGCTCCTGTCTGACTCTGCTGCTGCAATGATTACCTATGAAATACAGCATCTTTTGCCTGCCTTTCTACAACTGAAGTATTGGGGGAGAGGGGACAAGCTCCTTCTACTCACGCTTAAAAGAATCTCTTGGATTTCTTCTCAGAGAAAGTGGTTATATTGTTTGATATTTATGGGTGCAGATCAGTTTCAAGGCAGTCAAGAAATTTTACAACTGGCTTTGTCCTGTTCTGATGATTTTGGTCAAGTCCCCTCCCCCACCCCAATTCCCCCCAAATTGGGAAATTTCTGAAAATTGGGGACAGGCAGGAGAACTTTGGTGAAATATTCAGGAGTATATTGGCAGCTTACATCACATTCAGAACAGCAAAATTCATTGCAGTACCTTTGAAAATGCTCTCAACATTGAATGGATCTAGGTAAGGGTCTTCATATCCAGCTAGGGATGTTCATTCTGCACCATCTGAGCTTGAGCAGGTGTAAACCAGACTGGTGCATCCTCCATATTTTACTTATTCTTATTCTCTGAATTAATGCTTCATGTGGAACTGAATTGTTACAGCTGGGGTGGCCAATGTGGTGCTCTCCAGTGGTACTACGCTGCTGGATTACAACGCCCATCATTCTTGATCTTGGCTGGGGCTGATGAGAGTTGGAATCCAACATCCAACTGGACAGGGGGGACAATACCTTGAGGTAGAGAACTTCCTTCACTGAAATTGCATACCACAAAATAGTCCCACTTAAAAAAAAAAAGTAGTTTGGCTACTTCAGTTTTACTGTGCCAGGATGGAGGTCTGACCTTTTTAACTAGTTTTTGGATTTCAGTTCAGTTTTGGTTACCCACCCCCACCCCAACCCACATATTTGATCAGCACAAGACAGGAAGTTGTCTTCAACAGCCTCTGTTATGCAGCATCCTGAATAGTTAGATTTTACAGTGGTTCTCAACCTGTGGGTCCCCAGATGTTGTTGGACTACAACTCCCATCATCCCTGAGCTCTGGCCTTCCTAGCTAGGGGTGATGGGAGTTGTAGTTCAACAACATCTGGGGACCCACAGGTTGAGAAAGGCTGGGTTAGAAGTACTAATGGAAGAGCTAAACTAGCAGGATTCAATCCGTTCTTGTGAGTTTTGCTGTAATTTTATTGCCGTTTTGATAGTGTTAGCAGCCTTGAGTTTGCTTTCAGAACAAAAGGTGGGTTGTAAATTGAATGCATAAATAATGAAAACTAAGCAATGCAGACATCACGTCGTCTCAGATATATCAGTAAATAATCATCACCTAACAAACTGCACCAGACCTTATTCTCAAAAGAAAGCTGAACTAAATATCTGTGCCACTTGACAAGGCGGTGCCTGAGTTTCAGGTCAAGAAAACTGTACCTCAACCAGGAATAAAGAGTAAGGGCACAGGTACTGGGTTAACTGAGGGGCACACAACTTTTATTTCACATTTATAGCCATCAATCTGCAGCAAGAGCCTGAAAGTTGTGAAGCAACAGGATAGTCTTTCTACCTCCTTGCAACCAGAATATTCTGGATAAGGCATCCTGACCCAAACACAAGCAGTAGACATCTCTGCTTGTGTCTGCCTGGCCACCTCTTGGTTGAGGGAGGCTCTTGCTGTGACATCATTGCATTTACTAGATTGTTGTTGTTTAGTCGTTTAGTCATGTCCGACTCTTCATGACCCCATGGACCAGAGCACACCAGGCACTCCTGTCTTCCACTGCCTCCTGGAGTTTCATCAAATTCATGTTGGTCTCTTCTGTAACACTGTCCAACCATCTCGTCCTCTGTTGTCCCCTTCTCCTTGTGCCCTCAATCTTTCTCAACCCCAGAGTTTTTTTTCCAGAGAGTCTTCTCTTCTCATTAGGTGGCCAAACTATTTGAGCCTTAGCTTCAGGGTCTGTCCTTCCAGTGAGCACTCAGGGTTGATTTCCTTCAGAATGGATAGATTTGGTCTTTTTGCAGTCCATGGGACTCTCAAGAGTCTCCTCCAGCACCACAATTCAAAAGCATCAATTTTTCCGCGATCAGCCTTCTTTATGGTCCAGCTCTCACTTCCATACATCACCACTGGGAAAACCATAGCTTTAACTATATGGACCTTTGTTGGCAAGGTGATGTCTGCTTTTTGAGATGCTGTCTAGGTTTGTCATTGCTTTTCTCCCAAGAAGCAGGCATCTTTTAAATTCATGACTGCTGTCACCATCTACAGTGATCATGGAGCCCAGGAAGGTAACATCTATTTACTAGATAGGAAAAGGGTATTTGTGCAAGATATCAGCACCCCTTCTTGATGTAATGTCATTGGCTAGAGTAACCAACCAGTCAGCACTTTGCTGGTCTATCCAACAGGTTTGGAGAACTGGATCCTTATCTTTCTCATCCTCCCTTCCCGAACCAAGTTTGACATGGGTGGGGCAGCCACCTGTCAATCACCTGACATCACAATGATACCATTTTTGCCTATGCAGTTTGAAATCAAGTTGTGTAGGTAGATAGATAGATAATACTTTATTCGGCTATAAGCCCACAGGGTAAAACAAATCAATAGATAAAAATCAATAGATAAAATCAATAGCATTTTACAATCTAAAATATCAACTAAAATATTTCAACGCATAATCTCTAAATGTACCGTGTTATGGCCTTGAAGATAAAGATGGTGCATAGAGTTTTCTGAATTTTTAATAGTCATGCAGCATTCCCTGAAGTCTTTTATATGACAGAACTGAGATCAGGAATCTAGCAACCTGTAAAGTTCTATAAGAGTCAATGTCCTGGAGTAGATAAGCTAGATGTAATTCAGGTGGTTTAGCAGCAATTTCCAGAATGATTGAACTCAGGATCCTTGATCGGGGAACATTATATAAGGGGCAATTAAACAAGATATGATAAAGGGATTCTATCGATTTGTTGTCACATGCGCACAAAACAGAGATTTTACCGTTAGAAAATCTATTGCTCAGCACATTTGAGGGGAACACATTAAATCTGGCTCTAACAAATGCGAATCTATGCGACGCAGCCGATAAAGTAGACAGATATCGAGGTATCTGGGACATATATGTAATGCCCTGATATATCGGGGAACATGTACCTCCACCTGTGGTAAGATTTTGTTGTAAATCTACCTCCTCCAGTCTTTGTTTGATGACCTTTTTAGCTGTAATTAGATCTAAATTAAGTATATCGGAGGGAGAGATTCCATAAGACAACAGTTTGGAATGGATTTTTGTTGCCCATGGGCTGGTGAATTCGTCTCTCCAAAGGCACTGAATAAGATGGTAGTTTGGCAATTTATGCCAAAGGGACAGCCAATAATTAAAGGCATGTCTCCACATCAGAATCTCAAGGGAGGGGGTCTTAAGTTCTAAGCGAATGGCAGAGTTGCTTACACAGGAGGGTAGTTTCAAAAGGCGTCTTAGAAAAGGTTTTGCAATGTCACCAGAGGCAAGAGGTTTACAAAGACGCCCCATAAAGGGACCGCATAGGCCATAGTTGCAACCACTTTTGCACTATAAACTTTTAAGGCAGATGGAACATGCATAGCCCCTCAGTAAAGAAGAAGCGTAGTATAGCGTAGATAAGGGCTTTCACCTTGTTTTGTAGATATGTGATATGCGCTTTCCATCCCATATTATACTGGAAGTAAATTCCTAGATATTGAAATTTGTAAACTTGTTCAATTGGCTTCCCTCAAGTTCCCATCTATACAGTTTACGACTCCTGGAAAAAATTAGGACTTTAGATTTGGAATGGTTAATAGTAAGTAAATTTGTTTGGCAATATGATGCAAAAATCTTAAGGGCCCTCCTCAAACCGATTCGAGAATAAGAGAGGATCACCGCATCGTCAGCGTACAATAATAAGGGGCAGCGATAGTCTGCAAGCCTGGGTGCATGAATGGAGGTTTGGGCCTCAGCTAGGGGCGTCCTCATGTCACTAATATAAAGGTTAAAAAGATAGGGGGCAAGGATGCACCCTTGTCGTACCCCCTTGTTTATTGGAACTGAGTTTGTGAGATCGCCCTCAGGTGTTAACCTCACCCTAGCAGCCGTCCCTTCATGTAATTTAATCAATAGCCACAACAGCCTTTTATCTATGCCCCACTTTGCCAGTTTTTCCCATAACAGCTCTCTAGAGATACTGTCAAAAGCCGCCTTCAGGTCTATAAAAGCGGCACATAGAAGACCATGAGTAGGGGAAGAATATTTCCGCGCCAAATGATATAGAATTATAGCATGGTCAATAGAAGCGCGATTTGGTCTAAACCCGACCTGTTCATGGCCTATCAGATTGGAATCTTCGGCCCATTGGGTTAGTCTGGTTAGCAAGAAGCGAGTGTAGATTTTTCCGATGATTGATAATAAACTGATATTACGATAGTTTCCTGGGTCCTCTGGTGGTCCTTTTTATATATAGGAATTATGATGGACTCCTTCCATGATGTAGGTATCTGGCCCGTGGCATTGATTGTATCAAAGATTTTTGCAAGAATTTTAGCCCACCATATTGGATGTTGTTTAATAGCTTCCGCCGGGATCAGATCGGGCCCTGGGGCTTTATCAGTTTTCAGTTTGGCAATTAAATCTACTATTTCCTCCGGGTCAGTATCTGGCCATATGGGCAAGTTACTTGAGAGAGTATCAGATTGGATGTTAGAGATGTCTGTCTGGGAGAAATATTTTCTTAGAAATTGTTCCCATGTCGGGGCTGGGATAACCGTCAATGGGTATTTCCTCGATCTTTTGTTGATTAAATTCCAAAAACCGCGAGAGCTGCGAAGCTTAGAGGCAGCAATCAGCGCTTGCCAACGTCTTAGCTGCCACTCGTGCTTGGCTGACTTCTGAGCCTGTTTGTAAGCAATTTTGGCCTGCAAGTACTCTGGGGGGAGAGTTTCAGCTCCAGAGGCTTTATATCTGTTGTAGATACAACAGAGAGAGAGTCTAGCTTGCTTACATTTGGCTTCAAACCAAGGAGCACCGAACCTGGGTTGATCTCGTTTTGCGAGGTGAGCCGGCATCGTAAAGAAGCTAGTTAAATCTGCAGAGAAGTGGAAGAACCACTCCAGTATCCTATTTGGTTCAGACAGCTCCGCCAATGAAACAATAAGGGATTCGGAGCTATTCCTCTGGAAGAATTCTGCATATTTTTGGGCCTGTTTCATGGACCATTTAATGCCTCTTACTTGAGCTGTGGCATTTAAACCTACATGAATTGGGTGTGTTCCGCTAACCGGGTGCCAGTCAAGCGTTAGCTTGGCCGCTAGAGGTAGGTGATCACTGGATTGTACATTATCTACTTTGAAATAAAAGAAATTTGAAAATAGGTCTTCTGAGACTAGAAGATAATCTAGGACACTATTAGATGTTGTGCCCAAATGAGTGAATTCACCTGGCACGTCCGGAGGGCAGTTGCCATTTAGAATGTTCAAATTCATACGAATGGCCAATTGATAAAGAAGGACTCCCGCCTCATTCACTCTGTTGTCCTTGGATCTTCTTGATGTGAAAGAGATTAAATCAGATTTTGGGTAGGGGGGAGATACCCACCACTTGGCCTTAATTATCCCATTCCAGTTGGCAGCTGTACGTGCATTGAAGTCACCACCCATTATCGATGGAATATTAGGGTACTTAACATAGCATGCCAATAAATGATCTTCCAGAGAATCCCATCTATAATGAAGGTCTGATATCAGACCACCTGGAGGAAGATAAACATTGGTGATTAATAGTGAGAGTTTTTCACTTGAAATCAGACCAGTAAAAGCAAAAGGAGGAAAGGTATGAACTAGCGAGAGTTTAGCTCTCATTTTAAGCGATATGGCGATTGCAAGACCGCCACTGGACCGGCCACCTTTCTGGGAGGGGATAGCTGGAAGTGATATCAGTTCAAAGCCATTTATATCTATTTTATCTTCTTCCCATGTTTCTTGCAAAAGGATTATCTGGAAAGAGTTTATATAGGACAGAAATTCGGGATCTAATCTTTTCCTTTTCCAGCCAGCAATGTTCCAACTTAGGACTGCTAGCAGGGGACTTCTATGTTGTTCTTTTAACAGTCAAAATGGAGGGGGGGCAGACTCTCTGTTAAAGACAGAAGATGTAACAAAAAAGTCAGTTATTTTACTTTGGGAAGATGGTAACTGTGAGGCGCCCTGCAAATTAAAGTTTTTAACAATTTGGTTCGACTGTTGGCACACCGTGGATGATCCACTGAAAGTAGATCTCTGAACAGGAAGTCTCTTCATTTCGAAATTCTTGGTACAACTTGACAGAGAAATACCCAGGTAGGGGAAATTGAGTCCGTCGGGGTAAACCCTCTCGTAGATTTGTCATCCGACATTCGGATTATTTTATTGATGCGTCCCATCGGGTCTTCAATCATTTCTGACGGCGGGTCCCGAGGTGTAACATTCGCAGTTTCCTTTGAAGGAGGTAATTGAGGGGGCATCACGGAGGTGGAAATTGCGGAAGACTCTCTCAGGGGCATCACTTGTGGACTACTTCTATATCTGGACGAAACTGGAGAAGATTCTAGCTCTGGCATAGATGAGTGAGTTAAAGAGGGATTTGAGTCAAGCAGGGAAATCAGAATTTCGTCCTTAGGTATGTTGGTTGATGAATATAGATGAAGGTTCAGTGAGGATGGCAGAGCCTGGTCGTCTCGTGATGTAGCGCACGCTGCAGAAGCAACTTGAAGATTTGAGTCTTGTCGGATGGTTTTTGAATTCAGAGTGGGGCTGAGCTGAAGAAGGTCAACCACTTCTGTCCGGTGGGCCCAAGTGGGATTATTTGAGACATCGTTAGTATCTTCCCTCTATGTTGAACTTGCAAAAGCTGAGATTTAAGCGTGTCAAATCTTTGCATCATCACCGACTGTTCTTTCGGAGGAAGGGCTCTGAATGAATCAATAAGTTCCCTTTCGTCGAGGGCAGTCTGCAGATTATCATCCTCATATATAGCAGTTTGAGAGGGTATCGAGTTTGGTCGCGGATGGCACGCTGCAGAGTCATCGCGATTGGGCCTGACAGTATTTTGAAGTAAGGCAGAGTCTCTTGTCCTAATGTCCTCACCGCCAGGGCACCTATTTAGAAGGGGTTTGATCTTGCTGTCTGTAAAAACCCTCGTTGCTACAATGTCGGCCATGGACAAAAGCGTTTTCCTCCTAACAATAATAGATGGTATCTTTTCAGAGTGGAACGCAAGTATCACCTTCAAGAAGTTGGTCTGCCGGGGAAGGGGCATTACAGCATATAGGTCAATCTGATATTTCTTAATTTTTAAAAGTTTGCTTAAGCAGTCTTTAGCTCCTTCTAGCGTTGACCATCTTCCTCTTTCCGACCTGACAGATAGGCAACTTTTCTTGGGTTGCAAAGTTAATATCTGATTGTTCAATTGGGAATTTAAGACATATTTAGTTTTAGTCTCCAGTATTTTATCTGAATGGGGGTGAGGCAATAAGTTTTTGACCTCACAAACTGAGGATTGTGTTGTTGATTCAAGTTTTCCGATTTTCAGCAGGATATTGGATAATTGTGAAGATACCTCGTCCAGCCTTTTAAAAATACAGTGAAGGGTCTTAATTACTAAGTGTAACTGCTCACATCTGGGGAACTCCCCATAACAGATGCCAAACCATCATCCTGCGATGAGAGTTTTTCTTTCGTATTCTCCTTTACAGGCTTTACATTTGAAACATTTTGAGTCATCGGAATCGGAGTAGCTTCTAAATCAATTAGAGGTTGGAAGCGATTTTGGGTTTCCACTGCAAAGCCTTGCTCGGCATGGTCACTCCCTCCTCCAATCCGGTGTGGCACCAACCTTGATAGTTTTGGTTTAGGGGATGATAGGGGCTCGTCAAAGTCTCTCAAGCGTTTTTTCTGACCCATGCTTTCCTCAGGCCAGAGATTATACGATTCTTAAAATAACATAACACTTAACACGCAATTAAGATAATGGCGTTCTCAACTCCTTTAGCAGCTAAAGCCAGCCCGCTGATATGAGAGAAACAAAGAGCGGCTTGCAGCAGTCTGGAGCAGGGCCAAATCTCTCAAAGAGTTTCCATAGTATGCGGCTGCAGCAATTATAAAATACTTCAAAAACTGACTGAGTCAGTTGCGATAAAAGTATAAAAGATTAAGAGAAGATTAAAAGAAGTCCGAAGAGCACCGGTAAGCGCGTCTTACCTCGGCGCCATGTTGGCTTCCTCCTTTCCAAGTTGTGTAGGTAATGGCACAGCACTTTGCAAGCCCTGATGATCAGCTGATAGTCACTGCTTGCAAAGCACCCTGCAGAGGGCTTTTTGGGTGCTGGTGATTGGCAGCGCCATAAACCACCTTTCGGCCCAGCCATTTTTACCTGCCCTACATCTGATGCCATATAGGATGTTTGGTGTAGGGCAGATTGGCCCAAACAGCCTCATGGAACAAACGGAGAGGCTGGCAGGCCTAATTAGCACTCTGGCATAGCTAAGATTGTGTTCTGACATATATCCACAATTGAGGTCTGAAAAACCAGTAAGCTCAATCTTCTGACAAACCAGATTCATCTGGCTCCCCTGACCTGCCAGATCCCCTCTGGTTCTGGCAGGTTCTGACATGGCTTCAGTGCCCTGGACTCCACTTCCTTGTTCCTCCTGGCAGGAGAAGGTAAGTTTTGAAATCACAAGTTGACAAATGTTTAAAAATGCCTTATGAATTTGTAATCCACCACGCCATGATGTGACTTCACTCATGAACTGATTCCTCTGTGGAAGTCAGTTGCCTCCAAACTGTCACACAGACTTCATGTAAAGGATATAAAAAGGAAGTTACTGTCCTAGCCTTCTGCACAATAGCCGCACTCAGCAGAATTAGAGCACATTAAGGTTTCATTAATAACATGGCTTGCTGAAGTCAAGAAGCTGGCTGCATTAAAGAAATATAATTAGCTCTAAAAGCATAATAGCGTAAAAGTCATCAGTAGGCTCCTTGGCCCTCAGTGTACAAACAAATGTGTTGTTTTCTTAAAGAGCTATTTAAGAGGCTATTGGCTCTACAAATGATACCATTAGTTGGGAGTGTCTGCAAGATGCCAAACCAAAACACAACTGCAAGAACAGCCAGAAAAGTTATTTATCGTTCTTTGGTTACTTAGTGGAAACATGGTCTTGCATACAAAGAGCTGCATTAAAAGCTCATTGGGGGGTCCCAACAAAAGTGCTGAAAGCTGGCCTCAGTTCTTCCCTCATGATATACCTCCATGGCCTTCTCTTGCAGTGTTGAGGAAAAGGATCCAGTCTTGTGACCCTATATTAGAACAAAGATGACTACCATGATTGTAACAACTATTGTGAAATCTCTCTGTTGACTACAGTGGGGAAAATCTTTGCCTGTGTATCTCTCAAAAGATTACAGTTCCTCATTAGCAGAGTCTCTCCCAAGCTTTAGAGCTCAGAGGTCAGCATGACATGATTTTCTTTAATATGATATTTTATTTGCCACTCCCAGCTTGCTGGTAGCTCTTCCTTGGCCTGTGGTTCAAGTGGAGGTGGCCAACCTCTATATATCTGGTGTCATTATGGAACATGTGTCACATTTGTTCTCTTTTGAAAGAGGGGAAAAACTCAGCAACTGTGGCAGGAAGTTGGCTATATGTTAAAGCAATAATAATAAGCCAGGGGTAATGTTCTGGAAGTCAGTTCACTGAAGGATAAATGAAACTTTGGGAAAACCAGAGAAAGCTTTGGGGCTTTTGAGCAAAAGTGAGGTCTTCTAATGTTCTCAATGGTATTTGTGGGTGGTAAAATGGGGCAGGGTGAAGGTGGGATAATGTAAAATCCACTATAATTGTTCCTCAGAAATGTCTCCACTGATAAAATTTTGGCTCACTTGATGTTGAATGAAACAATTATTCAGTGGAGGGAGGAAGCTACAGGCTAAGAGAGAAGAACTGGGTTGGAAAGGAGCCAAGCTTCCTTCAACAACACTGAAATAAAATCCAAACAATATTAGAATTGGATCCACAGTTGCATCCGAAACATATAGATGGTGAAACTGGGCTGGCCATTTGCTGAATATTCTTCAGGAATGACTCAAGATCTCCAAGAGTTCAGGAACAGCTCAAAAGAAAGCTATTTTTCTGCTATCGTTCAGACTGTGGTTGCACATGGGGACTAGTGGTATGCTATGTCTGCATCTTGTCTTGCAGGCCACCTATGTTCTTCTGGCACATAGGCCCTGTGGGTTCTGCTTGGAGCATGCCTCCAATGTGTCCAAAAAGGTCAATCCAAGAGTGACAAAAGTTGAGAGTAAGGAAGGGTCCTGTAATAGGATCTCTGTTGAGGTTTAGCTGATGTTGGAATCAGCTCCAGTGGAAGCTAATGTTATCTAAGCAGGTTATCTATCAGTAAAAGAAGCACCTAGCAGAACCATCAGAAGCTCGGGCATTCAGAACCATCAGAAGGGTGGCATCACAGACCCATAAATCCATTGGGTGAAAATCGTCATAAATAAAACTTCCACTGCTTCCATTGCCGTGGGTGGGAGGAGGTGGGCTTGGTGGAGTAGAAGGTAACCCTCTAAGCTGCTGTAATGACAGCTTTCTGTCTCCAGCCACACCTTTCCATTTTTGAATTGGTCTGAAATTCTTCACAGTGTAACATTTAAAAAGCAATAATAATCGTATCATCAGAGAATGTTTTTGATTATTATTATTTTTTGCCAAGCCTGGGCAAAAGAAATGGTAGTTTAAGTAGACAGTAAAGACACAGTATGCTCTAGCAGAAGTGACAAAAATATCATAAAGACAATTTATTCCTCTTCTGCAGTTTGCACTACAGTTTTTACAAAGAGTGCCAAAGGTAATTAGCAGCAGAATTCAGATAAAGTATTCAAACTTTGGGATCTAAACAGCCTAATCTCTGGGCCCCAACTATGTTGAATAGCTCATTCAGATCTCTCTCTGTACCATATAAGACACACATCTCCTCTTACCTTGTAAATACCTCCCTGAAAACTTTGCTCGGGCATTTAGAACAGCAGGTGATCTCCAATACATGCTGTTCATCTGAAACAGGAATCTTTTCCCTTTATGTGCTATCTCAAGAGAGGCAAATGAGAAAGCCCATTGGAAAAGTATTCTCACTAATAAAATGTTATCTCAAAAAGCACCGTCAAATAATGCAGACAGAGCATTAATGCATAAACAAAGCTGTCACCCTTGGTGGATCGGCTGTGATTTAGCATTGCAAAAACAGAACAATCACAGCTGAGTGATGGGGTGGGGAGGGAGGAAATGAATTTGTATTTTATCACAGCAATTTCCTACAGATATTATCAAGCCAATTCAGCAAAAGGAGTGAATAGGTAGATATTGCTGGATTAGGGGAGCTCATTTGCAAACCTTCTGATCAAATCAACAGCTGTGGAAAAGTTTGTTCAAAGTCAATATGCTACACACCATAGAAATGTTACACACCATAGTTTAGGCCATGAATGGCCACTTAACAGCCTGGGGTTCAAATCAATACCCCAAAACAACATGGCGTCCCTTCAGGAACCTCCCCTGTTTTAAGGGAAGTGTGGTCAAACTCCCCCCCCATACAATTAGGACATCTTTCAAAAAGTTTGTTACTGTTTCAGCCCATCTCTGATGATGACCTTATACCACTTGGGCATATCACCAGGACATTTTCTGAAGATGTTAAACCAATTGTGTAAAGGAACCTACAGATTTTAAATTTTATTTTCCCTAAAGGGGGGAGATAACTGGTGGAATCTGCCCTTTAAAAAAGCAATAAAAATATTGTTGAGCAGATCTGTTACAGATCTGAAATTCGGGAAGATGGCGATATAGCTTCACCGGAAGTCCTCCAGAATAGATTTTCAAATGAAAATGCTAACACTATGCACCAGGATTTCTGCTAAGATCAGAAACAAGCCTATCTGCTACTGAAAGGATGGGGAATCTCTATCCCTCCAGATGTTGTTAGATTCCAACTCGCATCAGTCCCAGCAAGCATGACCTGTGGTTAGGTATGGTCGGAGCTGCAATTCAACAACATAACAGAGGGGTGCAGATTCACACACCCCTTGCTCTGCTGAATCCATTTTAACAGTGTCAACACAAGCAGATGAGCTGATGAAACACTCTGGTCACACATCACATCTGTGCAACAGCAAAGGCTATGCTTGGGCACAGCAGTTTTCCTGAAAAACCAAATTCAATTTTGAATAGACAGGCTTCTAGCCCACACTGCTGCCAGCTCAATACAACTTGAAAACATGAATGAAATGTGTTTTGAGCGATCAAAATTCAAAGGAGAGAGACCCCCCGCCCCCATTTTTCCAAGATCAGTCAGTGATCAGCTTTCCTGTACTAGGCACTGACCTCGATATCATTCAGACAATATAATATTTCAATCACACAGATCGCAATAAAACGAGAGAGAGAGAAATTCAGTACAATTAATCTCCAGTTTAGACTAAACTAAGATCCATTATCTGCTTAGGAGTCCCCTACATTAACTATCCTGATTTTTTTTTCTATTTCCTTCACCCTGAGTTTTCTTACAGCTAAAGCATAGTGTGCTGTTCTATAGGTCAGGGTGTTTCCAAGACAGCCGCTGAATGAATAACTGAAACCTAACAAATCAATTAAATCCCTCAAACTGATGTCACATTAATTCAATATTTGAGAAGGAATCAACTTCCAGAATTAAATAATATATGTCTCTGTGAGTAAATACTGGGTGGGGGGGATCACATTAATTTCTCAGTCTCAGCAGTAAATACGGTTACTGCAGAATACAATTTATGACTTATTCATGTAGCTAGCAATATTTTATAGACTGAATTCCTTTTGCTCTTAAAAGTTCAAGTCAATATGTCTGCAGACGCTGCTGTGATTTACATATTGTTGTAAACGTGCTCCTTGAGAATGAAGGATTGCATTTTCCTCTAGGGATTTTCTTTAGCCTAGCACTTGATGGAGGATGATAGGAAGGTCCTCATTTGTGATGTCTGAGGGTACATCAACTGCTGGACATTGTGTTCTCCCTCACCTGCTTGGATGGGGGTGGGTGGGAGCTGAACCATCTTTGGTTGTCTGACATCTGTCAACATTTAATATGAGTTTTGAGCTCTGCAGTGGCTGGATGCATCTGTAAGCCACTACACCATGCGACTTAATCTTGTTTATGCATGTATGTATAGTGGCACCTCAGGTTAAGTATTTAATTCATTCCGGAGGTCTGTTCTTAACCTGAAACTGTTCTTAACCTGAAGTACCACTTTAGCTAATGGGGCCTACTGCTGCTACCGTGCCGCTGGAGCACGATTTCTGTTCTCATCCTGAAGCAAAGTTCTTAACCTGAAGCACTATTTCTGGGTTAGCAGAGTCTGTAACCTGAAGCGTATGTAACCCAAGGTAACACTGTTGTGGCCTAGGAAGCTGATGGGCACCCAGAGTGGTAAGCATTATGTGCACCTGGGGGCGGGCCGATCTGCCCAGGGGCGAGTCAGTCAGCCCACTGGGGTGCGCTGATCTTCCCGGGGCTGCCATCGGCACCTTGCTGATCTGCCCATGGGGGTGCGCCAAATGTCATCCCCTTCCCTGGGATGACACCTGTCCTTTCCCCTGCCTGTCTCCTCTAGCCAGGAGCATGGGTGGCGGGGCAACCACACGCCCCCCTGCCCATGACTCCCAAGCCTACAGCTACAGTGAGCTGGGAGAAGTGGTGCAGCATCGGCTTTGCTGGTGGCCCCACTGTAGCCTTGGGAGTCACGGGGGGCATGCCAAATGTCACCCCCCTTCAGGGTGACACCCAGGGCGTGCCGCACCCCCCTTCCTACACTCCTCCATGTATGGCATATCTGATTTTAAAATCGTTTACTATTTCAGAACAGTTTCCTCCCCAGGCCTGAAACAGAGTGAATACGTGTATCTAGTATTTGCCCTGCACACTCCACACATCTGATCAAGTAGACTTTCACCTACAAGAATACAGGCCTCAATAAAGTTGTTAGGTTGAAAGGTGCAAGTTTTTGCATTCCTATTCTTATTTGGATGCTTTGGGGGCTGTGACTTAACACTCCCTTGAAGTACCCCTCCCTTCCTTTGTAATGTCAACAAGAGAAATCTGCCTGAAAGAATCCACCAATCACATTGCTATTTAGATCTTTGAGAACTAATCTCAGTAAATTAGCTTTATTACTTACAATATGTAGTTATATGGGCTTTAGGTTTCATTTTTTTTAAAAAAATCACTCCCCTTCAGCACCCCTCACTGATAAGAGTATTTTGATACAGAAAAACCCACATATCTGAAACACTGCAGAAGTTGCTGTCCCTGTGAGGATACCAATAAACTACCACTCTAAGCACTCCTGACCGTCTGTGGTGTGACCTTCTCCACCACACTTTACTTTTAAAACAAAAAGGTCCCAAGATTTATTTTACAATCAGCTTCTTTCAGGTCACACAATAGACGGGATCGTTCAGTTACTACCACCCAGGCTAGCTGCTAGCTGGAGACGACAAGATGAATATCTGTAAGATTGCATTACCAGTTCTTGGAACCATTGTGCAGCTCATCTGAATGGTGCTATCAAATGATGCCCTAGATAAACTCTCTTCATTGCATATTAAATTGGACACACAGAGAGAATGATTTCCCCTATTATTGCTTGCCAAGCCATTTTACTTAACACAACATTAGTCCTATCCATGCATTTCCTTAATAAACTGATTACTCTTAGCATTAGAGGGAATAAGGTTATTTCCCCCTTTATTTTTATAGCTTGATTTCACTCCTACACAGAACAATGCTTTCCCTACCCCCCCCTTTCTCTCTCTCTCTCTCTCTCACACACACACACACACATTTGGGATTACTAAAATCTCTGATAGACAGATTAACCTCTTGTGCTCATCTATCTCATCCTTATTCAATGATACATGACTACAATGACTTTTGCAGAAGAAAGTGTTACTATTAAAGTGTCCCAGACTGCTAGTATAATTCTAAAGCAGAAGACACATACCGCATTCTAGAAGCCTCTGTCTCCATAATGTCATTCTGGGCTGGGTATCCTGTGGCCCTGCAGATGTTGCGGAATTATAATTCCCATCAACCTCAGTCAGCAAGGCCAATAGTCAGGAAAGATGAGAGTTATCTCAACATCTGGAAGACATTGTTTATTGCCTGCTTCAGAGGTTCTGCTGTTGAGATTTGTTCAGGATGTCATGGGGAATTTGGACTGGGATCTTACAAGTGTTTCTTAAGCTTCTTGTTGCTAAAGTATTCCAGAGGTTAAAAACTGGTTTCTTGTACCTGTCACACCGATGGGGGCATGTCACTTTTTTATATCAAGTTATCTGCAGTTGAATTTCTCTTATAATTCATGGTGCAGAGTTATAGTATTTGGGGGAAACTACAGACAAGTCTATGTATTTGAAAACGCTTCTGCAGATATCGACATTTTTGATACTGTATAAATATAATAGTTTGTGTTGAATGGATAATGGATTTTCTTTTTGATTCAACTCAGTGTGCAGTGGCTGCGAAATAAGGCAAATCCCATGCCTTAAAATGTAAAAGTTTCATTTAACAAAAAAGCGCAGAGATGTTATTAAGCTGGTCAATGTGAAGCACCTGCATGTATCTTTTTAAACAGTGCATGCAAGACTATGCACCCTATGACTGCACTTCAATATTGGAAGGCAAGAGCAAGAGACAAACCACCCCCATCCCCGCTCAAAAATTGCTCCATAGTTCTCACATCAACCTCTTCTTTCATCAGGTGGTTTCTTTCTGCCCGTCACCCACCCCCACCCCCCAAAAATGTTGAAAATATTGGCACAGCTGTCAGAAAGACACTGCTTCCCTGGGAAATATGTGACTCCAGCCTCAGAAACATAAAGCGATGTCTCACATCAACAGCAGGCCTCCACTGAAAGATTTGGGAAGGAACCCTGAATAGCAGAACAGCTGGAACTATCTGACTTTGGATGTGCCACTGGGACAATTTTAGAGATGTCTGAGAGTTCGCTCTGACATGTCACCAGCCCAAGACTTAAAGCTGCCCTCCAAAGTCTTCAGAAGCAGTAGCAGCTGGCAGGGCGCGGCAGGGTGAGGAGACATGGCTTGCCTGACTTCCTAACTGTCAGTAATCGAGAGGAGGAGGGGCAAGGCTGCAGGGCAGTTGGCACAGAATGGGCAGAGCAGTGGGAGAATATGATGTTGTGCCCACACTACACTGACCTCTCCGCTGCCTCGTCCTTCCCCCTTTAGGTTATTGGCAGAAACCTTCATGTCAGAAAGTCAGGTGAGCAACACTTCCCCACCTCACTCTGCCCTGCTGGCCACTAAACCAAGATTCAAAACTGGTTTTTCTCAATAAACCATGGGTAAAATTAACTACAGTTCCATTGGTAAGAATAACACGGCTAATTGAAAGCAGAAGATTACAACTTCCTCTTATGGCAGCGTCTGATGGGGAAAGAGAATGAATGAACCCTAGGCTCATTAATGTAATGCTAAGCCACAGTCAACCACAACATTTCAACACAGCCGTTGTAAATCATTTGGTTTCACCTGATGAGAAAATGCCAAACTTCGTTTTTAAAAAAATGAAATTTCAGTAGCATTCTAGTCTCCATTTAAAAGGGAGACATATGTTTGGAGAGCAGATACAGCCCATCATAATTTTCCACCCGTTTTAACAATGTCCTACTGCAATGTGTAGCTATCAAATTGTCATCACAGATTTGTGGTGATGCTAAAGTTTGGGATGTTGGCATTTGTAATGGCAAACCTGAGGATCCCCTCCCACCCCTGAGATCATTGTGAGTGAGAGCCTATACTACAACAAAGTTTCCAGCACCACAAACAACCCCCTTCTCTTTTCACAGAAAAAAATGGGAAACAAAAATGTCCACAAAACTCCCCTCCCCCAAGTTTAGTTCTATTTTTCCCCCCTTTGGGGACAGGGAGAGGTGAATAATTCTAGCTTTCAGATAGCGTTTGTGTGTTGTTTTGTTTTAGTTGTTGAGCAGATAGAACATCGATTCTTACTTTCATAAGCTCTTAACATTTCTTGAATTATCCACTGCAATTGCTCACCTGGGAAACCAATAAAAGGGAGGTAATACCATTTTAATTGCCTTTTAATACTATTTATCCCTTTGGTTAGAAAGGCGCAAAGTACCACATCACCCCAGAGCTCACTTTGCCAGAAGCAAGTGCTAGTTCATGGATCAATGTCAGACAGGGAAGAGATAAAGAGTGGTGCTCCACTCCAGTGATGCTCAACATCCTCATAAATGATGTGGATCGTTGATGTGTCCATCAAAATGTGCGGATGATACAGATTTTGAAAGAAATGCATGGATTCTGGAGATGAAATGCCAGTGTTAATCTGCAGCACTGAACGGTAGTCAAATTATATCTAACAAATATAAATTAGAATATATGTGGGAAAGAATCTAAAGAACAGGTTCCAGGGTTTCCAGGTTATAATCTGAATATGAAACAGCAATATGAATCTGTTTCAGAAAAAGAAATGCAAACTTGTGTCTTGCTGGGTATGTTGAAATTTCCTTCTTATCCCCTTTACTCAACTGCTTGCATCAGGCACAGTCTCTGTTTTCTTGTACCTGCAAATTTATTGGCTCTATTTTGTATTTTGGAGGGATGGGGATTTAAAAATAAAATAAAATATGCCATTAGTCTAAACTGGTGGAGTTGCTGGTCTTCAGGATTCTAATCTCCCTGAGAAATCTCCAGAACCTCAATCTCTACATTGGATCCATTTTGATTCTAGTGTGTATATGTATGTAAATGCGTACTCATGAACGCAAAATCCCAGAGCACTGCTTCTCTTCCATCCAAGAATCACTGCCTTTCCAGATAGTAAATGTTGCTAAATGTTTTGAGCTGAATCTGTTCCATACAGCCACATCCATTGTGAGATTAAACATTCTTCAGGTTGTTGCCACTCTTGTTTTGGAGTGAATTGGGTTGCAAATGAATAAAAATCTGCAGAACATACTCGCTCACGAAAATGTTCTGCTCATGCATAACAGTATATACTGTGTTAGTTTTATGATGTTAGCTGCCCTGAGTCCAGCCGGGGAGGGTACAAATAAAATTTATTATTATTATTATTATTAATTTTTATTTATATCCCACCCTCCCCAGCCGAAGCTGGGCTCAGGGCGGCTAACAACAATCAAAATAATCCAACATTCTAAAAACATTCATTCTAAAATTAATTAAAATCAAATTGATGGCAACCATTAAGCAAAATTCTGTGCAGATTGCCAGAGGAGGGGGTCAGGCTGTGCCCTGACCAAAGGCCTGGTGGAACAGCTCTGTCTTGCAGGCCCTGCGGAAAGATGTCAGGTCCCGCAGGGCCCTAGTCACTTGTGGCAGAGCGTTCCACCAGATTGGAGCCGCTCGGGTTGCGAACGTGATCCGTGCAGGAGGCCCGTTCACAACCCGCAGCGTCACGTCTGCGCACACATGAGTTGCGATTCGGAGCTTCTGCAAATGCGCGACCCCCGAAACCCGGAAGTAACCTGTTCCGGTACTTCCAGGTTTCGGTGCATTGGTAACCTGAAAAAACGCAACCCGAAGCATCTGTAACCCGAGGTATGACTGTATTATTTATTTATTATTATTATTATTATTAATAATAATATATAATTTTGGGCACTTCCTGAAATGAATGAATAAATCCACTCCCTTGGTTTTAGAGACTAGCTGATCACTGGAGACAGTTACTCTCCAAAGATGATTAGGTGAGTGCTTAGAATCATAGAATCAAAGAATTGCAGAGCTGGAGGGGACCCCAACAGTCATCTCTTCCAACCCCCTGCAATACAAGAATCTGAACTAAAGATTGCAAGATGGTTGTTGTGCTTAATTGCAAACTGATTGCTGTAGTTTTCAAAATGGAGCTCAAGTTGCTTCAGAAGCCTATGGAAGACAAGCCATTGGAGAATAAATGCATATAGATTACACCCTGTGGATAGCTCAGTTGGTAGAGCATGAGAGTCATGGGTTCAAGCCCCAGTTGAGCAAAAGATTTCTGCATGGCTGGGAGTTGCACTAGATCAGGCTTCCTCAACCTCGGCCCTCCAGATGTTTTGGGACTACAATTCCCATCATCCCTGACCTGCTAGCTAGGGATCATGGGAGTTGTAGGCCAACAACATCTGGATGGCCAAGTTTGAGGAAGCCTGGACTAGATGATCCTCAGAGTCCCTTTCAACTCTACAATTCAATTATTTTATTATCTGTGAATGTAATGTCTAATCATGGAATATGTGGCTTGAGTTGTGATCGTTGGCATGGCAGTCAAGTGTATTAGCAGTCCACAAGAGCGTCCCATTTTGGCTGCTGTTGTTTCTTGCTGCTGCTGATGTTATGTTACTTTTATGCATTGATTGGAAAAAACAAATAGCATAAGACATGCATTTTATACTTACATTTGTGAACCGTTCTGTGATGTGTAAACAGAAATAATAAATAATATTTTCATGTTTGACATTTGAAGGGCATGTTAGCTGAAATAGATTTACTAGAAGCGAGCCCCATCAATTTCAATGGGAGCTTAATCTCAAGAAAGCATTCTTAGGCTCACAACCCAATTTTGCTTTATTCCCCTTTCCAAAACACTGTACCTCTAAAAGTAATTTATGAAATGCCTAGCGATCTCTTCCCTGGGATGACCTAGGAAAGGTGTCTTATTTCACAGTCTAATAGAATTCATTTAAGGTACCGGGTGAGTTACTGTTAGTGCTCCTTCCACTTCTAATACCTTGTGAGAGTGAATTCCCCACTTATCAGAGACTTCCATCTTGACTTTTATGCAATGGCTTTCTATAGGAGCTGACAGAACGATGCACTGAGCTGTGTGCTTTTCCTGTTTTAATTAGATTAAAATTTATGTTTTATTGTATGGAAGTTCTCTGTCCCAGTTATGTAAAGAAGAAGGGGGGGAATAAATGTGCCAATAATATATGTACATAGCTTCAAATCACACTTCCTGTTGGTTAAGGAAGTGTGGTCTATTGTGACAACAACATTTTGAAGGAGTCCTTACGAGAAATGCTGGCAATATCTCTAGGACTCAGGTGAAAATGGTGGTGGTGCTGGGACTCCTAATGCTTGCTCAAACAAGCAAGCATTAGCAACCCTGAATTCAGATTAGAATATGAGCCATTGAATAATAGGGGGTTTTTTTATTAATTGAAGAATTATGGCTCTAAATCGCACTGGAGCCACTCTAATTTGCCTTTCGACTCACAGAGCGCTTCCAACAAGGGTGTGATGGCCTGGGACTCGGGCTCAGACTCAGAACCAGAGGAGACTCAGTCTGCACTTGATCCTTTGCCTCGGGCATTATCTGAACCAAGTCTGGGGCCTAATCCTGAAGAGTCCCAGTCTGCACAGGTTCTCCTGCAACAAACACCAGCTGAGACGAGTCAGGGGCCTGAGCCTGCCCTGGCTCCAGATGCGGGGATTACCTTAGAATCATAGAATCATAGAGTTGGAAGAGACCACAAGGGCCATCGAGTCCAACCCCCTGCCAAGCAGGAAACACCATCAGAGCACTCCTGACATATGGTTGTCAAGCCTCTGCTTAAAGACCTCCAAAGAAAGAGACTCCACCACACTCCTTGGCAGCAAATTCCACTGTCAAACAGCTCTTACTGTCAGGAAGTTCTTCCTAATGTTTAGGTGGAATCTTCTTTCTTGTAGTTTGGATCCATTGCTCCGTGTCCGCTTCTCTGTCTATGTGACATCCTTTTATATATTTGAACATGGCTATCATATCACCCCTTAACCTCCTCATCTCCAGGCTAAACATGCCCAGCTCCCTTAGCCGTTCCTCATAAGGCATCGTTTCCAGGCCTTTGACCATTTTGGTTGCCCTCCTCTGGACACATTCCAGTTTGTCAGTGTCCTTCTTGAACTGTGGTGCCCAGAACTGGACACAGTACTCCAGGTGAGGTCTGACCAGAGCAGAATACAGTGGCACTATTACTTCCCTTGATCTAGATGCTATACTCCTATTGATGCAGCCCAGAATTGCATTGGCTTTTTAGCTGCCGCGTCACACTGTTGGCTCATGTCAAGTTTGTGGTCAACCAAGACTCCTAGATCCTTTTCACATGTACTGCTCTCAAGCCAGGTGTCACCCATCTTGTATTTGTGCCTCACATTTTTTTTTGCCCAAGTGCAATACTTTACATTTCTCCCTGTTAAAATTCATTCTCCCTGTTAAAATTCATTCTCCCTGTTAAAATTCTTGTTGCCTTCAGCTTGGCCATCACTTACAGCTGCTCCTCTACCGGTTGGGTCAGGGGAGGCTGAGGTGGCCCCTGGGTCTAGTAACCCACGACGTCTCCCGAGCTGCAGAGACTAAGGTCTGAGAGAAGGAGAGACCCGAGTACTCGCAGGAGGAGTGCTCGCCTTTGGGCAAAACAGGGAGGTTAGTCACTGGGGGATCAGGACCGGCCGTTACCCCGACAAAGATAAAAGGCTGTTGGACCCTGCCCCAGGTTGCGGGAGCAACATTGCTGTATGCTAGAACCTGCCTGAGATCCTGTACCTGTCCTTTCCTGGTTTCCTGCCTTGGCCCTGTTGGACTGACTCCTAGCAGAACCTTTGGATTCTGGACCAGTCCTGGACTGCATTTCACAGGTTACCCCTGGGCACAGCACAAAGGGGAAGATGGCACATCTGGCTGGGAGCAGGGCTTGCCAACATGCCCCACTTTCTCTCATATGATTTTTCATGTTGCAATTTTCCTAAAGGCAGGAGAATCGTAGACCAATCAAATTTAGCTCTATTGCCGAGGAAATAAAATGATACTTTTATTGGGGGTGTGCCAGGAAAACTCACGTTTAAAAAATTTAATTATGCCTTAATAGCAAAGTTGTGAATAAAAAAACAAACCTCAAAAACATCCAGGAAGCTGACATTTCACTGGTGAGACATTACATGTAATGTAATGCTGTGCTGTCACCTTAAAAGATGTACACTCGTCTTTCAGAATTACATTGGTATAGGAGCCTGGAGATTATAGGAAACTAAACTCACCCACTGGTTCCAAACTGTGCAATATTTGAGGCTAATACTATTTTAAAGACCCTGGATACCACGTTTGATTCCCCCCCCCCCAACCTCACCTGATATCAGCCAAGTATATTTTAAATTGTTCCTGGGTACCATACTCAATACTTCAAAGCAGATTCTTATGACTGGCTAATATATAAACCCTGCCTTCCATCTGCTTGTGCACACTAAACACACACACACACCAAAAAAGAGAGTCAAAATTGAGTTCTTTGCATGATGTACTACAACACTTACTGCATTTGCTTTGATCAAAGATGATTTTGACAAGAGTTATATTGCATTTGTTAATCAGCAAAATGCTCTTAACATGTTATTAAAACAAGGTTATTGAATCTGATGAAGGAAGACTGATTTCTTTTTACTCAAAAGGCTAAACAAAACATCCAATCCGACATGGTCAAATGCAGCTTTTGGAAAGAGCATGTCATCTCCATGTGTTCTTTTGCTTTGTTCATGTCATGCCCTTTCAGGAGTACACAAGTTAGCCCTACTTCCACCACCTCACAGGAAGAAGCTTCAGACCTCCATGCACAGAGATCTGTCTTAGTCAGGCTCCCTGGTGCAGGGAAGATTCTAAGCATTGTCAGCTGAACATTCTTAGAATCCCACTACAGCCCTTCAAAGAACATGGGAACATAAGAACTGGAGCACTGGGCACAGGGTACAAATATCCACCCTCTCCTCCCCCGTTAGCCCTCACAGGTCTATGAAATGCCTGAATAAGGCTTGAATATCCTCCCATTTTGATCTTTCAAAGTAGTCCTTTCAGACAGAAATACTTCCTGAAACCCTGTTAATTTTTAAAAGCCAATTAATGGTGAGTAGGTTTCATCTTTTTACAATCCTGTTCGCTACCGTTATTTCATCTGTCTTCAGCTGCAAGGATGCCCCCCCCACTTTTAATTGCTGATTTTGCCACGTTCTGAATTATCCAAATTTCTGAAATCACACATGTGACTATCACATAGTGAATATTATTGATTGATTGATTGATTGATTGATTGATTGAATGATTGAATGAATGAATTTGTATACTGCCCTACCCCCGCAGGTCATAGGATATGACAAAATGTCATATATAGCCATATTTGGCTATGTGATTATATCATTAAAGGCAAATGAAGTCAATTAAGAGTGAGGACAATACAAACACTTTCAGAACAATCACTGAAAAAATCGCCAAAAGAAAGTTGATGTTTGAGTCTGCCCAAAGTGATCATTAAACACACACACACACACACACACACACAGAGAGAGAGAGAGAGAGAGAGAGAGAGAGAGAGAATACTACCATGTTTGCCCAAGTTTTATTCCATTTATAAATTTGAAACCTGTGGTTATCACAAAAGAGATATAATGTGTCTTACAGGGGTTAATTCAATGGCTGGATACAAATGTTTCTCAAATTTTCCAAGCTTCACTGGCATACAGAGCAACACTGTGTGTCAGAAACATATCCTTATTCAGTCAGTAGCAGTAACGCCTGGTTACAAGCCCGTCAAGAACTGGCATGCGAAGTTTTCTCTGGAAACTTCACAGTGCACAATTACCTCCTTATAAATCCTTTGTAAACATCCCTTTCAAGTAAGCCTATGGCTGCATACACACTATACTTTGAAAGCACATTATTTCCTTCAAAGAATTCTGAGCAGTGTAGTTTATCCCTTCCAGATTTACAATCCCCGGCAACCCTTAAACTACAGTGCCCAGGATTCTTTGAGGGGAAAATGTTTGTTCTTTGAGTGAGCTTTAAAGGTACAGTGTCTATGCAGCCAAATATATTGTCTAAAAGGCCAGTGGAGCAAAATGTAATAGCAAAACAGAGCAGCTTTCTGAACATGATTTGCAATTTTAGAAAACAAAGACAGTACCACAACACCCTCAGTATCTCCTTTCTTGTAATTTGAATCCACTGGTTCAAGTCCTGGCCTCCAGAGTGGGAGGAAACAAGCTTGCTACATCTTCCATGTGACAGCCCATTAGATATCTGAAGATGGGTATCATATCTTCTCTCAGTCTCCTCTTATCCAAGATAAGAGAATGGGAAAGCAATAAATGGAGTGGCTTGAAAAGAGTCATAAAGAGCCATGCCAACTATCTTGTGGTCCCTGTGGCAAAACTATGCCATTCTCGATTCAAACATCAGTTTTATTTCTAACCATACTAACCCTGATATACCATACCCAACATTTCATTGCAATCAAATCATGCAAGCAGCAATTCCACAACGTGCTGTCAAGCAAAACAGTCTGCAAACCCACAGGATAATTTGTTTTAATGAGCAGATCCTTAACATTCAAATGCAAATTGCTAATCAAAACAAACTTGCCAAAGGAAGGCAGGGGTAAATTCGCACAACAAGAAACCTAACGCTAAGCTCTCTAGCAGGTGTTGGGAACTTGTAGTCCTCTAGTTGTGGATGAACTACAACTGCCATCATCCCCGGCCACTGGCCATTCTTGCTGGAGCTGATGGGACTTGCAATTCAACAACATCTGGAAGGCCAAAGGTTCTACGGTATGTGTAGTATGACTGGTAACAATAAAATCTCATCACTCACTAAGAGAAAATAAAATGCTAAATAATAATAAAATAATACTAATTATTATCCAAAAAAAAAGCTCAACAAATCTGGGCAATCCTCCCCCCCCCCAAAAAAAGCTTCACAACTTTGGCAATCCTCCCCCCCAAAAAATCTCAACAACTCTGGGCCATCTCCCCCCCCCCTCCAATTTTCTTAAATTGGAATCTCCAAAAGTAGGGGGCGTCTTATACACTGAAAACTACGGTAATTCATTGATCAACAGAAATTTCTTTCATTAAAGTATGGGTAAAAGAATTTTGTGGAAATAGGAGCATGGGGCGGGATTGTTGTTGGTCATAGGTAGTAAGAATTTCTATACATTATATCTGTGTCTTTCTAATAATATCCAGAAGAAAACTCCCAGTGATGTTTTTCAATCTCAAGCTGATTTGCAAATGTAAAGAACTGAATTTAAGATTGGTAAAAACTGAGAAACCGAGAGGAACCAAAATTTACAGACTCACTCACACCTAGTCTTGACAATGACTTCAAAGTACAACAGCCCTGGTTATGCATTTGTTGTCTAGAGCAATATTTGAAGGGATAATAGGAAGGCATTGCATCACACCCAAGAGTTTGGACCAATTAGATCAATCCGAAATAGCACTAGACAAGGAGTTTAGCTACATTTAATGGGTTGGAGACACTTGAATTCTTTCAAAGGGTTGTTTTGGCCCTGAAGCAATCAGAGAAAGGCACAGAAAGACTCTGGCTGTTCCAATCTGTATGATACTAACTGACAACAGCATACAACCAAAATAGCTGAAAGCAAGGCAGAAAGAAGCCTTTAATAATTCCAAGAGTTTGGAACCAGTTGCTGCTGCTTTTAATGGCAAAAGCTCTCTGGTTAGAACAGCTGCACGGTGGGTTGAAATTAAACAGGTGCTGCTTTCATCGGGTAAGAAGATGCTCACTGTGAGCATTGCACCTACTGAATCCCTACCACCAACTGCAATGTATGTGTTAAAAACACAGAGCCGCTGTCCAAAAAGAAAGGACTGCAAGTCTAATAATCATATCCTTTTCAGGCTAAGGGGATGAGGTGGAAATCACCATTTACTTGTGCTGTATTGATTTTTCTATTACAATGGGAAGTGTGACCATAAATCGAACAGGGGATCTTTGACAAGCAGGGTCTTTCTTTATAGGCTCCAGAAAGTAACTAATTCTGGTTGCCCAAGTAGGTGGCATTATTGTCACTGGTCTGAAATAATTCACACCCTGAAGCGATCAGCTTCATTTAATGGGATTTAATCTAAGGCAGGATGGCCAGCTTCCAATTCTTGGGGGAGCATCCTCCTCTAGCCAGTGGTCCCTGAGCCAAAAATGTGTTTTGCCACTGAATCTGACCTCATTGTTGGTCAAGTCCCGTAGCATGAGTGGTCAAATGCTAAATAACCTGAAAGATCATCTCACCCTCTATATACTCATCAATCCCTTGCTCTGCAGGTGAGCCTCTACTACAGAAACCATCTGATGAGAAAGTCCATTCTGCACAATGTAGCAATCAGCCCTTTAGCACTGTGGCACCTCTCCATATAATTGCCTCTCTTAAAATATTAGACAGGCATCATCTCTGTTGTCTTTTTACAGTGGTACCTCTGGTTAAGAACTTAATTTGTTCCGGAGGTCCATTCTTAACCTGAAACTGTTCTTAACATGAGGTACCACTTTAGCTAATGGGGCCTCCCACTGCCGCCACGCCGCCGCTGCACGATTTCTGTTCTCATCCTGAAGCAAAGTTCTTAGCCTGAGGTACTATTTCTGGGTTGGTGGAGTCTGTAACCTGAAGCGTCTGTAACCCAAGGTACCACTGTACTGCCTACTGAAAACCTCCCTCTTCCAACAAGTTGAGATTCTTCCCAGTTTGCATTGGTACTGGAACTGTTTCTAAGAACTTTTTATTTCTTTATCACTTGTTGCATGCTGCCCTGGGCTTCTTTGAGGGGAAGGGTGGGATATAATTTATTATTATTATTAAAAGAAGGATGCTGAACCTGTGGCCATCCAGGCGATTGACTCACCAATGACCACTGGTCATTCTGCCTAGGCCTGAAGGCTGTTGAACAACATATGGACAGCCATCTAGAGAACATGCTCTATAGTAAAGTTGGTGATGCCATTCAGGACTTTGGAATTATGAAGTAGCTCATGTTGTGTCTTTCCATAGAAAAACTAAATGGTGATATCCAGCCAAGCCATATAGCAGGCCCATTCAAACCAATGGATTTAAATATCCCAAGTCCATTTATTTCAGTAGATCAACTCTGAATATGATTAGTGTTGAATATCACCCAAATAGAAACATTGCATTGTGTGTGTCGGACTTGCTCCTCTCTCACAACCTGCAGGTTCTTGTAGAATTACAACACAGGCTACAGTTTAGGCATAAGTAAACATATATACAAGAATAAACTATTATTTCCCATAATGCTGATGATTTATAACAAATTAAATACCTGATGAACATTAGTTGATGCATGTGCATCGCTACGCCAGTAATCAATTCCAAAAAATGCCAATTTTCATTAAAGAGATTACACTTTTGTCTCCCTTCCTTAGACATGATGAAGGGTGTTCATTTAATCATAATGGCACATTGCTGCAATCTTGTCTCCCATTCTTCAAGTGTGGGAGTTCAATAGTCCCTCTAATGTTTAACAAAAAGAACTCTAACTGCAGTGATCACACAGCCTGTTATTTATAGGTTTGGTACAAAATTATTTTTGTATAAAGAGGGTTTTCTTCCAGTAGTTATTTCTGATAGCTTTCTTAATATTTCGCCTTTGCGTATAGACAAATTACCATCGATAAAACAAAACAACAATCCCAGGTGAATGTATTCTTCCAGCTATGCTCTATTGTTCTTCTGCCATTCTGACATCCCTTGGGGGATATCCCTTGTATATTTTCTGGCAGGAGCTGCCGGTTTTTAAATGAAGGTAAGGAATTACATGCAACAACCCCCCAGCATGTTTCTTCAAACAAATTTATGGCTTTCCTTGGATCTTACTACAGAAGCTCATTTGTGATCCTGCAGGAGAATAAAATAAAATATCCAAATCCAAGGGATCAGAACTTCAAGCAGAATATTGTGGGAGGAGTGATTTAAAATGGCAGCATTCGTTTGAATTAAAATGCTTTCTAGAAGCAGCCATTTCCTCACCAAGAGCTGCAGCACGTTCATCCTTTTAATAAAAGAAACATCATTTTCCTTCTTTAATTGCTGATATCCAAGTCTTTAATCTAAAATGTTGTTATTATTTTTCTCCAAATAGGTGACTTTCTCTTTCCTTGATGTTTGTATTTTTCCTTTGATTGCCAACACACTAGATTTTAATTGCTTATATATTTAATTCTCATGTGCATAATTGCACTCCCGCAGTTGGCTGTTGTTGTTTTAATTCAAACAGATTGGGGGGGGGGATTTAGCAGAGTAATCTTAATTCACCATTGAGGCATTAAGATGAGAGGAAAGTCAGCAAGCAGAGTGACTGCTGCACCATGTCCTGCCATTTTGCAATAGCCATGGTAGGTGGGTGGGAGAGAGGGAGCAAAATACCTACTTCAGCCCCAGGGATGGTATATTGTCAGGTTGGTTCTTTGAGCATGTGGGGGGAATGCAAGAACTTTGGATCTGGCAGATACACATTCACCCCAACACTCACTCTCTGGAGCCAACTGATGATTCCCAGGTAAGATTGAATTGAAATTGAAATTGAAATACTTTATTGTCACTTGTACAACTTGTATACAGTGAGATTACACGAGCACCCCCCACTCAGCTCTCTTAGTCTTAATTCCCCTCGTTTACTGAAGCACACCCACCAAACCCGAAAATCAGTTGCCCTGTTGTTATCTTTTCTTTCAGCAGCCTAACAGCCCACGGATAGAAGCTGTTCTTTACCCTATTGGTGCGACTAATCATGCTTCTATATCTTCTGCCTGAGGGCAGGAGATCAAGAAAGTGCCAGCCAGGGTGTGAATCATCCCTGAGAATTTTCCTCACTCTCCTGAGGCAACGTTCTTCCGCTATTTCATCCAGCAGATTCACGGGACAGCCCATAATATCTTGTGCTGTATTCACCACCCTCTGTAGGAACTTCCTATCAGTTGATGTCAAACCAGCTTACCACACCGTGATGCAGTATGAAAGGACACTTTCTATTGTGGACCAGTAGAAGGAGATCCACCCTCTATTGTGTGGGCAGGGCCTACCTCGTCCAATCCCCTGGCAAAGCCTTCCCAGATGGTATTGGGCAATTGGCTGAGGTAAGCGGAGACCTCCAGGTATCCAGCCTGGGGAGGGCAAAGCCAGACTGTACTGCCAGGAGCCGCATAGGGTCTGGGGGGCTGTGAACAACCATGCAAAAGACACCCCCCATTTGATGTGGGGAGTGGTCATTCACCCCAACCAGTGCCCAAACACTAGCCGGAGGGAAAAATATATATTTTAAGCTTACAGAGGCCACAAGAACATTAATTGCCAAAAACTGGAAAAAAGAAATAACACCAACAAAAAAAGAATGGCAAGATAAATTGTTGGATTATATTGAATTGACCAGATTGACAGAAGCTATCAGAAGCCAAACAAAAATTTCAAAAAGACTGGGGGAAATATAGAGAATATCTTTAAAAGCAGTGCCCTCAAATTAATACTTGGACTTGTTTCGATTAACTTCCGCAAAATAAATGAAGGTATGTAAGTCAAAAACAGAAAGAAAAAGAGGTAGTAAGGAATTAAGAAGGAAACAGTTTATCAAAAATGAAAAGAGAACCATGTTGAGGGTGAAGAAAGTCAATTGGAAAAAAAGAAAAAATGAAGTATGGTATATATATATTGATGTTCATTTGTTTGTATAAATTTTTGTAAGTAACAATGTTTTAGCTGTATTTCTCTGTTTTTTGTTTTTGTTTTTTGTAAGTTTTAGTGTTGATTATGTTTTGTTGTTATTATTATTATTATTATTATTATTATTATTATTATTATTTTTAATGTGTGTCATAAAATAAATTGGGGGGGGGAGAGAAGAAGAAGAAGAAACAACAAACACTACCTGAGGCCTCCAGCTGGCCAACTCTGACATAAATGGAAACTAAAAATTACACACAGATCAAAATCTGTGTTGGTTCAGGGGGGAGAAATCCAAAAGCCACAATTACTTCCAAAGTTCAGGGTTATTTTTCTTGGCTTTTGTGGTTCTAAACTAGACCTTTCCTATTAGGTACATAATGTTGACTTACAGCTGCAACACTCAATAATAATCTGCTTGTATGTCAGTCAGTGCAATAATAGATTTTTAGCTACCTTTGTTACTTTCCGGTATGTTTCTGAATGACAAATCCATTTGTCGCTGTCAAATAAATCCAGTATTCCTATTGAAGTATTTAAAGCCACTCAACGAGGAAGGCAAAGAAATCACATGCAATTGTGGTTTTTTAAATTACATTTTAGGGGAATTATGCTAACAACCCCAAAATCCATCAGCTAATGGTATGATATTATAGGGCTATGAGGAGCTTCTTCATAGTGTCTTTCCACCTTCTGCCACTTTTAGAACTAGGCATCTTCTATTGGTGTAGATGGCCAGTTGAAACAATTGTTTATACTATGATGCAATGAGTGAGGGTGGTGGTGATGATAAAGCCCCTGTAAATGTTTGGTTAAGCTCCCCTGCTGAGGTGAGCCATCCATAGAAATTCTATTTTAATAAGGTGATGGAATTTTATTTGCAGAGGATGGAATAGCTCATCTCTGTTGTGAACAATTTTTGTTTGAAGTGAATGTTTGATTATGCATTTGGATTCATTGTAAAGTGTTTCTCTATCTAAGATGCTGAAGTTTGGTCAACAGACAAATGTTTGCTTTGGCATATCAGAAAAAAATAATGATAAAAACTGTTTTCTTGATGGGAAGACTTAATTGGAAACTGGTAATTGATGGTTGAGTGATAGGGGAAAACCTCATTTTGTCTAAAATTGCTGCTTTGTGTCAATTGTGTGTGTGTGTATTCCTCTCAACATCAGTTTTGTAATGTTTATTTTTTGCCACTGCTGCTGGCTTTTGTCATGCAAATACTAATCTTGTAGGGAAATGTCAGCCTATGCATCTTTTATACAGGCTTGATTTATTTCATGTAATAGAGAGTAACGTGTCATTCTGTTAAAAATTAAATATGTTTTTAAGGCAATGCTCAGGCTTATGCAATATTCTTAAAGGAACACATTCCCAATGCAATCCTTTATGCGTCTACTCTACTCAGAAGTCAGCCCAAGCCATTGAACTAATTAGAATTTCTTCTCATGAAATTGTATACAAGATTTCACAATCACTTTTATTAGATATCTTTCTCCCGCAATGCATTTTTCCAAAGCCAAGTCCTGTTCTGCACCCCTTAATATGTAAGACTCCAGATCAAACTGGATAAAGCTCTTGAGAGACTTCTGAGAAAATAACCTCCATCAACGAATGCTGAATGGGCGTGAATAGGATAACAGAGACACACCCCATTCATTATTCTTTGTTTTTCTTTTGTAACCAGTCTCAATCGTTGATTCAAATTTTCATTTCTTTCTCATTACCAAAACAAAATACTTATTTATATTGTGAAATTGAAAAAACAGAAAAGGTGAAATGGTCTGGCAATTTTCTCCACCAAAAAAAAGAGGAAACCTCTTTAGTCTCCATCTCAGTCCTCTAGGGGAGTGTGTATTAATCAATAAATAACCATGTGCGCAAGGTGAATTACATGTGATTTCCCCATCCAATCAGCATCACCCATCCCTTGGGAGGGTGCTGATTAGGCAAGAATCACCCAGGTGATTTGCCTTACCTATAGGATTAATTCATGCACAATTCCAAAAAGCTCGACCATGAGGAAGGGGTCCCATGTCAGTGTGTGGAGGGAAAGGCAATGGGGTCTTCATAGAGTTCCTTGTGGAATGATATTATGATGAAAATGTGCTAACTTGTATTTAGTAAGCCTCAGGTTTTCATAACTCATGTACGTCCACTCTTATGAACCTACTTTTATGTGGAAGTCTAGCCACAAGGTCACTTCCTGGTGGAAAATTCTCCTTTAGTTCATCTTTAATAGTAGCCAGATGGGTGTGAATCTTTCCTGTTTCGTCTTGCCGCGCTACATACTGCTGGGCAGAGTAAAATAATGAGCATGAAAAATTATTCACCTTCGTGAGTGAATAAGGATTCCTGTTCAGGTGCCATATATTCACTTTCAGCCGCGTACCATGGACACATATGATCTTGTGCAAGGTTGTTGAGAATAAGCATTCCCTTGCATTTCAAAAACCTGGTCAAGCAATCAGCACAGCAGCAAGGCTCACTTTCCAGAATCCAGATTTAACCCTCTCCACTGGAGAGATCCATTCCTCACCCACACCTCAATTGCTGTGCACCTTCTGTAGCTGTTCACGCCAAGAGGTGCTGAACTGCAAATAAGGCTTCTAATTCTTCAGAATCAAAGGCTGCCTCGGTAATGACAAAGCAAACACAGGGTAATTTTAGTGGCTGCCAGTCTTGTTAGATGATTTTATACATCGCTTGAAGCCCCTGCATTAGTCTGTTTAGAATGACATGGCAACTTGTGATTAGATAGTAAATTTACTGTTTGAATAGGACGAGCGTCAGGAGGGGAAAAGGGGGGAAAAAGAAAAAAAGGAAAGAGGCCAACAGCCGAGTTCCAATTTCCAATATAGTCTGGCACGCTCCATTGCTCCTGAACATCTCTGAAGCAAAGCACTATAGTTAAGCTCTTGCCTGGTATGAAGGGCTAAAATTCACAAGAAGAATTGGAAGCGAATTATCACCAGAGGCCCAACTATTCACATTATTTTCAGCTTTGTCCCTTGATGACAAAATATGCTTTTGGTGCTTCCTGATAATGGAAGGAAAGGCAGAAATAGAGAAACAATTATTCCTACCTCCTAACTGTAAAAATATTTACATTTCCAAGAATGTGTGGGGGTTTTTTTAAAAATGTGAATTTTTCAATTTATGTGTTACCTTGTTGGTTTTATCCTGCAGCATGCTTGATGTCTATCCCCAGACTCCTGTTTATCTCACACACAACTCAAGAGAGATGGTGATTTCCTCAAAGTCAACCAGTGAGATTTATGGCTAACCTACCATTTTAACCTTGTTCTCATCAATTCAAGTCCAACATTCTTGTCACTGTGCTACTCTGGCTGCTTAATACTTAGGGCCAGGTTCAACCAGCTGGTGCCTTAGCAGAAACCAGTGCAAGGACTCCCATTAGCACAACAGGGCTTCCCCTCTGGAAGGGAAAGAGCTTGGGGAGATTTGAGGGCTTATTTGATAGGTTATTCAGAGTGCATGAGGAGAGGGGAGTGTGGCCTTTTCATTTCAATGGGACAAGATGGAATAGGAAGGCTGAATCTTGACTGGAAAGTTGCTTTTATTTTATATTTTACATAACACATTTATTTTTAAGCTGTCAGCATTAAGGGGTGTAAGAAAGTGGTAGGAGAAGCCAAAGAGAAGGAAAGGATAATTGTTTGTGTTGTTTTAATATTATTCTGTGCTACTTTGCAAAATAAGCATCAAGGCAGCTTATGCAATAAAAGAATAGAACAAATTTCATAACAGAAAACATTAGCAGCTCTAAAAACAATAACAAAGAGGAGATTAAAAGCTAGCAGCAATGAGTTTAAACATTTAAAAAGCCTGGGAGAATAAATGGTATTCAGCTGTCACTGAATAGATAGTAATGTAGGTGTCAGGTGAGAATTTCATAAGCAGGGACCACCACAGAGATGAACCTGTTCCCTTTATTCACCAGCCATGTTACCACCCACCCTGTTCAACAGAGATGTAGCTTGGGCTTTATTTTCAGCCTCTGTCTCCTGTGTTCCTCACAATCAACCTTTCAACAAGCAATATTGCATCTTCCTCCAAAGCATTGAAAAGAATATGGCCTTGCATCTCTGCCCCATCAGCAAGAGCTCCGCTCTCATTAGTCTACTGCATGTTTCTCCTCCCTTGACTTACATTCTATTGCCTTGCTTCCCTTTTGATTATCCAGGCCTCTCATGCTAAAATCATCCCTCTGGCCCTGAATAAATCCCTGCACTGGTTTCCTGAGTGCTTCTGGATCCAAGTACAACAGAAATCACCAATGAGGGCCTCTAGATATTGTTGGACTATGACTCCATAGACCATGCTGGCTATCCCTGTGGTACAGTGTTTACTAAACATGGGTCTCCTGCTGTTTTTGGACTACAACTCCCATCATCCCTAGCTAGCAGGACCAATTGCCAGGGATTATGGGAACTGTAGTTCAAAAACAGCTGGAGACCCAAGTTTGAGAAATGCTGCTATAGTACAAGCTCCTTGTCCTTGCTTTCAAAGTCTTCCATACCCTTGTCCCTCATCTCCCCAGTCTTATTCTCAATACATCCCTCCTCTGACCTTCACTCCTTGATCTCTACTACCACCAGTTGCTAAAAGGTCGTCTGCTTCTTCAAAACTCTGTTATTTCTCCCCGCTACCATTCCACACTTCAAAATGATGGACGTTTTACTAGCAAATGTAAAAATACCACCCATCAGGGTGTCTCTCCCCCCCCCCACATTTTTTAGACATTTTTCTTCTGTGTTATTTTTGATGATTGGAAATAGCAGTAAGCCCAGCTACCCTTTCTCTGCCACAAAGGACGTCAGGAAGTCTCAGAGAATTCATTGCCCTGCTATTTCCACTACAGGAAGCTGCCAGGCTGGCCCGTTGCTTTGTAGTTTTTGACCTAGGTTCTGCATTGAGCTGAGCATTTTTACAACCTGAGCCTTCATTTAAGCTCATGAGTGGGGTAGCCTCTCTTCAGTAGCCCAGTCATAAATGAGCCAGAAGCTATGGGAAAGGAAAGGTACACAGAAGTTTTTACAACCATATAATTAGGAAATCATTAATGAGAGTATGGGAGAGATACAAAGACTTGCTAGAACAAAAGACTCCTTGGTGGCTTTCACCACATGAAGCGTTACTGCTCAAACCACTTGGAAAGAAAGGAAAATGGCTTACATATGCTGACTTGTTAAAGGACCAAGATGGAAAATGGAAATTAAGAGATTATGATGAGATAAAAGATCATTTTCAGAGTTGGTTGCACTATTGACAATTACATGAAACATACAAAGAAGACAGCAAGAAAGGATTCAGTTATACAATATCCAAGTTTCAAAGGGAAGTGGTAGAAGGGAAAGTTAAATTATTGAAGGGTACATATAGCATCCTGCTAGAATGGGAGACAAAAGACGAAGAGGTGAAATCAGTTATGATTAAATGGGCACAAGATATAGGGCATAATATTATGTTGGAAGACTGGGAAAGGTTATGGAAAACTGACTTAAAATTTACAGATTGTTCCTTGTTGAAAGAAAATTATATGAAGGTGATGTATAGATGGTATATAACACCAGTGCAGCTAGGAAGAATGTATAAAACCAGTTCAAATGTGTGTTGGAAGTGTAAAGAAAAGGAAGGGACCTTTTACCATATGTGGTAGGATTGCAATGAAATTTAAAAGTTTTGGGAAATGATATACAATGAATTGAAGAAAATGTTCCATCTAACATTTGTTTAAAAACCTGAAGCATTTATGTTAGGGATTGTAGGGAAAGACCTGCCAAGGAAATTGAAAAATATCTTCATGTATGCGACAACGGCGGCAAGAGTCTTAATAGCACAAAGATGGAAGAACGAGGAAATCCCGACAAGAGAAACTGATGGACTATGCAGAATTGGCAAAATTGACACATAAGCTACAGGACAAGGATAACTGTAACTTTAAAGATGAATGGGAACCTTTTACAAAGTACTTAAAGAAACAACAAAATGAACTGGACTCCTTGGCAGGTTTTGAATAAACACTCACTAACTTTTTATTGGCAATAGCTAATTAGATAAATTAAGGATCTATACAATTTTGTAACATGCAGAGAATAACAATTGTTGATAAACCAGAGAGAGGAGCTGAGGGAAGTCTGGGGGGGGAGTGGAGGGGGGTTACTTTATGGGGAGGGGGAGGGGAAAAACAGGGGAAATTAAGGATGTTTTTTTTTTGATAAAATGTCTTGACAGTGGGGCTTCCAGAGGTCCTACAATGCCTGACAACATCAAATGTACATATTTGCTAGCTGTTCAGAAGCACTGCTTTGCCTCTATGCACAGTTTGTCTTCTTTGTGTGATCTCAGCCAATAAGGGAACACATTGTGAACAAAGCCCTCTCTTTGAATAAGAGGGGATAAGAGGGAACATATTCATCTATTGCTGAAACCACCTGGCTGAAGTGCCTGTATTTCTGCAGTGGTTACAAGGAGTACCAGCCTTGTTTTATTTGGCAGTGAGCCAATGCATTTCCTTCCCTTCCACCACGAACAATTTTGCACACTGTTCCACGCTCCCTCCCAGAAGGAAGGTGCAAAAGGGAGCACCTTTTCAGAGGTCATGCTAACTTTTGCAAAGTTGAGTTCTCCTTTGCATTAGCATTTTTCCCCAAAAAGGAAACTATCATGGGGGCTACACAAGCACTGCCATAAACCTTGGTTGTTCTATTAAGGTGCCACTAAAATATCAAAGGGACAGCTTTGAAGTCATGGCATCTGTGGCCCATGTCATGGCCCACGTTTTCTCACTTGCTCTGTTACAAGGGAATTACGAAGCTCCTAGACAAGGTATGAGAAACCTGGGGCCCTTTAGATGTGATTGGACTCCAACTTGCATCAGCCCCAGCTAGTATACCCAATGGCCTGGGGTGATGGGAGTTTTAGTCCAGCAGTGTCTGTAGAGCCACAGATTCTGCACCCTTGTCCTAAGCAAACCAGGCCCACTCATTAAATAGAGTGCAAGTTTCCTGAGAAAGCCTTCCCTGGCTTAGAATGGAAACCAAATTCTAAACATGTGCAAAGAGCTCTGGAAGATGTTTTCCTGGGTACCTAAGTTTTTAAATAGGGATATTAGGCATCCTGGAAGTGCATGTTCCTGGAAACCTTGCATCCAGGACACTTATCAGCATGCTTAGCAGTATTCCATACACACAGAGTCTTCGGATGTATCGTTCCCAGGGTGTCTCAGATTCTTACTACTCAGATGTCCTGGAAAATTGCATGACCTGGGATCTCCAGCGTAGCACCCTGCCATTTCATTTAACCAGGTACCAAAGGGAAAGAGAAGCCTCACAGGGAGGCCTCCTGGTTGCCTTCACTACTAGGTATGTTTTGGGTGAAGGGAAGGTGGCACTGTAAGGACAGAGGCTCAATGGGATTGAGAGACACATAAAGGACTGCCAGTGTTTTAAGACCATGTAAAATGACATTTGCCTAGCACCAGCTTCATATAATATAGGCAGGTGGTTAAAAAACTATTTTATTTTCTTGGGTTTTAATCAACACACTGTGGATGGTTTTTTGAGCTGCTTTGGAACTGCTATCATTATACTATATATAGCAATGTGTTGTATTCTTTGCTTTATTGAATGTGTACATAGTCATTTTACAGCATTTATAATTAAGAATGAAAACGAAAGAGAGACACATAAAGGTCCCCTCATGCTACCAATAATTTTGTTGAGAATGCAATAGAGTTTCTGGATTTTGGAACTGTGCTTGGGGAGGAAACCAGAAATATTTTTCTGGAAGAAGAAAAACTTGCATTGCTAAACAATCCCTATACTTGTTCGCTTGGGTAACTGTCCCATTGAGCTCAATGCAGTTTGCTGCCTAGTAAGTGCACTCCAGATCAGAGCCTTAAACACCCTTCACACATGAGGGGAAGACCACATGATGAAGGGGAAACAGAGCCACACCACTGCTCCTGCCACTCAAATCATACAGCTTCCCTGGCCCTGCCTCCAATGACCGTGTATTGTGAATGTCTGCAGGAGTAAAGATTACACTAGAGGGCCTCACCTCATGTGGAAAATCTATGAGCATAGGCTTCACCACTGTCCAATGTGTGCCCAAAGGAGCTGCATGACATTGTGTGCCCTTGGAGACAGGGGCAGTGGTGCAGCCCAGAAACCCAATAATCACTTGAAGCCGCCTTTGCATATTTAACATGTAAAAAGAGCTTTAGCTGAGCCCAATTCCGAATCAAACTGAGAGTTTGGCCTTCTGTGCCCATTTCAGCTGCAGCCTGATAGTGAAGAGTGAATGACAACATAGTCCGGGAGATTTCTTTTCTTTCTTTGCGCAAACTGGTTTGCTTAGCTGTGGCAGAGGCTTAATGTGTGCAAAATGCCTGGAAGACACAGGCTGTGATTGTCACAGCCATCTTTGGAAATCTCATCTTGCAAGGATCACATCCCTGCTAAGTGCATGATTATTTTTCACCCGCTCGAGAAATCAAGAAATGCTTTAGGCAAAATGACCTTTCATGGGAAACAGAGCTTGCTGGCGTGTATGTGTAGACAGAGAGGTAAAAGCATAGCTATGGATATTTCCACCTATGTGGTTTTCACAGTGCAGCGATCAAAACGATTGTTGCAGTTTGTATAAGCATCATTATCTGCAGCTGGCTTAATGGCTCATCATCATGCTCCCCTTTCACAAGCACAGACGCTTCCCACCTAAGAGCTAACACAAATGAGTGGAAGACCCGTGGATGGTATTTGTTGCTGGGCTGGGCTATTTCTTATACTCAGACCATATTAGTATGGAGGAGAAAAACCAGACAAATACCTTTTCCTCTCAAAGGGAAAAACAGAGATATCTGTCAATTGACTTTTCCGTAAGTAAGATGCTCCCTCCACACCCTAAACTAAGAAGGAAAAGCGTCTCAGGCTACAATCCTATACATTTGACTCAAAGTAGTATACCATTACAATCAGCGTTATTGTTCTTTATTCAAAAGCACACATCAGTCCTTTGGGATATCAAGCATTACTGGGAAGCATGATCCTGATGGTGTACATCAGGTGTGTATGGGGTGTTAGGGGAGAGGTGGTACCTCTGATGGGGGACATGTCCTCCTTCTGAGGAAGTCTGTCCACCTTTGGTCTCTACCCTGCATTTAGCTCTCACCTGTGGCTTCCAGAAGCTGTCAGCGTGCGACAGCAGCCACAGTCCAAGAATGGCTTTGGCTGGCTGGCTAAACCAGGTGAGGGTAGCCAATGGTCTCAAACCCTTGGTGAGTCAGGGACTTCCCCTGCATGTGAAGATAGGCTCTGATGGATTGAGTGGACAAGGCCAATAGTGGGTCCAATGGTCAAGAAGGCAGTTTCTGCACATGATACAGAGGGTAGTGGGAAGCAGATGGGGCTCGTCAACCTGGGAAGGTAGCCCACCTTGGAGAAGGAATGCTCTGCTCCTAAACCTCTGCTGTCTTGTGGGATATCTTCTGGAGAAGAAAATGCTAAGGAGTAAACCCTACACAAATCTGGAGTAGAGTGCCTAAGACAGTTGGATGATGCCTTGTACACCTCCTTCCAGAAACTCCTGCGGCCAAGCTGGTGCTAAACTACACAAGCGAGATTGAGAACAGGGTCTTGTCATCTAGGCAGCTCAGGACCTCCATAAACACTGCATGGGCTTGTGCCCCAGAGAGGTCATTTCAGTGCTGCAAACACAGCAGTTTTGACTTCACTCCTGAGGTTGCACTCCATTGTTTCTCAAGACAAATGAATGGTTGCAACAACAATATCCAGCCACCACCACTGGTTATTTACAGCATCTCTGTGCCTAGCAATAAAAATGCTCAGTGCTTCTGCTGACTATCTGTAGGGACATCTACAAACCTGGTGGGTGAGGACAGCAATAAGACAGTACGGTCCAAGTTCTGCAGCTCATCCTCAAAAGCAGAGAGCTAGCCCAATGCCCATGTGGCATGATTAGCTCTCTCCTTTCGATGGATAGAAGGGAATATATCCCCACTTGAAGAGAAAAATCTGTGACAGCAGAGATAGATAGCTGGCCAGGAAAGGAAACCAAGCAGGGAGATTTGCCTCCAGCCTGTCAGCTCCCCTCTTTTGGATCTCATGCCCAGCAGATCTCCTTACCCAAAAGACATGGGGGAGCCCCAGCCCCTAGGACAGGGAAACAACTGTAGGGCAAGGCTGATCTGGAGGGACAGTAGAAACCATGTACTAACTTTTTCATGATAAAAGTTACCTGCACCCATTTTTTCTAAGTCAACCTAATTTACTAGCCTCTGTTCCATAGCCCCTTCCTCACTCCTAAAGGAAAAAGGGGGGGGACTGATCTAGGCATTTATTACGCACACCTCTGTATGTTGTAACAGGACATTACATCATAAGATCTGAAAAGAAGCAGATGGAACTGGCATCATTTTACATAATCTGATCAAGATATATTGTGAGCACTCTGTTTTCCTATTTCTTCCTCTCTCTTTCACATACAGACACACAGGCAATGGTGAGGCCGACTACTTTTACGGGAACAAGATAATGCCACTATCGTGTGGGAGATTCTCTGGAGCAAGGAGTACCCAAGAGGGCAGGAGATAACAGAGTCATCCAGTGTAACTGTAACTCTACAGATGCTATTTTGTGTGGAGCATAGATTTCAATCTCACAGAACATATTTGTTGTCCCACAGATACCTCCTGCACAATTCATGTTGGTCTCTAAGGTTTGCTATCAGTTTGTGCCACACCATCAATGGAATCCTGTTGCTTAATCAGATGGGAGCATCGCTCTACCATCCTCTAATGTTAAGATTTCTGGAGGTGTGTACTCTTTCCATCCATTCATATTAACTACCCATTTAGCATACATGCAGAGTAGATAAGAAGAGTACTCTCCCCACTTTCTATCTATTAACACAGAAATCCTCTAGTGTTGCATCAAGTGAAGAGATGGCTGCCTTTTGGATCACTTGCTTTCTCCCTAGGGAATACTGATAGTGTTTCTAGAGCTGACTGAAGATGCTTTCTCAACAGGTTAGGAGATGTTTATTTACAAAGCAAGCCACCTCTGGCCAGGGAATTGTGGGCGGAAGCTGCCATAGGAAGCTATCAGGTGAGTGGTCCATCTAGGCTAGTGTCTCTGCACTAACCAGCAGCAACTCAGAGAGGGTCTCTCCAAGCCATACCTGGAGATTGAACCTAGAAGTCTCAGCATGCAAAACAGATGCTCTACCATTGAGTTTCAACCCTACAACCAGGCTACCTCTACTGCAGGAAATGTGTGCGCATAGCCCCTCAGCATCACCCCACAATTTAATGGGGTTTTTTCTTCTTTTGACTTGTTCAGGTCTGTAGAGGCATGAGGCTCACAGTGGACGCAGGCACTTTCCCTGTCAAGCATTCAGTACCTTGGACAGCTCCTGTGAAACTCCCTGGTGAGTTACGGTATCTCTGCAAGGAACTAGAGACAGTGGAAGCCTTACGCTGATCAAACCTGGACTGTGGTAGAGTGTGATTCCTTTTCAAAGCTTAACAACAACCCCACATAACTTGATGAGCACTATTACTATGTAATACAGTTCATAAGTCTGTTTACATCAGTAGCTAATATCAATTGTGCAGCATTTCAGCTGCCATATGCCACATTTGCACCACACATGTAAAGCTCTCATCAGAGGTGGATTTAGGGGAGCGCAACTGGTTCAGTCACCCTGGGCACAGAGAGTTGGAGGCACCGCAACTATGATGCAAAAGCAAAGGCGGGGGGGGGGAGAGAGACCAAATTTTGGTGTTGCACATGGTGCTGCTGAAATTTGAGACCCCAAGGTCTGCCACCGCTCTCATATACCACTTTAACAGTTGCTGCTTCCTTAAAGGAATCCTGGGAATTGTAGTTTGTGGGTTTTTTAAAAAAAAATGAGAATATTTCAATTGAACAAACTAAAAGTGAAAGTGAATAAACGAAACAAAACCCTGTAATTTGTTGAGTGCCAAGTGTTGGTAGGAGACCCCTGTGCCCCTCACTGAGCCACAGTTTCCAGAGTGGTTTAATAATCAGTCCCGCTTCATGGGGAACTCTGCAAGGTGCATATATGGTCCTAGAGTCCCACAAAGAAAGAAGCAAATGGGAATTTAAGCATGCTGAGAATCCTCTGTTGGATATCCTTAACCCACCCCTGAACTACAATTCCCAGAGTTCACTGGGGGGAGAGAATTATTATTAAACCAGCTTTTATGCAGATAAAGTTCCAGAATTTCAGTGGACCCATCCAAACACATCAATGAACCCCAAGCTCAAAATCCATACCTGCTTTGGGAATCAGAAAGAAGTGCTGGGGTGAGGGCTTGTTTTTGATAGCAAAGAAAACATTACACGTATTGCAGCCGAGTACAAAAACTGTGATCTCTATAAAAAAAAGTTAATAATGGAAAATCCAGGCATAATTCATGTTTGTAAAAGGAGGGGGCAAAACCCGAGAGCTAATGAGAAGCAAATTGGCCAGAGCAAGTTTAGCAGTGGCATTCCCTTTTAATGTTCCAGCTGCCATCCTTTCTTAAAGCCGTGCAGCTGTATCAAATAATGACCTGCAATTTGTAATATGGGTGTTTATTATTATTTTTTTCTTTCTATGTTTCCCCCCTTAAATTAATAAGGTATCTCTTGTAATAAAACTGGTCTGCTGGGAAGGTTGGCTCAATTGCACCACCCACTGGGACGAAAGCACACAGCGTTATAAACCTCAATGCAATCAGGAAGACATTCATTCTGTGCAGAATGTCTCTCTTTACACTGCCTGTGCAGTTTGCTGCCGTCGTTCCTCTCTCCTTATCCCCACTTTGCATAAGACGCACCGCACAAAGGAAAATGTCTCAAGCCACCGTCATCTGTATTCTTCTATAGCTGCAAAAGGCAGGTTAAGACACAGCGTGAGAGGCTGCCTCCTGGATGTATTTGGATTGAGGAATGAAAAAGGAGAGCATTTCTGCTTTTATGGGAGGGTATATACCCTCCCCCCTTTTCTTCCTCACATTACAATGAAGGGCTTAAGTGATCTAACTGCAGATCATTTTTTATTTATTGGTGAGAAGGCTTCCCTTTCTGGCTTCTGTCACCTCCGATTAGTAAACACCAACGGCTCCAGGAATATGTTGTCTGTTCCGTCACCGCAACCCACAGAATCGAGCCATTTGAGAGACAGAGCGAGTGAGCTGTAGCGTGGAGGGAGCAGAAGAGGGGAAGGGAAGCAGACACGGAAGTTCACCCTGTCAAACTTGGAAAACTGAAAGGACCACAAGGCATGGCTAATGAAAAATTCCTGCTCACTCTACACAGGTGGGATGCTTTCATGTCAAAAAAGCTTGCCCCTCCCAATAAGTCTTGCTTCCGAACCATTTTAACGCAAGTATATGTAGCATGCAGCTGTAATATTACCCTCTCCCCCCTCCCGAAAAAAACCCAATGAAAGGCAAGATTTCAAGGTCACAAAGCAGGGAAGAGCTTTGAAATTAAATCCTACTGTAAGGGGAATGGTTAAAGGGCTCCTTTTTATCATCCTTGTGTTGCTCTCTGGGTTAGGGATAGGGGATTCAGTTTGCATTTAAATGCAAATTGATCTAATATGTGGATCCAAACACAGCTGCCCTTCAAAATTCATGCTTCTCCGCATTTGGCAATGTAGTTCTCCCATGAAGTAATGTGTACAAAATGTGTTATAAAGGCCATTGCCCTTTTTCATGGAGTTTGTGTCAAAGCATGCACTGGCCAAGTGTGCATAAGCCCATCCTGCCCCATTTCTCCCTCTTCCAGGTCCAAAAGGAGCCACACATTGGCAGTTGGATGTCAATCGGACACACCTAAAATGGTTGCCACTCGTATTGCATGACCAGGCGTGACAGCCCCAACTCCCAGGGAACATAGGAAAGGAAATAAAGACTCTGACAACGTTATGGAATTAAAATTAGGCCACAACTTTATTAAACTTCTGAATGTAGGAAGACCTTGGCTTAGGTCTTGAGCTTGTATCCCTCCCAGCCAGGGGGAACTGGGGTTCATAGGGTAAATGGGATATGGGGGTGCTCTGTGAGACGTAATTGTAGGCAGGCAGCCCAGCCCATATCCCCACACACAGGGTAGTTCACTGACAACCTTTCAGTCTATGGCCAGTGACACCTATTTATGTAACCCTTTAAGAGGGGGACCCTGGAATCGTCACCACAGGGGGGTGAGTAACCACTTCAAAGGCCCCCCCCCCATTATAGGGAAGAAAAGACTAAAGGATTCCACCCAAGGCCATAACCGCCAAAGTTGTGATGAATTGCTATGGGGAAGACAAAACCTGCCAATGCAGGAAAATTTCTTCCCAGTCCTTCAACAGCAACCAGTCAAAGACCACAGCAGCACCCACTAAAAAGGAAGAAAAAGTTAACCTGCAAGCAAGAACATTAACAAAGGGAGGGTGAATCTCCAGAGCCGTCTGCCTGGGAGTGAACCGTCTGAAGCTGGGAGTGAACCTCTGAATAATACACTGAGAAGCAGGCCAGCCCCCTTCTACTAGCAAGTTTCCTGGGAACTGTAGCACCTCACGTGATCCCGCAAAAGGCACCCACAATATAGCGTGAGTGCTCATTAGGATAAAATGCAGATATTCATGAAAATAACAAACATGCATTGTTCTGGCGAAAATGTTTTGCAAAAAATGTGTATATTAACTAAACTGCATACAAAAATCTGTGCATTAGCAGAAACTTACACAAAAATGTGGGGGGGGGATTCATACTTTTTTTAAAAAAAAGAAGAAAATTGTCGTGGAAATATGGAGAACTGTTCTTTAGGGTGGAAAAGTAAGAAACCGAAATTGACCAATTTGCCCATCCCTTATCTCAGATACATCACAACAGAAGCCCACTCATCTTCTCAAGAGCTGCATGCACAAGCCGCGGCTAATTTTTTGTACTTTTCTTTTTATATATCTTTTGCTTGGGAGGGACCATGGGAAACACTGGATCTTCCTCTCTGAGCTTTGAGAGGGAGACCTAATGTTGGATGCTGTATCTCGGCCACTGCAAAAAATATCTGTGGCCCCTGCCCTGCTAATGTCAGAGCTCTGATGTCAGTAAGGCAGAAAAGGGGACATGCTCAGGGCTGGCTAGGGAAAAGTTTGGATCCTAAACTAGGGCCCAAACTACGCCAGTTTGAGCTGGCATAGTTTATTTCCTTCCCATTGTTCACAATGGGATTTATAATATATAGAGAGAGAATATGGAAAAAGAGAAAGGGACAGACAAGTGCTCCTGTGCTAATAATTCTATGAAAGCCTGGCAGAGCGTTGGATGAGGTGGCTCAATGGCTTTGGTTTCCCCCACCATGCCCTTTAGGATTGCATCCATACTCACTTTTCTATTATGAAAAACAGGTTACAGTACAGGAAGGGAGCATAAAACTGACCAGGCAAACATCAACAGGTCAACATACCACCTACAGTGATACAATGAAGCTGCCTTTCAAATCAAGCTCTAAATAATAATAAGAGTTTTCCAAAATGACTTGTCAAATGTTATTTTTAAAGGATTTCGCCTTCTGGGGGTGGGATTGTCTTTTATGACCGCTGGGTGATGACCCCACTGGGCATGATAACCCAGTCGGGGGGGGGAGAGAGGCAGACTATGTTTAGGGCAGCTTTTCTAGCACCTCCCCCTTTTGGGGGTGAGCAGCGTGGATCCTAAATAGGGCTGCTCAGTCGTGGATACCAAGACCCATCTTTCAAGAGAATGAATTACTTAGGATAAGCACCAAATCAGCACAACCCTCGATCCTGATCTTAATTCGCAAAGATGGCGATCAGAGAAGCCATGTTTGGTGGCAGATTTCATGTGCCCTCCTCAATCCCATGTAGTGGTATGTTGAAGCTAATCTGTAATCAACAGAATCTACGGAAGGTATGAAATGGCCAAGGCACAATCATCACCCTGCAGTAAGCCAGCAAGATCACCAGTGTATGTCATGGGATGCAAGCCTCTGAAAAGTCTGTGTTTATTTTTTAATTATTTCGTATTTGATTGCGTCTTACCCATCAATCTCATGAGCCCTGCAGAACAATCTGGGGTAGGGAGTGTGGCAAAAATGATATACCTGCTGCTTGGAAGCTCAGACTACCTGCCAGAACAGGGGAACAATGTTTTCCACAATGCCAAGAGAGTCACATGTGTGCAATGGAATTCATAGAATCTGAGTAGCCTGCACAATGCACACTGGGGGTTGGTTTGTCCAGCCAGCTAGCACTGAAATGCTATGTATGCCAACTCAGAAGTAAACCCATTGTGTCTGATGGGTAGGTGTGTACAGGTTTGCAACCTAAATGATCTGAGGGTAAGGGAAAGCCAGATATAGGAGATAACTGACCATCAATGCCAACAAGAAGCCATAGACTGGTGTGCAAATTAATTACAAATCTTAGATTATTGCTGCTGTCCCAATTTATACATTGGATGTATTCTTACGGGTTTGAATATAATCCCTCCCTGCTTCCCTGGGGAGTGTGGGGAGCAGGAAACTAGAGTAATCTCTAAGGAGAAGGATGTTCTTTTTTCAATTAATACAGCAAGCCATTTCTACAGAACTTTGGCAAACTCCTGCCGCGCTGTTGCTCTGATCATAAACACTGAGTGACCTAATGGGGACAGGAAGTATCAGGAAATGCTGCGCAAGTTACAGATTTTAGGAGCTTATGCTGATCTCCTGGATTCTAGTATCTGGGGGGGGGGGGGAATTGCAGCGGAGTATTTCTTTTTTCTTTTTCGAGTGGTTCAGAACACTTTCAAATGAGCCAAAGAGCATTCTTCCCTGATCATATCCTGCCCCTCACATCCCATTTTTCTCCCACCCAAATAAACAATCCATAGTATTAAATAAATATAAAAAAGGTTGCTAATCTTCTGGCAGCAGAAACACTGAAATACCAATGGAATTGCAAAAGCGATTCTTTCTGTACAAATCCCAACTTGAGCGATTATTAAATTCTGCTTACCTATCATTCCTCCTTTAGCTTCAAGGGGAAAACATTACGTTTTTAAATTCTTGGCCTGAAATCTGTTGTGTGGCATTATGGATGCTGAAGCTTACATGTTCAGCATTCTAAGTAGGAAGACAAGTCACTCACAAGCTAGCGTTAAAAACAGAAGTTGCTAGCCTTTTCTTCCCCCTCCTGTTTCGTGCAACACTTTTATCCCAAAATACATTACAGAGCCTGTGTTCTTGTTGGGGGGGGGAGTAAACACTCATAGGGTCCTGCTTTAAACATTGCATGTCTAGGCTGTTCATGCACATTGTCTCTTTCATGTTTCAAGTGGTGTGTTGTAATGCTGGAGTTAAGCTACAACTACCATCCCCTTCATGGATCACTGCCTTGCTGTGGCGAAGGGGCTTGAATAACTCAGAGAAGCTATGAGCTATGCCATGCAGGGCCACCCAAGATGGACAGGTCATAGTCGAGAGTTTTGACCAAACATGATCTACCTGGAGCAGGAACCGGCAAGCCACTCCAGTATCCCTGCCAAGAAAACTCCATGGACAAAGACAACAGGCATATAAAAGTTATGACGCTGGAAGATGAGCCCCTCAGGTCAGAAGGCGTTCAACATGCTACTGAGGAAGAGCAGAGGACAAGTACAAGTAGATTCAGAGCTGATGAAGCGGCTAGGCCAAAGCCGAAAGGTCCTCAGTTGTGGATATGCCTGGAAGCGAAAGGAAAGTCCAATGCTGTAAAGAAAAATATTGCATAGGAAGCTGGAATGTAAGAACCATGAACCTTGGTAAGTTGGATGTGGTCAAAAATGAGATTGCAAGAATAAATATTGACAACAAACCATCATCTCTGCCCATTGGTCATGATGGCTGGGGCTGATGAGAGTTGGAATCCAAAAACATCCATGGGACACAACTCCTGCTTCAACATTTATAGGTCATTTCTAGCTGCCATGGAAAATTTGTGGCAGTACCAGTGTTCTTCTGGGCCACCTTGCCTAGAATGTTTTGCTCTGAGGGAAGACCCTCTCAGAACATCATTATCAGTGGAGGCAAAACTCTTTAAAAGTAAGCAGGAGCAGCAATGGGGTGGTGGCAGTACCATATATTGCGCCCATTCTGTTCTCTTCAGTGCCGGCCTTCCCAGAGAAAGCCCACCTTCCTGACATCAAAGACCATTTTCTTTTCGCCAGGCCTTTCAAACCTGATCTGTTTTCATCCTTGTCTTCTCCATGTGTTTTCAAGCTGCATTATTTTTTATTGCTACCTTTTATTTTATTGCTAATCATTCTTAATTCGCCTTATTATGGTGTTATAAGCTGCCCCGATAACTTTTTAAATTATATGACAGGAGTAAATAAATAGAGCAAAATCCCTAAACAAAACCCACCTTTTCCATGAAAAGTCTGACTTAATGATTAGTCCTTACCCCCATGGTGCAATCCTCTGCATGTTTACTCATAAGTAAATCCAAGTGACTTCGGTTGGCTTGCTCCCAAGCATTGTGCAACTGCATTCATTTGTATTCCCCCCCTTGTCCCCCCTTTTCATGAAAACTCCTCAGGGCAGAGACTTCTTCCCCACCCACCAAAACCACGCTAATATATTTCAGTGTAGAGTCCAAATACCCATTGCTCCATGGTAAGGTCTATACTAGTCATTTGCAAACTGTCTGGCTTCAGGAAATCCTTTCTATCTCAACTTATCTGCTGTGGAATACCTGCCAGGAACCCCCTGCTTGTTGCAGAGGACTCTGGGGAACGTTCTAGCAGCATGGTTCATACAGCGAGCATTGCCCAAACCCATGCTACAGTGAACAACGGCAAGGGAAGATTGACAGCGGTGGCCCACCTATCCTTGCCTACCATTCTGATCTTCTCATTGAGGAAGCCTATGGAACACAGATTGAAAGCCGTTCCTCTGTGTATTACATGCTTTGATTCCAAGGTTTTACCAGCAACCAAGTCTAGGATAATTTACTGCTTAGCAATGTTTTCATGGTGTACCTCCACAATTTCCCAACTCACTAACCACAAAATTAACCAGAGGTCTGTTGAGCATTATTAGTCTATAGGTATCATTCTGAATGATTACTCATATTGAATGGGTGCTTAGCCAGGTGTAAGAAACAAAATCTAAGAGGCTGCAGCATGCTAAAGCAGAGAACTGCCACTTTTTATATTAATTCAACACCAGGGATTTTATACACACACCATTTCCCATCTGTATTAAACACTAACATTATCCGCTAGGTTATACATTTCTAACCACCACCACCACCACCCCAGTTAATTTTAAGAATATGAGATACCATTTTCAGCTCAGTTCTCTGGGAATACATTTTCCTGTTCACTACAGGAAAACAATTAATGAGATTCAAGGAATTTATCTATGCACTCAAAGAGAAGCCAAATTAACTGTATCTCTAATAATTCATTCTGCTTTTTTTTTTAATTGACTGAAGCTGTATCAACAGACTAGACCACTTTTTTGCCAATACTCATATAAGCAGCACTAAAGCAGAGAATTACATCTGATTTACAGCCTCATGCTAGGCATATCTCCAAGGTGGCAAATTCTGGAGCGATTCACCACTGGTAAGCATGCAAAGAGGTGGTGTAATTCGCACTAGATGCTATAACGGGTTTCATGTCATGCTTCTAACACATGAGATCTTCAAAAGAAATATCTTTCTGGAGATGTAACACTGCCAATTGCTTAACATGGTTCAACAATGATCTTTCCAATACCTCTCACAGAGCATAAATTCTCTGCAGTAGATCATTATGTCAGCACTTAGTTAGAACTAAACTGGGTTACTACTTAGTCAGGGTTTGAAACCATATCCAAATTTATGAGATTTCATATTCCAGGAGGGATGGCATAATCCCATGACCCATTTTCTGGTTTAGGAACACAGGAACCAAGTCAGAGCATCTAGATCAAGGGAAGTAATAGTGCCACTGTATTCTGCTCTGGTCAGACCTCACCTGGAGTACTGTGTCCAGTTCTGGGCACCACAGTTCAAGAAGGACACTGACAAACTGGAACGTGTCCAGAGGAGGGCAACCAAAATGGTCAAAGGCCTGGAAACGATGCCTTATGAGGAACGGCTAAGGGAGCTGGGCATGTTTAGCCTGGAGAAGAGGAGGTTAAGGGGTGATATGATAGCCATGTTCAAATATATAAAAGGATGTCACATAGAGGAGGGAGAAAGGTTGTTTTCTGTTGCTCCAGAGAAGCGGACACGGAGCAATGGATCCAAACTACAAGAAATAAGATTCCACCTAAACATTAGGAAGAACCTCCTGACAGTAAGAGCTGTTTGACAGTGGAATTTGCTGCCAAGGAGTGTGGTGGAGTCTCCTTCTTTGGAGGTCTTTAAGCAGAGGCTTGACAACCATATGTCAGGAGTGCTCTGATGGTGTTTCCTGCTTGGCAGGGGGTTGGACTCGATGGCCCTTGTGGTCTCTTCCAACTCTATGATTCTATGATTCTATGATTCACTTGTCAATTTAGTGTGATCTTCTACACCAGTGATGACCAAACTTGGCCCTCCAGCTGTTTTGGGACTACAACTCCCATCACCCCTAGCTAACAGGACCTGTGGTCAGGGATGATGGGAATTGTAGTCCCAAAACAGCTGGAGGGCCAAGTTTAGCAATCACTGTTCTACACCAACTGAAACTTCTCAGAGTTTCAGCTAGAAGACTTTCCCATCCCTACCTGACAATGCCAGGAATCAAGCCACATAATGCATATTCTCTACCACTGAGCTACAACCCCTCCTGTTAGCAGTGATTAAGCAATCAAGAGTTGAATTTTCACCATCTCCTGTGTCCTGAACCTCTGGCCTACCTGGCAGCAAGTCAGTATGTTAAGTCCCCAGTCCAGGATCAATCCATGTGTCCAAAGTCCATACAGAAACAGAGTCTCACAAGCTGAGGGCCATCAACATGGGCAGTTCAACAGAAACAGAACCTTTGCTCTGCTGCCCTTCTGTACTTTGCATGCCTGTTACAGCATCTGGGCCTGATGAGACATGTGACCCTCACCTGTTCTAAGCCTACTCCACCTGAGTTATCACACACCTCCTCCCAGAGCTAGCGAGCCCCACCTGGCCAGTTAGGGAGCTGGGCTGTGGGCCCTTGCTTGCCTCAGACTTCTAGAGTACCCCTCCCTCTGCTCCCTAAACCGCAGAGCCCACAAGTAAAGTAGGAGGTAGTAGTTGCTAGCATTTTATTTATTTATGTGAGATTTCTTTTTTTCATTCATGCTAATCAAGCCTGAGGATGCTGATTTTGAAAGCTTTTTGTGCAAGTACAACTTTCTCAATTCCATCATCATTTTATTCTTTCTGGTTAGTTACCACTGCAATATTTTATCTATTTTTTTATGGCAAATTACCGTTTGGGGTGAATATGCTTTCTTACAAACAGCCCAGAGAAGTAAAAAAATATAACAATAATGGGATTGCTTAACAAGACTTCCAAGCAACATGAATCAATCTTTGCTTGGAACTGATGAGCCTTGTCAATTAAAAATAAAAAGGATTTTGCACCAAAATTACCATTTATAATGTAATTGTTTAATTGCAATAAATCATGATTTTTAGTGGGAAATGGTTCAATGTTCTTTATCCTTCAGGTTTGTGAGTCTGAATTAATTAAGCAAAACCGTAAATGCCGATTAATCCCTTCATGGTTCACAGGAATATCAGACCAGGCTTGGGAACCTCAGACCCACAGGTCAGATGCGGCCCTCCAGGCCTCTCTCTCTGTGGCTTTTGGGAATCCCTGCAGGCCAAATTTCTTCCTCAGCCTCTCCCCCTCTTTTCAGGCCACACCTATATCCTTAGCAGTGGTCATTGAGGAAACAGCCATCAAAAACCAAGCACCTTCAGCTAAGCCTGGAAAGCATCAGATGACCATCCATGCTCATTAGTAAGCAATTGACTTGAACAGAAGACAGCTGTCTTTTCACTTGACGCCACAAGATAGCATTTATGTTACAATAGGTGATCAGAGTAGCATTAGACCAGATTGTGCATGAGCTCAAATGGCACGAAGGTTACATCTGATTTAGTCCACAGAGGTTGAGGTCAATAACTGCCTGTGTTCCACTGCGAGACACTTTTCACTTCATGGGAAACCAAAGGTGGAAGCAGTTTATTCCTTCCTAATGAAGACTCATTTCCCAAAAAGGGGTTTTAATCTCTTTTGTGATGTTTAGACATAAGGAAAGCAAGAAACACCCCAGGCACATTTTCATAGAACTCAATTAAAATCAAGTTCATTTGTGCAAGAGGAGTCCCTGTAACTTAATCATTAATAAAACCCAAGATCCCACATGTATTAGACCTGTGTTTCGCTTGGGTCTGAGGGATTGCTACTGACTAAAATGTTTGATGCGATATGGATTTGCAAGTATCATATATGCCTTTGTGCTGTATATCAATGCCATGATATTGATAATAAGGGATTTGCTGGCTATTTACCACTGACATTTTCAGAAGCTGCTTTGTAATCCACAATGATCTCCCCCTGTATTACATTCCTTTTTGTAAACTAGGCTTCCAGGGTTTTACAAAGAAAGGCACAGTATTGTACAACCTGACATTTGGATGCTTTCTCAAGAGATATTAAGAACTTAACATCTTTATTCCACACTTCTGCCAGAGTAGATTAAAAACTATAGAAGGACATTATTTATTAGAGTCTAGTTAATCTCCAAAAGTTCATGAGTTCATTTATTCACAAAACCATACAGATGCTTCTTGGAAACTTCTCCAAAAACTACAAGCCTCTTGAATCTAGCAAAATTGCTATAAAGACCTACAGAAGAAGCAGGTATTCAGCTGACATTTTCTGCTTTTACCGTTTCTTGTTCAGTCATAAATGCATCTTGAACAACACAACCAAAAGTGTTTGATTGAACTTGAGCAAATTCAATGGATGGCATCCCACAGCTGCCAAGTTTTCAAATTGAAAATAGAGATTTCACTGGGTAGAAAATGACTAAATTACGTAAAAACTCACCTACTTTTCATCCAGATCATTGTCACTGTTTCCTATGGCTACTGCTATGACACCATTTCTCCCTGGCTGCTGTTGATGCTTTGTCCTTCCTGACTCTGCCACATGAACCCATATTCCAATCAGGATTCACATAGTGAATGTGATGACCTCATGGTGAACTGTATCCAGTCAGATTTGGGCTACATTATGATGTCATTGAGAGCAACAGGGTGGCAACGGAGAGACAATATTGTTGTTTTTATCAGTCACATAGGCAAGTCCAATTAGCTAAAAAAAGGGGGGGTGAAAAATTAAAGCATTTCTTGATAATGGCAATAATTTTCATGAGCAACTTCATCCAGGCCCTGCTTGTATTGAATCAGTGCAGCTTAATTTAAATTTTCCATGCTTCCTCTCATAGTTTTCTTTTGCTCATGAAATGTTAAAATGGAATGGAGGGAGAGAATGGTGTGGGAATTAAAACTTAAAGAGAGAGTTTGATTTGAAGGATACATGAATATAATATTCTTGGCCCGATCTCATTTTTATTGCTAACACACTTCTACCTGTCTATTAGCCCATTAGCAATATTAAAAGCTTACAAAAAAAACCCTATTCAATGCAACATTTAAATGGCCTTGGAAGACATCGAGAATGTGTTGAATTTAGATGTTTGAAGAGAACCAGAGCATCTTAGGAGTTGGATTTAATTCATAAGAGCATCAGTGCTGGATCAAACCAAAGTTTCATCCAGTCCGACAAGATTCCCTGTGTATTGGCAGTGCAGTTTTTACACCAGAACTAGACTGGACACAAAGGTGATTTGAAAATTATCGTATTGGCCATTGCCCTGTTTGCATCGCTATGACGGCCTTATAGTGTTCAATGCACAATCACATACCACCACCATAAGTATATGGGGTGGGCAGTACAATTCAGATGAGAACATGGAACTATATCTCTCCAACCTCAGATTACACACACTTAAGAGCTCATAAGGGAGAAATTTAGTGACAGGAAACAAGGAGAAAGGGCACTTTGCACAAAGCAGTATGTCTCCACAACAGCATTGGGAATCTAAACACATTGCTAGCACTTCTCTGCCCAGAACAGGAGTGGGGAACCTTTTTCAGTCTGAGGGCGACATTCCCTCCTGGCCAACCTTCTGAGGGCCACATACCATTGATGGCTGAGGCCAGAGGTAAAAGTGGATGGAGCAATGAATATGAATTTTGCCTTTGTGCAGTAGGCTAGTTTCTTGACACTCAGACATTTTTCCCCCTCCTCCATTCAGGCAAGAAGCATCAGCAGTCAGGAACTGGGTCAGCAATAAACCATTTGGTGTCAGTGAAGTTAACTCTTTATTCAAAGAAGCCCAAAACAACACAGGCCTAGTACTCACAGCGACTCTCCCAGCAGGTCTTGCCCCAATGAGGCAGTTTCAAGGACTGAAGTCCCCTGCCTTCCCACCTCTCTCTAAGGCCCCTCTGTTGATTCCTTCCCCATCAGCCTAAGGCTTCGTCATCTTGTCTCTCCTTGCTTCGCCCTCTTCATTCCTCTCTGTGTTTTGTGAGACCAGGGTAGAGGGGAGCTGCTAAAAGCAGAACTAGGAGACTCTGTGGCTTCTTCAGCAGCCTGCCTCCTCTCTGCCTCTTGCCCCCCTCCTCTTCAGCCTCCGCTTCTGCTTCTGCATCTGGACTGCTCTCTACCACAGTCTCTTCCTGCTCACTCAACCTTGTTGCCTCTTCAGCACCTGACACCTCCTCCTCCCAATCTGCTCCCTCTTCTGCTTCTGATCACTCATTGTCATCCCACCACCAATCCCCTGGCTCTGAGCCTTCCTCCCCTGGAAGTTCCCTTGGGGCTTCCCCAGCTGGTGCCTCCCACCACTCCTCTGCATCCAGCTAGTCCATAATATCATCTGAGTTCAGGGACACATTCCAGCCAGTCAAAAGAACTCAAGGAAGTTGCAAAGCAGGACAGGTGAATGGTGTGGCCTGTGGAGAGTTAGGAGGATCAGAGAGTGGTCTCCAGGGATATTTGGTCTCCAGGCCTGAGGTTCCCCATCCCTGGCCTAGAACCTTAACAGGAAGTCCAACCGCACTGCTACCATCTGAAGACAAGTATGTGGAGGTTCTTCTGCTCCCAGGCTTGGAAGTGTGGGCTTCATACTGAAACAGAGAAAAGGGCATTAATCCAGACTGAAGCTTCACTTGCATTAAAGTTCCATCGATTCACTGTTGATATAAAATGAAACATGCAGGAAATTGATTTCTTAAAAAAAATATAAAAGACAATGCAAGTGATCATCAATTACAAAAGAGAGAGAGAAAAGAATGAAGTGAAAAGTTCCTCAGGCAGGCAGGCAAAGACAGTATTACATTTACAAACTGTATATTAGCCAGCAGGCAAGTTTCTCCTTTATTGTTGTGAACGTCTTTCATTATTAATAGACTGGGAGAGAGGGATAGAAAGTATGTCTCTTAATTCATCTGTAAATCGTAACCTACAGATCATGCAGCCAAGCCTTTCCAATCCACCTTGACTGTCTCCTTGATGGCTAGAATATTTTTAGGCTGTTAGACTCTCAACAAGTTCTGCAAACTGCAGGCTTATGCCCTCAAGTACTGGACCAAATATATATTCCACATCTCCATCAGCTTGAAAAAGTTCCCCCAACAGATCAAATCATAGTTAAATACATACGTTTTTAAAAAATTTTAAAAAATTGAATCACATCATTAAACTGCATTACAACCATCACTACAATATGAAATCCCGGTCTGCAGGCCAAAAACCTTTCTTGACAAATGTGTTTTTCTGCCTTTCCTAAAAACAGCAGGAAAGGCTCTATTTTTTGCTGGTGGTGATATCCAGATTAGGGCCTTTGCCAAAGAGTGCTGTAGCAGAGGATAATTAATGGTGGGGTTCAAGACATCTTGGTGCCTGTAACAGAGACCTCTCCTCATTAAAACGTATTTTGATGCAATTCAGACATACATGCCAGCCTTCATCTTTTCCTTCACCTTTGTTGTGCCATCCAAAACAAATCACCTCAACATGGTATGGCTAACCCTGATGTCTATAAAGATGAAGGGCCACAGCCGAGTGATAGGGCACACACTTTGCATGTCCAGGAACCTTTGAGAACTGCCACCTATTAGTGTCAACAATACTGAGCGAGATGGACCAATAGTTTGACATGGTATAAAGTAGTTTCCTGTGTTCCTAAGTAGCTCTTTCAATCCCAGCTGAAATATGGAGCTATATGACCACAGGAGCCACCAATGCAGTGCTTGCAGGCACCAGTGTGCCCCCAACCAGTACCTCGTATAGCACCCATGAAAATAAATAGGCTAAATATCCAGAATGCATGAGAGACTGTTTCTTCCTTCCTGCTCATTTCATGTGAACACTTGCTCAGCTTCTCATATGCACCCCAGAGAATCCATTTTGTGTTACACCACACCTCCACGGAAGCCATTTTGTGACTGTTGCCCAAGGCACCTTTTCAAAAATCCAGATGTGCCCAGTGGCCTCAAATTTTTGGAAACCCCTGTCCAACTCTACAAGATATATTAATCCAGTAAACTTGTGACCCACCAAGCCAAATGTGCAGCTCACCACCTATGTATGGAGACCACCAGGAGAGTAATTAACTTCCTGTTCTTCTGCCTTCCTGGATCTGCAAGAAAAAGAAAGGAAAAAAGAAGCACAGACTATACAATGTGTGGTTGATGGTCTATGTTTGGCAATTACACACACACACACACACACACACACACACACACCAGGCATTTCAAAGCAGTCATGACCTCCAAACATAGTCTAATGTGTACGAGTACACAGATACTAATTTATTATTATGTTTCATCTGCAAACCAATAATGTAGTTTGTCTAGTCATACTCTGTCAACTGATATTATTACTGGGAACCCCAGGGAGAAATTAATTTTGCATACTGCAAATGTGTGTGAGTGATCACACACACCACCAATTAAAGTTTCTCAGCGAGTACAGTGACCAACAAGAAAAGAACATGCTCCAGGAATCATGGCCTTTTATAAGGATCTGCCATATATTACAATGTGATGGAAACAGACTTGTGCTCCTGTCTTGTTCCTATTCCTCTGTGTGTGTTTGTGCAAATGGTACAACTAGACTACACCATAAGGAACCCCAAAAAGTGGGGTTACATGTACAGAACCTATACATGTACAGTTCTTATTACCAGATCTCAAACCATTGAGGAAGCATGTCTTGGAAGTTTTCACCGGGGTCAGGGAAATCACATAGCCTACTCTGGCTTAATGATGCAAGGGGGTCTCTTGAACTATAGCAGATGGTCCCTTTGCAGTTTTCCACAGGGCTTGGTAATGGCATCCATGCTTAAACCTCACTGGACATCTGTTAAATCGATGACTTGATTCCCCACTCTGGGCTGAAATTCTGAAACTCTTGTTGGCATCACTGCAACCCACACCCATTTAGTTAGTCACTGTGGTCCAAACCACCGAGCATCTTGGGCTTCCCGATCAGAAGGTTGGCAGTTCGAATTCACGCAACTGGGTGAGCTCTCATTGCTTTGTCCCAGCTTCTGCCAATCTAGCAGTTTGAAAGCATACCAGTGCATGTAGATAAATAGGTACCGCTGCAGCAGGAAGGTAAACAGCATCTCCATGCGCTCTGACACTCATCACAGTGTCGTGTTGTGCAAGAAGTGGTTTAGTCATGCTAGCCACATGACCTGGAAAGTTCTCTGTGGACAAACACCAGCTCCCTCAGCCTGAACTGAGATGAGCACCACACCCCATAGTCACCTTTGATTGGACTTAACTGTCCAAGGGTCCTTTACCTTTACCTTTTTTTACCTACACCCATTTAAATAGCATACGAGAAGCTCAAGGGCAGCTTAAGTCTCACACAGAAAAAGTCCTATGTAGGGTCTTCTTGATAGCAACACCACAGCTCTGGAATGTGTTGTTCCCTGAGATTAGATAATCACAGACACCAGGTGGGTTCCAACAGTGGGTGATAACCATTATTTTTATCCAGGCCTTTGCCTAACAATGCTGGTTTATTTAATTTGAATTGGATATGTTGTTTGTATTTTGTCATTTTATTATTTTAACTGAGTGTGTAACCCATTCTGAGACCATATGGGATATAAATTTTCCTAATACTTTCCCCCCTCAAAGAATTCTGGGTACTGTAGTTTGTTAAGGCTTGCTGGGAGTTCTAAATCTGTGAGGGATAAACTACAGTGCCCAGAAATCTTTGGAGGGAGGGATGTGGTTCAAAGGTATAGTGTGTACATGGGACAAAAGAATGTCAAGCTTCTGCAGGCCTGGGAACAACAGGTACCAGCCAATAAATGATATCAATGAATACATTCCTATAAAAAAAATAAGAGGAAGGAAGAGATCATTCTTTGAAAATTAAAGAGAGGCACTTTTCACCTTAACACAAAGCTGTGATGCAACAGAATATAAAATCTTAGGAGAGAAGGATTTATTAGGTGAGACTTAAAGCCACAATGATATATAGGGATTCCATTAGAATGTATTACTCTATAAAGGCCTGTGTTTGTATAACAGAAACCATTATCTATAGACACTCACTTGATTCAAGCTGAGGTAATTTCAGCTATAAGTTAAGGAAGTGTAAGCGAATTTACATCAATTGTGAATGCATCCTTTTATCTTTTTTCTTTGGCTCCATGGCTTTTCTGTTGTGGATCTATTGTATCTGTTTCCCAGTTCTATTGTCTCCGTTTCCCAGTTCTAATCTGGGACGTGGACTTTGTCCATGTGGTGTTTGTCCACATGGAGGCTGTTATTTTCCTGTCAACCAGGCTGCCATCACGCAAGTCCTAATGCAGAGGTCGCCGCTGTGGAGTGCTTGAGATGTTGGACTTCAACTCCCATCTGCCCCATTCAGCACAGCCGAAAGTGAGGGATTATGAGAGTTGTAGTCCATAATATTTGGAGAGCACCACATTGGCTACCCCTGCTCTAGTGTGTTGTTTTCTTATTCATTCAATGTATCAATCAATCTTTCATTAATTCATTTAAAATGGGGTGGATCAAAGGCTGCTTATCTAAAACTTTCCAATGACCCACCACGTGAGTCTCTGTCTGTGGAACTCAGTGAAAGACACTGAGAATTGAGCTGGCTCCTTTCCATACCCTCCAAAAATTTCTCTGATGAAAATAAGAATGTCCTAAGGAAAAACGGGACATTCCAGAATCAAATCAGAAACTGGGATGACTTCTGTAAATCCAGGACTGTTCTTGGAAGATAAGGACACTTGGAGGGTCTGCCTTTCTAACTAGCTCTGCTCTCAGTTCTGATTCTGGGTTGTACTAGATCAGAGTAAGGAACCTCTGGCCTGTAGACCTCATTGCCAGGCCCCCCCATTTGGACCACTATGCCATTTTGTCCAAGCCAGGCCTACCTGCCAATATGTGGGCAGATAAAAAGGCAGCTGGGCCGGGCCAAAAGGAGCTTTTGGAGTGCTGCCAATCTTCAAGAGCCCCGTGTACGATGCTTCTGAAGTTCTGGCGATCAGCTGGTTGGCAGGACTTTAAAGTGTCATGCCGGCTTACAAAGAGCCTTGCACTGTGTTTTGAAGTCCAACAACTAGGTGATGTCATTGTAATGTTAAGGATTGACAGGTGAGCAGCCCCACCCATCTGTCAAATTTGGCCTGTGGGAGGTACGGGAAATAAGATGCCAGAACTGACTTTTATATAGGCTGGTTAGCTGATGAAGCTGAATAGCTATTAATCATCCACACACAGAGACACCCCAAAAAAGATTTACATAAGTGCAGAGCTTCTTCTCACTCCCTTGCCCAAGTAGGTATTGCCCCACAGATACAAAAGATGCCATAAACATGGATGAGCTGCTAACCATCATCTGCTGTAACCCTAGTAAACAACAACAATTTCTCCTCCTCCTCCTCCTCCTCCTCCTCCTCCTCCTCCTCCTCTTCCTCTTCCTCTTCCTCTTCCTCCTCCTCCTCTTCCTCTTCCTCTTCCTCTTCCTCTTCTTCTTTTTATATGTTGCCCATCTCAATGGGTTGCCTCCATCCACTCTGAGTGGCTCCCAACAAAATATTGAAAACACATCACAATAGCGTACATGTCAGTGGTGCAACCCTGGTTTTTATATTTGCGAGCTTCCTATTACACACATAAAATTGGAAGTGGATGGTCCGTGCCTATAAGAATTAACAAATTTCCCTTTATGACTGGGGTCTGTTTTCCTGTAAAAATAAAACTACATAAAGTGTCTAGTAATAAATTCCCAGAGATCTCAGTGACAAGATCTTTTGGCAGGGAGGTGCCTAATGGAAATCCACAGAATGCAAAGCCCCTTGAATGCAGTGTTAACTATAGCTGGGGTAGTAAATTATGAACATGGATGTGTTGGCCATTGCCGTAATATTGTAAACCCAAACAACGAAGGAAATGAAACAACAATGAACAGGTAGGCACATAATTCAATGCAAGGGCGTGGAATTTATGCAAGGATCCCTCCTGAACTGCAGCTGATTCTTTCAGGGCCCTGGTGATGAACTCTAACTTCTGTGTTTGAAAAACTAAACTTCTGACATCTATGACCCATTGAGGTTCTATTGAAATTTGAGGCGAACAGCACAAAGCAAATCCATGGAGTGCAACCACACTAGGGCAACTGGGTAACTTTCCCATGTAATCTTCAAAAGCCTTCCACCCCAGACAGAAAGCAGAACTAGCAGTTATACTCACCAATATGATAAAGAGTGGTGGGGAAGTGGCTTTCTTCCTGGTTGGGGATAAAGGTTGCTAGTAGAGTATACAACTGGGACTGGCGACAAAATGTTGCTTTGTATCTTTGCCCTCCTGGTCAGGACTGCTTTCAGCTATGTCCTCCTCCAGAAGCCGTAAGCTGTAAGGTTCTCAAGCAGAGTAATTATTGATAAAAGTGCTGTGGGCGCCAATACAAAATGGCTGCCAATGGCAGTAAAAGAAAGAAAGAAAGAAAGAAAGAAAGAAAGAAAGAAAGAAAGAAAGAAAGAAAGAAAGAAAGAAAGAAAGATTCCGCACAGGTGAGTACCATCACAAAAAGCACTGTGTGCATTTCTGTGTGTGTGTATATATCACAGAGAGACATATCACAAAGTCTCTGGTAAACTCAGGTAAAACTTTGCAAAATCATTTTCCTCCCTGTTTACCTCCTACACACTGTTTAGCTTTTAAGGGCTTGTTTGTTTTCTCAGATTCAACAATACACACATATAATCTTAGTAAAATGCACCCCCTTCTAATTTGCTCCCCAACCCACCCCCAGAGTATTAGCAGTGGCGCTACATCTTTTCCAAGTAAGGCTTCTGCTGTTTTAAATTCTTCCCTGCTATGATCTCTTTTTGTTTCCTTTGAAATTTATCTTCGGTTAAGTTCCACTTTATTATACGGCTGCTGTTTCTGGTTATATATTGTCAAGGTTTTCCTTTCTGGTACTCTATGAGTTGGCTGACTGTTTTTCATTAATTCTTTGGGACTCTGGAAAAAAAAGCAATTCCTTTATTTGAGAATCCTGACATTTATTAGCATACTAAAACTCTCAAGATGAAAATGCAGTTTTCCAGCCGGTAATTTCATTTGCCAGAGAACTTACAAGGAATTTATTTTAAAGCCAGGTAAAACCTAAAATATGAGGCATGCATGAAATGCAGACTGGGGGAAAATGAAAATGGATTACCAAATGAAAAATCACACTGCTGTCCCATATATGTTCATTAGGAAATGGCAAGGGAGATGGGATGGAGACCAAACTTTCTGCAAGCTGTTCTCTGTTTGGGGGTTACTCTTGACCTCTGCTCTGATCATGGCACGTCAACAAGCATCTGTTGGTAGAGATGCCTTTCACTGCCTTCAGTTGAGTGATCATCAGTGCCCTCTCCTGAAGGAGAATGATCTGGTCACTGTCATGCATCCTTTGGTTTCTTCCTGCTGGAAGTGTTCTACATGAAGCCATCTCTGAAGAGCATCCAGAATGCAGAAGATGCCTAATTATTAACCAGGATTGGCTGCAGGAAGCCTGGAACATCAAGTCTGAAGGAGATCCTCTGCCATCCAGTTGGTTTCTTAGCCCAATGCCAATTGCTCTGGTGTTGACCGTCAAATTTCTAAATCAGGTGGGCAACCTTTGATTCTCCCAGACTACTACTCCCATTATCTCTCATCATTGGCCATGCTGGCTGGGGCTGAGAGGAATTCATATGCAACAACTTGGCTCCCATTCATGTCCTTGCCTTTCCCCCTTCAATACTTCCCTTCCCATGTACTCACGCCATCTTATGAGGAAGTGCTCTGAACATCTCAGCCTTCAGAAAGGAGACTCGTGCTCAAGGAGGTTTCTTCAGCTGTGGCTTAAGGTGGTCAAAGTCTTTTTATTTGGGGGGGGGAATCTTGGGAGTAGCAGAAGTTCGATTTGTCCACTTTTCATTATGATTTTACGGTTTTTGTTAACACCTTACTGTTATTTCTTCTTTTTTTATGCTTTGATAGAAGAGATGCTTGCTTGTTGTTCCTAATGTTATTTTTATCTTTATTGTTTAATGCAGGTCACCTATATGGCCTTTATTTAGAAGAAGAAGAAGAAGAAGAAGAAGAAGAAGAAGAGTTTGGATTTGGATTTGATATCCCGCCTTTCACTCCCCTTAAAGAGTCTCAAAGTGGCTAACATTCTCCTTTTCCTTCCTCCCTCACAACAAACGCTCTGTGAGGTGAGTGGGGCTGAGAGACTTCAGAGAAGTGTGACTAGCCCAAGGTCACCCAGCAGCTGCATGTGGAGGAGCGGAGACGCTAACCCGGTTCCCCAGATTACGAGACTACCACTCTTATCCACTACACCACACTGGCTCTCTATTTAAACCCTAACGTGGGATATAAATAATATTTCCCAGTTCAAACAGAAAAAGGCCAAGGATGATGGGAATTATGGTCCAACATATGGAGGGCCGCGGGTTCCTCGGCCCTGATGTAGGCTAAATAGAATGTATTTGTGTTGACATTTAAGACCTAATAAGTTGTAGTGAACCAGTAGCTCTCTTGATGCTAGACATGGCCACTGGTCAGGAATGGTGGAATTTGTAATCCAGCAGCATCTGAAGGGTCACATATTTCCTATTCCTGCCCTAAATGGCCTAAAACTGGAAAAATATAGAGACTGCTTTTTCCACCATGAGTTTACAGATTTTGAGATTCTCAAATGGATATTTGCTGAAGGTGGCAGATTTATGCTGTGTGGCAGAAGCAGGGTCTTCTTTGTGGTGACCCCTCCCTTGTCAAACGCCTTCCCTTACAAGTCCAAAATGTTAGTTCCTGCTGATGACGTTTTAGAAAACAATCTAAAGCCCTTTTTCTGATATCTTTTAGGCTGCAGTGTCAGTCCTTTCTCTCTATTTGTGCTGCCAGTGTTTTAGTTTTATTATTTTCTCAGTTTTTAATAGTCAGATAGTTCTAACAATTTTTATAGGGTAAATCTGAGGAGGGGAGAAGATGGAAATAAATCAGATCCTTTCATATTCCAATGAAAAACTCACCAAAGTATCACACAGTCATAATGTTATTTGTCATCATAACTGAGGCTTGGTACAAAGTATAAAAATGCATGAGTACAGTTGCCCATATAGGCTTGTTATTGAAAACAAAGAGGGACAGAAGGAAGAGATTTTCCTAGCTAAATAAAAGCAAAAGCAAAAATATCCATAACATGCCGATGTTTCACAAGTGTTTATTGCTCCTTATAAAAAGTTGGTAATGAGTGCAACTTAGAAGTCGGTATGTTTTATCCTCCAATATTTGCCAGGTGGCAATATGTACACTTTTACACTTGACAATTCAATCCTGCATACAAGTCAAGGCCTGTTGAAAGGGAAATCCCTCTTTATAATGGGATGGTAGGCAAGCAGTGTGAGGAAGCCATTCTGGGAAAGGGGAGGAGGGTCTAATGGCTGTAACACCCCTGCTAAAGGACTGTGAAATGTATAAACGCTGGTCTCCCTTTCCACTCTCTGTATAGGCTCAAGGCACATGTAACAGCCACTGCCACGTTGGTTTCAGCCAGGAGCTGCCCCTATGATTGGGGGTACTTAACCCCTTCCCCATAGCTTACCTTTGACTCCACCCCCAATACTTTTCTCTTCAACCAAGCTGTGATGCCAGAATTGAGCTTGGCTGGAAGAAAGGTTATGGGAAGGAAAGTGGTGGGTGCAAGGATGGTTTTGCTCTCCTTACTGAGGTAAAAATAAAAACCAGACCCCCACTTTATGCATACCTGGGGAAGACGAGGTTTAAGCAAATGGGGCTGCTAACATCATGCATAGTTTGAAGACTAGAAAAGACCTATCTCTACATAGCCATACCATTAATCTGCATCTTTTTCAGTCGCATACATCTAGCTCCTGAATCCTACCATTTTGAGAATTCCACAACTCACTATATGCTAAATAAGTTCCAGTACCAACCATCTCTTTTGCTACAGCTATTAGGGAAATTTTTGTGGGGGGTGATTTTTTATCATCACTGGTGGTTTAACCCTATTCTGAAGTACAATTGTAGAGGAATTGCTTTCTCGTGCTTCCAGTTTTAAATGGCTAATAAGATAAATAATGGCTGCGAATTAAAAATTGGATTGCCTACATAAGACTTTTTCTTGGTTAACATTTGCCATTCATTAGCTGGTGATAAGCTGCTATCTTATATCTCAAGGTGGAGTCATTTCACTAATTATTTCTGTGCTCCAGAAATATTTGCTATAGTCTCCACAGTCATTCAAATAAAGGGCTATAATCAGGTGGGTTCTTTGTTTGTCTGCAAGGCTCCAGCAGCAACTCTCCGCCAGAGGATGTGATTATTTCTTCCTAGAAAGAGAAAATAAATTGCATCATCAGTGTGAAAAATAATCATGTTGAAATGACTATATGGCTTACTATATACTGCACTTATGAAGTCCCATAAGCACATCTAGGTTCATGCTGTAAGGTGTTTTAATTCTTTTGATGGTTCATATTATACCAGTTGACAGGAGAAATATTAGCATGGTGTTTAATATCTGGGGTGGGGGGAAGAGGGAGATCTTCGTGATTAATCATCCTGTTCTGCCTTCTAACAGCTCAGCAAGGGATTTTTTTCTAAAGAGGAAAGAGGGAATGCACAGACTCACAGCCACATGATTAGCAGACTGATATAATGTATCTATAACTGCAGCGAACTATTTCTGACATAGCAACTGGGTGTTCAAATGCACTCCGATATTAAAATAGATGATAAAAAAAGCTCTCCCTACACACGCAGAGCTAGCATGTTGGGGAGAAAGCTTAACTGGCAAGTTTTATGTTGTTGTCATTTTTGAGATGAGGGACCATTCGAGCATTTAATCCCTCACCTGCAGTTTGAGGTGCTGCAGTTAAGCAAGGGCTGTGTCATTAACGGCCTGCTAATCATGTAGCACAGCTCCTAAGGTTCACGTGAAAACCTCATTACCTCCATGCTAAACAAATAAACATGGGATGCAGGGGGGACCACGGCTAGGATGATTAATCATTTCAGCTCAGCTCAGCTCAATGAGAAGAGACTCGCTGGTGCTCATGTACATACTTACCACTGTTTGTTTTCAGTCTGGAAATAGCAGCTATTATCTTTCTCCATCTAGGATGTGGCACTGTCTAATCATGCAGAAGTCGAAGGATGCATTATTCACCCATTCCTATTCATCTTTGCCTTGGATATGAGTTTCTTCCTCCCCACCCTCTGCCAGCCCCACCTCCTTTTAAATGCATGTTCTCTTGCCTGCTGCCTGTTTGCAATTGAATCACTTGTATCTAGATCATCTGATGCTTATACATAAACAGCAATCATCTGAAACATTTCTAAAATGAATTTATTTTCGACAGCCCTGGCTTACAGGCCATTACTCATTGAAGATTCACTTTTTGCCATGTCTGGTACATTAAGATGCTTCAAGAGAACTGAAAAGGTTTTGTCTCTGTGCGTCTGTGTGTGTGCACAGGAGGGGGGGTATAGTTTGTTTTGTTCAAATATATATTGTGCATGCACACACAACCAAAGTCGGAGATCAGAAAAACCCAGTGCCGGATTTACATATAAGCTAAACAGACTTCCGGGGTGGCGCCACCGGCAATGGCGGACTCCCTCTGAACTGGAGGGACCAGCTCCGCATGAAACGGGTCTTTTCCGCTGCGGCAAAGCGGGGACCCTTCTGGAAATCACAGGCGGATGAAGCCTGTGACCGTGGGACTCGGCGGGCACCCTCAGCGCCCCCCCCAACCCACAAAGGAACCCACAAACGGGCTCCGAAGTGAAGAGGAGGAAGTGGCGCGGTGCTGTGAGTCAATCGCTTTTTCTGAGGAGCGAAGCCACATAGCCGTTGCCGGAGAGCGCTGCCTTTTTCCTGGGACAATTAGGCATCTAAAATAACCAACCGTGAGTACTGGAACATTGAATATTTGAACTTTAAATAAGAACTGGCGAAATAGAAAGGAATTTGGACTTAAAAATTCACCTTAATTTGGTACTGAAACGGAAAGGTTAAACAGGAAGTCAGCCTTCCGTTTCCCTGTAGCCAGAACAAAGCAAAGACAAAGCAAAATAGAGCCTTAAGAATCACTTTCAAATGATTGACTTTCACCATTTAAAATCGCTGAACCCCCCTTCGGTAGCAGGAGAAGAAGGGGGATCTCTTTTCTGAGCCGTTTAAACCTGCAGAAGTGAATTTAAAGCAAAGTAATTTCCCCCCGTCCTGATCCTGGAGCGGGGTGTCAGAATTGACGTTTGAAGCTCATTGACCAGAAACAAATGTTTTTGACAGATAGTTAAAAGAAGAGAAACATAGTGACTCCATTGCCTCCTTTCGCATTTTAAAAGAACAAATATGGACAAAATATCTTAAAAAAGAGACTTTGTTGCTATTGTTTTTAAGAGAAAGAACAACCAGAAGTTTTTCCCCCTAGAGGGGAATTGTGAAATTGCAACTAATCCCTGGGAACTTGCAGCTGTCACTGATTACAACCGTAGGAAAGGGTTTGTGACCTTGCAGGACAATGTCTGCAGAAGCACTGTTGGGTGCTTTCTGCAAAATAAATGCCCTATTGGATCAGTTAAGCCAGAAGACGGATTTGATGACTAATGCGGCCAGAACCTTTGAACAGGTAGTGGGAAACTATATGGAGCCCACCCAGGAACTGAAACAGGAGCGTGCCATGACAGAACAATTGAGAGAAGAGGATTTTGCTGAATCTTGGGCGCCAGAGACGGAAGGAGCTGCAGCCCAGCAGAAATATAAATTTTTGGATTTGACAAATGAACTTGGAAAAGACCAGATTCGGAAGGATTTGGACTTTTCGAGTCTGGAAAGGGGCCGTCAGATGTTTGGAGCAGTGGGGGCTCTTAACTTTGAAGGGAATCTGGAACATGTTTTTAAATACTACACTGAGTCTAGACTGGACTATGGAAAAGGGACTTTTTTGTTGAAAAGGGTCAAAAACATCACCAAGCTGGAGTTCCCAGGAATAAAAGGAAAATATGAAGAAGAGCAGTGGAAGGGACATGGAAGAGACTTGAGGGCCTTGGATATAAGATTACCAGGTTAATGTGCTAGATTAATAGGATAAAAAGGACTGACAAAACCCGGGACCAGGAGGAAGGGACGCTGGATGAAGATTAGATTGTTTACTTTTTTATTTTTATCATTAGGACTGTTTTATAAAATTGATGAATATTAGGAAAATGTTGAAATGAAATTATTTGGCTCTTATGAAAATGTCTAAAGAATTAGGTAAGAATGTTATGGTTAGGAGAAGTTGGTAAAAATTAAGATTTAAGTTCTAAACTTTAAGGTTTTCTCTCTCTCTCTCTCTCTCTCTCTATATATATATATGATAAGATGAAAATAGACTAAGGTAATGTGATGACAGAATATTATGAATTAGGGAAAGGAGTTGAAAGAGGGGAGGGATCTGCTGAAATAACAATTTGAACTGGAATACAGAGAAGGAAGGCGCGAGGAGGTCCGGGAAATAAGTAAATGAAAAATATGTGATGACTGAATTGTTTTTTAACTATTTTTATTTTTTTTATTTTTGTATCTTTTTTCCTTTGGTATTTTTCTTATTTCTTTTCTATTTTGTAATTTCTTGAAAAATCTTAATAAATATCTTATATAAAAAAATACATATAAGCTAAACAAGCTATAGCTTAGGGCCCCACTCTCTTGGAGGCCCCTAAAAAAATTTAAAGGGGAAAAAACTGGATGTACTTTGATAAAATAAATATTTTGTTATGTGCAAATGGCTTTAGATACCTATTAGGTCCACAAATTACCATATAGCATATATTCAACACAAAAAAAATTGACAATTTGTTGTTGACAAAGGACAGCTGGACATAAAAAGGGCCCCATTACCTTCAGCAGCTTAGGGCCTAATCAAACCTAAATCTGGCCCTGGAAAACCATTTAAATCAGTAGCAAAACTGACTTTCATGGAGAATGAGGCAATCCTATGTCAGGATGCCAAGGGTCTTGTAAAAGAGTTCCTTCTTCTCTAGTGTAGTTTCTGGATAACTGGAGTAAAGTTACACGAATACACTGCATATGTAATTGTATGGCCCGGAAAAGCCACTCTTGACCCTGGCACAATGATCACAGCTGCCTGGTGTAATATGGATCCCTTGCTTGGCTCCATGGTGACGATATGTCTCTGTGACAGGCCTGGCTAGTTCACAGGCCACCTCTGGCTGGACAAGCCACAGAAAGTGGCTTGCTAGTCCCCACAGATTAATCTCCTGTTCTTAATGCTGTGGCACTCAGCAATGAAATCAGGAAATAAAGTGCTCTTCCAGCTGCTGAGGGAGACTAAAGGGCAGCATTCCTTCTCCTACCCCAGTGCTGTCGTGGTGGTGGGTTGCCAGAAACACAATCTTTTGCTCTTTACATATCTAAAACTGACATAAGGCACTGAGGGCATGCATTTGCACCACTGACAAACTGGTTTAAGAGCCATTCCCTCTCCCCACGGAACTCTGGATTGTAGATCTGAGGCAGGCAAAGTACTGGAGTCTCTCAGTTCTGGCAACGGCTGCGTACACACCATACATTTCAAGAACATCTTTCCCCCAAAGAATCCCATGAAATGTAGTATACCTCTCATAGTGTGACAGTTCCCAGCACTCCTAACAAACCATAGTTCCCTGGATTCTAGGTGGTGGGTGAATGTGCTTTAAGTGTGTGTACGCAGCCACAACCCTGCTTCTGCAAAGTGCTTTTAGCACACATCTGAAGGATATCCACATACAAAACCAATGTACAGTGGTACCTCGGGTTAAGAACTTAATTCGTTCTGGAGGTCCGTTCTTAATCTGAAACTGTTCTTAACCTGAGGTACCACTTTAGCTAATGGGGCCTCACACTGCCACTGTACCGCCGCCACACGATTTCTGTTCTCATCCTGAAGCAAAGTTCTTAAACCGAGGTACTATTTCTGGGTTAGCGGAGTCTGTAACCTGAAGTGTCTGTAACCCGAGGTACCACTGTATCTACAAACCTGCACATCATTGGTTCAGGAGGGCTACCTGTAGCATTTTCTGCATTGTGTTTAAATGTACATGAACTTGACTTTGGGGTCTTTATAAACACTCTCTCTCTCTCTCTCTCTCTCTCTATATATATATACGATTTAATAATAGCAGGTAGACTGGCTGGTGCCTGTATACCATTGCATTTTTCTGCCATTACCACAGCTGGCTCTGACTTTTTTTCCTGTATTTATTGTTAAGAGTGCACTCAGATGAAAAAGGCACCGGAGTTAGTGGCTGGGGAGATAAGGAAGGGGCAACATCCCAAGACGGCGCTGTTAAATCTCTTTCCCATTTGACCACAGACAATTAAGCGAGACTTGCCTGCTCACTTCAGGGGCCAAGCAAGTCCTCTAACAAGCTTGTCATAGCTGCAGCCATTGATTTTTCTCATCGGGGGACATCCCAATCTATTTTATTTTGAATGTCAGAGGCTAATGGACGTTTTGCTTTTGACAGGTGTCCCTGTGCTTCCTCCCTAGATGGATGGGCTTTTCTTGTGCTCTTATTGCCTATGATGAGCAAGCTGGGAGGAAGAGAAATACAAAAGTTTTCGTGCAAGCTTGACTCTAGGGAAAGAAGGTGGATACTGAACTTGTCGCAGTCCCTATATCTGAAGTTTGTAGGACTTTTTGTCGCTGGTTCTGTAACTATGCCCAGGGTTGTGTGCATGCTGTGATTCTGCAAGGAGCAGTGGGAGAGAAAGGCAATTCAGTTCCCATTTTAAGGTTAGCCCACCTAATATGCACTTTTCGAAGCAATGCTCAAACTGAACGACTGTTCTCTTTTGAAATTCACACTTCTCTGAATTTTGCAATTCAGTTCGCCAGCCAAGATGGAGGAAAAAAAATTGTATACTACGGTAAATTGTGCATAGAAATGAATATATTAGTGAAAATGGCATCCCAAAATGCATTAATTTAAGGTAAACTGCTTTGCAAAAACATGAATTGTGTAAGATTGCATACAAAGATGTATACATTTGGAGAAATTCACACTGGTCAATTTTCAAAAAATCGCAAACCAACAGAAATGTGGAGAACTTAAAATTCAGATTGGAAAAATGAGAAACTAAGATAAACCAAAATGGGTAGATTTGTGCATCCCTATCTGGAAGCTTGCAGAAAGTGAGACTGAGTCCACAATTCAGCTTCTCGACTATCTCAGCTGTCTATTTTATTTTATTTTATTTTATTTTATGGTCTTTTTAGTGCAAGATTCTAGACCCATGACCCTTCAGATGTTGTTGGACTACAACTCCCATCATACCCGGGCAATGCCCAGGCTGAATGGAGCTGACAATAGCAGAAGGGTCCCAGCCTTCCCATCTTTGTTCTAGCTTTTGTGGCTGCAAACATAAGCTTGAAAGTATGTGGGCAACACCAGCTGAAATTTTAGGGCCAAGCTGACAGTGATGTCATTACATATGCATTGCAAGTTTTTTAAAAACAAAAACAAACAAATATCAAAACCAATTGCTAGTGCAGGTGACCAATCCCTTCCACCGCAAAAACAGGTACAGTGGTACCTCTGGTTAAGAACTTAATTTGTTCAGGAGGTCCATTCTTAACCTGAAACTGTTCTTAACCTGAGGTACCACTTTAGCTAATGGGGCCTCCTGCTGCCACCATGCGGCGGCGGCGCAATTTCTGTTCTCATCCTGAAGCAAAGTTCTTAACCTGAGGTACTATTTCTGGGTTAGCGGAGTCTGTAACCTGAAGCATCTGTAACCTGAATCATCTGTAACCTGAGGTACCACTGTATGCAGTATCGCCCAGGTTACCATTGTGATGTCAGAATTCCCAAGCCTTCCAACAGGAGGACAGAGGAATATAAGGAAATCACAACTCATTTTAACTGTGTGCTGAGGCAGCCTTTTCCTTTACAAGGGGGACCCATAGCATTTGAGTCTGTAACCTGAAGCGTCTGTAACCTGAGGTAACACTGTATAGGGGGAAAGAGAGCTTTAACCGTTTACATCTGCCATGGTACAAACTGGAATCACAAACCAGAAGCCTGCTATTTGCAATGGAAGCAAAGTTTCCAATGGTGCCTGTGTCAGCTTTCTTTCCATTTCAAATAGCTGGCACATAGGGAAGACTTGTTCTGAATGGGGGGACACGCTCTCAAACTCTTGACTGGTTGGTTAGTCTTTTTAAAAACAAACAAACAAGCACCTATCTTGTTGGGTTCTCAGAAATCAAAGGAGGGTGTCTAACTGAGACTACCAACCTTTGGGTGCAGGGTAAGGGCACTCATAATCCTTGCCCCTGCTTGCTGATGAAGAGGGAAAGAATGCCATATAATAAATTATGGGGAAATAAAGAAATCACACAAAATCAATAAACTTGCATCATCTATTTTGATGAACTGAGCTTTTCCTGATATGGGACTCGGATTGCCTTGGCACAGAACTTTAATAAGGATGGGCTCTTCCCCTCCCCATTTTTGCACAAAATACACAGGTCCCTTGCTATATCATGTATACTACCAGTTCCCCATCTTCTTTCTCCCAGAAGCATTACATCAGAATGAAAAATAGCTCTATCTACACTGCCTGACGATGTGCTTTGCATTCACAAAGCCTCTGACTCAGGCCCCGACAGCTCCAGTTAAAAAGGCACGCAGGTAGCAGGGCCGTGCAAAACCTTGATGAGAGGAATTGGGGAGCAGCTGAGAATGAGCCAATAGTCTGATTTAGTATGTATATGGAGACTGTGAGAGGATTAAGCTTGTTCCCCTATTTCACATGCTCCCAAGTGATAGGAGCTGCATGGGTTGGGCTGCACTGCATTTGTCAACAGTTTAGTGCACACTTACCCAAAATATACACATTTTTACAAACAATTTCCCCTACTAGAATGGTTGTTTTTGAATTTTATTTTCCCTTTCATAGGCATTTATATGCATTTCTCCCTAATATGTAGAACCTGCAGTCAAGTGTGTGTGTGTGTGTGTGTGTGTGTGTGTGTGTGTTTTCGGGGAGGGGGAGGTTCAGCACTTGGACCAGCTCTGGACAGTTGAATCCAACTGCTATATTGATTTCCCACAATGCCCTTGCCACAACACCATTGAGGCATTATGGGAAATGAAAATGGTAACTAGACTCAGCCATCTGGTGCTTCAGAGAATGCTCCACCACAGTCACCATGCCTAGAGCTAGCCTTCACTCCCCAAACCTGGAGCCAGCCCTGTCTGTAAAGACTAATTCTGTATAAGACCCGGGCTCACACTGCTTCTTCCTTTTGAAATATTCATCAATCAAGTTCAGTTTTTCATATTCTGTGCACATAGCAAGTAATACCTTGTGGAAATCGATAAGGTCTGTGAGTGTGGCATGTCGGTTGGGATCCACCCCTAAGAAGCTGTAGAAGTCTCCGGAAGCATCCACCAGGAAATGTTTGAATCCACTCTGATGGCGATAGGACAGGGCATATCCCCAGATTTTCTCACTGACCCGCACTAGGAATGCTCCCTCAGACTTGTTCATCAGCAGCTCTTCTGCCTCCTGGCGACTAATAATTCCTGCCCAAAACAGAGCAAAAAAACTGTATCAAGCAACTAGTATTCCCTAGAGCAGGCTTCCTCAACCTCGGCCCTCCAGATGTTTTTGGCCTACAACTCCTACAATGTTCCCTAGCTAGCAGAACCAGTGGGCAGGGATGATGGGAATTGTAGTATCAAAACATCTGGAGGGCTGAGTTTGAGGAAGCCTGCCCTAGAGGTCTGGAAACATATGCATAGTCCATTAAATAAAGGCATTTAGACGTCAGGTGAAGCAGACTGTTTCATATAAAATCTTAAAATGCATCAAATGGCATAGTTTTTAAGAGAGGGATGGGAAACCTGTAACCTCCAGATGTTGTTGAACTACAGTTTCCACCATCCCTTCCCACAGACCATGCTGTGGTGGGGCTATTGTTGGCATTCAACAACATCTGGAGGTGTAATATAAATTGTGGAAGAGCATTGTGAGATTGAGGAATTTTTAAATGTCCAAATGATGAATCTACAGTATCAGGCAAACATTTTGGAGCCTCTGGGAAAGTACATATGTAAATTACAGCACTGTGGTATGAAGCACTTCAAATTGGGCTTTTTTTTCTTCAGGAAGGAAAGACAACAGCCAGTCTTCGTCATGGCATGTAAATAGACAATTACATTGCCCGGATGTGAGTTGTGAAGGCCGCTCCCTGCAAGGCCCTTTCCACCTGGCCTAGAGGACAGGGCCCAGACTCATCAGCCCTACTCAAGAGACTCCTCATGAGGCTAGAGGAACATCGCCTGGCTATTGTTTTATTGATTTAATATGCTGTAAACCGCTTTGAGGTTTTTATTAAAAATATAAAGTGGTATAGAAATTTTAAAAATAAATAGATAACAATAAAGAGATGAAGAGCCACCAAAGCAGTCAATTGTTAAACATTCCAGAATTGCACAAGAAGTACCTAGATCTGTATAACTCTGGTTACACATTTGCAAAGAAGGCAGGGGGACACAGGCTGATAGATAGAACCCCCATGTGACACAGATTGTCTGAAGAGGCATCATTAGATTCTAATACAATGTGCCATGTGCCAAAGAGAATCATACTGGAAATAAGAGCTCTGTTTGCATAGGTAAGGTTTCACGTCTCTGCCTTTCTGGCCTTCTCTGAATATGCAAATGAAAGGGCTGGCAGTGCTTATATAGTATCTCCTTTTACTGATGGTTACCACCTCAGTTTAAACACCACACAGACAGATCAGGCATGTTTGTCCTCGGTAAAGAGGATTGCACTGGCAAGAGTAATGCCATCAGTTCACAGAGAGCTGCTGGGGTTTTCGAAGTGGTTGGCTTTCTAGTTGACAACATTGTGATTCTCTAATGGTGATGCTCTCATCAGGGAGCCTTTACTCGTCCACCAGGCAAATTGTGTTAAAGCAGCATGCACCGCTGCCCATACAGGGCAAATGTCAAACAGCTCTTGGAATCACAGATATTAGAGAGGGCTGAACTGGCCCCAGTGGCTATCTTGTTTGGCTCCTTTCTACCGTTCCCCGTATCACGCAATTTAACAGCTGGCTGGCTGTACAAAATATAGCTACTGCATTCTAGCCTGCAGTTAGCTAGAATCCTGCCTCCAAACCAGCAGTGTATGTATGTGAGTGTATGTATAAATTAGCTTGTTGTACAAGGTAAAATTTACATCCATTGTGCCACCCAGTTCTGCTTCTGCCCCCCGCCCATCACCACTGGCATGTGACCCCCAGAAAGTTGTCCACAAGGGAATGTGGTCCATGAATTGGAAAGGGTTCCCTGTGCCTAGGGTAGACAGAGCTAAGCAATGCTCACTCAAGGATAACTGCAATCCAGAAAGCACAGCTGGACCTGTAGGGAAGCAGCCAGCTCAGAGTGTGCATGAATACATACAGAGTGGCAAGCAGAAGAAGACTATATTGTAAAGAGAAATATTAAAGCTGATCCTCAGGTTTTGAAGTAGACTTCCCTGCTGTGCACCTCCCTTTTAAATATGTATATTCCCTCTAAAGCTGGAGAGGATGCAATGTGCAAATCTATGCACATGTATTCCACATATTTAATGTCAGAGCTGTGACAAATATTCTCCGGTTTCAATATTCAATTCAAAAGTAGCATGCGTGTTACAGGCAAATTACAGAAAAAATTCTCACGTCACCAAACACGTGCTGTTTTGACACTGTTTGGTGTCCCCTAGTTCATCTGGCTATTGCATCTTTTCCCCTTTTCTCTACTCCCATTGCCTTTGGCTTCATTCGCTCAACCTGCTGTATCATCCCAAAGGCTGCGTTGATCCACATGATTTTGTTTATGAATGTCCAGGGTGTTGTCATATGAGATGTACCATCGTGATGTCCTTGACAACTCCCCATCCCCCCAAAAACCCACATAGCTAAGGAGATGAAAGGGTGGCAAGGACAATGCAACTATGCCAATGTTTTCTAACTTAAGGTGCATTTTACTTGTTATACCTCCGTCTTGCCCTTTCTCCAAGGAACCCAGGTGTTTCCCAATTTATTGCCACAACAATTCTAAGAGCAGGGTTAGGTGGATGGACAGTGACCAAACCAAAATCATTTTGTGAGATTTATGGCTGAATAGAGTTTGAAGCTGGCCCTATTCCTGCTCAAATCCAAGACCTTGCACACACCAGCTCTCTGATTTTATAATCTTTGCAGCATCACTCTTCTGAGGCTGCCCACTGAGATTGACGCAATCTGAGCAATCCATTCCAGCTGGACAGCAGGTTGGACCCTGCATATACAACAGAAATACTGAGCTGACCGCCATCCAGGATTTCACTGGCCATCATTAGCAGACACACACCACCAAATGCGGTCATTTTCAACAAGCTGTTCACCTCCTCCCCAAACCCACCACTGGAAGGAAAACATAGCAGGCTTCCACATTACCTTTTCTCCTGCCAGAGCATACCTTTGTTCTGAGGCACGGGTGTTATTTCATGGGTATAACATTTTAGCTAGCTTAGGGCAACACTCATATTTGTTTTAGTTCTCTCCCCCCCAAAAAGCTGGAAAGAATTCTCAGGAAGCTTTCTTGTTATTTCTGTGTTTAGTTTTCTGATATCGTCAAGAGCTGTACCTTCTCTTTTCAGCTCTCCCACACCTCTTTGTTTTAGTTTGCATCTAACCAGTCATTTGCCAAGTGTGTGTTAATTAGAGAAATGGAAGCCCTCATCCTTTCTGCTTTAAAAAAATATACTGTACTGTTCTCATGACAACAAGAAAGCAAACAGAGAAGGGTGGGGGCTTACAGAAGCCCCTCACTTCGGGACAGTTATTGGAAAATAAACAACATCTGTAGAAAACCAGTTGAAACAGTCTGAATTCAAGTCAAGTGGTCTGGCATCCCATCTCGTCCTCCTGAGGCGCCCTGTTTTGAATCATTGATGCCTTTATTAGTGTGATTTGAGATATTATGTTATCTGCAGAAATCCATAGCACTGACCTCTCCCCTTCCATTATTCCCACCGTTTCCCTCTTTTCTTTGGTTTTGAAAAAGGTACACAGAAGACCAGGTATGCAACTGGTCGGGGCGGGGGGGACAGCCAGACTGCATTCATAGCAAAAGCTGAGCAGAAAGGATTTGTAGTTTTATTTGCTCACTCGTGGCCAAAATATATCTCCATCTTGGTGTGCTTTCTAATGCTGCCTTCCACCTATGAAATTTTGTTTATTCTTTGCTGAAGTCCTGAACACTAAAAATACTATGTTCAATAGGCTGGTTTTTAAGGCTCTGGAGAGCTCTGTAGTCTTTGAGTTACTGGCTCACAGGATATGGTTAAGAGAAGCACCAGCACTTTGGGAGATATCCCTGAGCGTGTCAGAACAAACTTGGCAATTTCAGATTGTTAGAGGGGGGGTTATATGGTCGAATGTGCAACGAAAACCTTCCTAAGCATACAGAACTAACATACCAGCAAAGAGAGTTTCCATTCATCCTTGTCCGTGCAAGGATTTGTTTTGTACATGCAGATGTGTAGCATCACAGTTTTTAATGTGCTGAAGATTTTAAACATGCCTCCCTTCGCTTGTCCGCTGGAATGGTACAACCCAGCAAAAACTGCCCTCCCCGCAATTGTGCAGCTCTGAGCACCTTGGATGAGACAACTTGAACCCAGGTCTCCCTGATCCAGGTGTAGCGCACTGTGAATGGCTATGATTGCAAATATTACAGTTCTTCCATTGTTTAACTCGGAGCATTATTTAATATATATTGAAACGCAGTGCAAAGTGAATCAAAAGACAGCTGGACCTAGAAACTAAACTGCTGGAGGGATTCGCCATCTGCTGGTATCGCAGGCTGAATTCACAGACTCGCTCGCAAGAAATCGCACCAGACGTGCTTGTACTGCTGGTAGCAAAAGAACAATTTTGCAGCTGGGAACAAGCAATAAGGATTTAACTGACATGAATAAAAGGTAAAAGAAAACAAATCTTCCCAGGTGTGAGAATATATAAATTAGAGAGTGATTCCCAGGGAAAAAGCTGCTATATTTCAAGGATAACTTCAATGGGGCTCAAAATGTGAATCACCCTAGGTGTGGGCAGTTCCTTGGAGATTTAGCAGTAATTTAATTCCTCCTGCACAATACAAGTTGAAAGGCTCAAGTACAGGACATACGAGACAATATATTAAATGCCATGGCTGCATTGAATGTTTCTTGATTCCCTTTTAGATTAACAGCTTTGAGGCAGGGGGTGAGGAATAGATCTGAGACCACACCACACAGGGTTAATTCCTCCCTCTTTGCCCCCCCCACCTGCTGTTGTCCCACCAAAAATCACCCCTTCTGAAGATCCTATTTGCCCCAGAAGAGAAGTCGTCATTGCTGCCAATAGAGCTTTCCATCAAAGAGAAGAGCAGCTTCAGGGGTGAGATCTTTGTCAGGACTACAACAGGGAGAAAGGGTTAACTCAACCTCCCCACAGCCCCACTTATGACCACCCATGCATCCAGAGCAATTATTAACAGGAATAAAATTAGATACTTTAGATACAAAAGGTAAAAAAAGTAAAGGACCCTTGGATGGTTAAGTCCAATCAAAGGTGACCGTGGGGTTGTGGCGCTCATCTCGCTTTCAGGCCGAGGGAGTTGCGTTTGTCCACAGACAGCTTTCCAGGTCATGTGGCCAACATGACAAAACTGCTTCTGGCGCAGCGTAACACTGTGACGGAAACCAGAGTGCACAGAAACGCCCTTTACCTTCCTGCCACAACAGTACCTATTTATCTACTTGCACTGGCATGCTTTCAAACTGCTAGGTTGGCAGGAGCTGGGGCAGAGCAAAGGGAGCTCACCACCATCGCGCAGATTCGAACCACTAACCTTCCAATCAGCAAGCCCAAGGGGCTCAGTGGTTTAGACCACAGCACCATCTGCGTCCCTATTTTACATATTTAGTGCATCATCTAGTTATATGGGTCTTGATTGGAGCCCTGTCCCTCACTTCAAAGCTGCTTTCCATCCATTTAATGCAACTGGGGTGGTTGTGGGGCCGCCACAGAGGGATATCTTAGGAAAGGGACCTGGAAAGAGGTTGAGCAAGATGGGGAGTGTCATAGTACATCAAAGGTAAGGAAAGCTGGCTTACTGAAAATTCAGAATGGAAATTGTATGGCTGCAGGGGGTGGAAGCTGTAAGGGAAATACTCTTTCCAAAGTAGGTCTGGATAGGGTAACGCCTGTGCTGCCTACTTCCTGTGCTTTGTGACGAACCACACTTCTCCACCTCCAAGTCTATTTCCTGGGAAATCCTGTTGTAACAAAGAGCTTGGAAAGAAGACCAAAAAGGAGCACCCAAAATCCCACATCGTAAGAAAGGGAAAGGCAACCTGTGGCCCTCTTGGTATTGGACACCCATCACCCCCAGCCAGCATGGCAATGGTCAAGGGTGGTGGGAGTTGTGGTTTGGGACACAGGTTTCCCATTTTCTGTCTTAGGATCTGATTTCAAAATATAAGCTTCTTCATTGGCTGCACACATTCTCCAGTGGGCTCACAATATATGACAATTCAATGGGGCTGCAACCCAACCTCATGTTGTTTCCATTGTGCTTCATGGGGGGCAGTGAAAAGACAGTGAAAAGCAACAGAAATAACACTGAAAATCAGATTAAATGTTATTGGCTTGCGGGGGGAGAGGAGCTCCTTATACTACAGTGGTACCTCAGGTTACAGACTCCGCTAACCCAGAAATAGTACCTCAAGTTAAGAACTTTGCTTCAGGGTGAGAACAGAAATCATGGTGCTGCGGCACAGCGGTAGCAGGAGGCCCCATTAGTTAAAGTGGTACCTCAGGTTAAGAACAGTTTCAGGTTAAGAACAGGCCTCCGGAACGAATTAAGTTCTTAACCCGAGGTACCACTGTAACTATTATTTTGGGCATTTCCTTCAAACTGGGTTGTTCCAGAAAGTCTACCCAGACATGTAATTTCAGCATGTAAACTAGATGTGTGGGCTTTGGAAGTAAAAGTGTTTTATATTTACTGGTTTTTTTACTTGATTTCTTCTTCATATGGAACTTGTTTTTAATTACTGTTTCAGACTGGTGTAAACTGCTTGCTCTTGTAAATGGTATATAAATTTTGTTGAATAAACAAAATGAGCCGCCATTTTTGGTAGCAGTCTTGCACCAAGCATCACACCCTAGCTCTGCCCTCAGTTGACTGGTATTTGTTGAAAGGGACACGGGTGGCGCTGTGGTCTAAATCACTGAACCGCTTGGGCTTGCTGATCGGAAAGTTGGCGGTTTGAATCCCCAAGACAGTGAGCTCCTGTTACTCTGTCCCAGCTCCTGCCAACCTAGCAGTTCAAAAGCATGCCAGTGCAGGTAGATAAATAGGTACCACTGTAGCAGGAAGATAAACGAGGTTTCTGTGCACTCTGTTTTCCATCATGGTGTTCCATTGCACGATAAGCAGTTTAGTTATGCTGGCCACATGATCCAGAAAGCAGTACGTGGACAAACGCGAGCTCCTTCGGCCTCAAAAGCAAGATGAGCACTGCAACCCCATAGTCGCCTTTGACTAGACAACCATCCAGGAGTGTGCTGGACTTAACCTTTTACCTACCTGTTGAAAGAGCGCTGTGGCTCTGCCCATGCTTTGTTGCTCAAGATTTCTGAAACAGAAACCTCTACAGAATTATCTGCCCAAATAATATTGAAGTATCAGGACGAATTGAACACCAGAATCTCTCTGAAATGAATTCCGCAGCTCAGGAATGAATTCCCTAGCAGCTTTCCTTGCAAATTAGATGTGCTACACCCACTGCTGTGAGTCGTGGTTAAAACTCTCATTGTCTCCCCCTGCCTCTTCCTGAATTCAAGCTCTCAAGTACTGTAAACCTTTTTCAGATTGCTGTCAAAATATTTCCCCCACGTTCACTAACAAGCTCCGTGCCACACAAGAAAGGTGGGCCACAGTATTACTCCTCACAGCACACTGCTTGTAACGCAGAGCCACAAATGAATGCTTCTTTGAACTGTGCTGTTGCTTCCTCTCATTTCTTCCCTCCTCTGTCTTTCATTTCAGTTTGCACAAAAAGATTTCATGATCTCAGAGCCATAATTTATTTCACAATCCAGATAAGAAAAACAGGAAACACAGCACTCTTTTTTTTTTTTTTACACTTCTGAATTTATCTACCATGAATATATTTACCTGCTCCTTTTTGCAGTTATTGTTGTTTGTACTACTAGTACTAGTGCTACTACATTTCTCATGGCTGAGTGGGGATTTGAACCTTTGTCTCCCAGCTCTGTCTAACAATCTAACAGCAGCAGCAGAAGCAGAAGCAGTAGCAGCAGCAACTGCTACCCATCTGACTGGGTTGCCCCCAGCCACTCTGGACAGCTCCCAACAAAATATTAAATCACTACACTACGCTCCCTCTGTTTCAGTTCTCTTATTGCTTCTGATGATGACTGCTGTCTTGCCTTGCTAATGGGTCTCCCCATTCTGCCCTCTCAAAACACTTCTGTCTCTGCTCAGCTCCACTGCCCACCTTTTGCCCTGACCTCTTAACTCTCCCTACCAGTGCTATTTTTCTAGAAAAAGAGGTGCCAGAACTCACCATGAATGCCTCCCTTGATCTCTTATAATGGCAATGGCACCCAGCTGAGAGGTGCCAGAATTGAGTTCCAGTAAGTTCTGGCTGAAAAAGAGTCCTGCTACTGAAGCAGCCACCTCATATTAGGGTATCGCTGCATTTGATATGTCCTATATATTTCAAGACCACCTCCAAATTGTAAACTAAAGACATGAACTCATTTGCATGCAGAGTTCCAAATGAAATGGGACTCTGATCAAAAGTGCAGCCACTAGACGTTACCGCAATATAAATATGATGAAATGGTGGCCTTGTTCCAGTAGTATCATAAAGCGCTGCTACCCTTTCATCATTCCAGGAAAAAAAATCTAATTACTAACACACCAAAAACCTAATCTCATTTATTCAGCTCTTTCTTAAGCACCTATGCATTTCATCAGCATTCATAGGAAGCTGCCTATCTATTTGGATCTGCACTGTTACCAGGAGAAAATGGTCTGGAAAAGGAAAAAGAAAAATGGAAGTCGTTGCAAAATTCAAAAAGAAAGAAGCAAGAAGATGACATTTGCCTACATCTTATACAGTCATTTTAAAACTTTAACAAATGGTTGTCATGATAATTTTGGATGTTCCCTCATTGCAGAAAAATTGCTCATAATTTGTGTCAAAATTAAATTTCACTGGAATAATGGAGCGCAAGTTCAGTGTAATCTTATGAGCTGGAATACAAATGCATTTTCCATGATGGAGGCATATGTCTCCTAAAACACTGGGCATAATCCACGGGGGATTTATGAAAACAGGAACTACAGTATACTTTAAATATACTCCACCCTTTTCATATCTCTTCTGGTTCTGGGAGACAGAGGAAGGGAACTAGTCACAGAAAGAAAGGGGGACCCTAACTCTTCAACAGCCTGAGTCACCTCTGCCTCTTGGCCTCCCTCCTCCCACTTGCCAGCTTCACCTTCCGATTCTTGACTTCTCCCTGCCACAGACTCTCCCAGCTCACTAAGCCATGGTACCCCTTCAGCTTCTCACACCTCCTCCCTCCTCCCAGTCTTCTCCCTCTGACCACTCATCATCATCTCACCACCAGTCACTGGGGTCTGAGCTTTCTTCTCTTGATGGCTCCCCAACTAGTTCCCCCCACCATTCTTCTGCATCCAACCAGTCCATGACAGCCTCGGGGGGGGGGGGTCTATCAGCAAAAGAGGTTTGTGAATATAAATGTCATCTATGTAAAAAGAAAAGGGGGCGGGGAATGATCTCTGGCTGGTAGCCTGTGAACATAATCTAGCCATGAGGCAATGTTATTTGGCCCCTCATGGCCCTACCAAATTTCAATCAGGATTTGTTCAATATTGTCTCAGGGCTTGTCCACAGCTCCACTTGCTCTGCACCTAGAAAGCACAGGTCTGAGCTCTTTTGCCTTTGCCACGCTGCTTTCCCCTGGAAAACCCACACTTTAGTGCTAAATCAGAGCAAATGCCATTCAGGTTTTCTCCTGGTTGACATTTGCTCCAACTCAGCAGTAAACAGGAAGGAGAGTGCCATGGCAAGCCCTCAGTTTCACTCATATAAAAAGGTAAAGGGACCCCTGACCATTAGGTCCAGTCGTGACCGACTCTGAGGTTGCGGCGCTCATCTTGCTATATTGGCCAAGGGAGCCAGCGTTTATCCACAGACAGCTTCCGGGTCATGTGGCCAGCATGGCCAAGCTGCTTCTGGTGAACCAGAGCAGTGCACGGAAATGCCGTTTACCTTCCCGCCAGAGCGGTACCTATTTATCTACTTGCACTCTGTTGTGCTTTCGAACTGCTAGGTTGGCAGGAGCAGGGACCGAGCAACGGGAGCTCACCCCATCACGGGGATTCAAACCGCCGACCTTCTGATCGGCAAGAAGAAGAAGAAGAAGAAGAAGAAGAAGAAGAAGAAGAATAGTAGTTTGGATTTGATATCCCGCCTTTCACTCCCTTTAAGGAGTCTCAAAGCGGCTAACATTCTCCTTTCCCTTCCTCCCCCACAACAAACACTCTGTGAGGTGAGTGGGGCTGAGAGACTTCAAAGAAGTGTGATTGGCCCAAGGTCACCCAGCTGCTGCATGTGGAGGAGCGGAGACGCGAACCCGGTTCTCCAGATTACGAGACTACCGCTCTTAACCACTACACCACACTGGCAAGTCTTAGGCTCTGTGGTTTAACCCACAGTGCCACCCGCGTCCCTTCACTCATATAGAACAGACCATTTAGAGAGAGAGAGAGAGAGAGAGAGAGAGAGAGAGAGAGAGAGAGATTCAAAGCCTTTGACAGCCAAGCAAGTTAAAGACATCTCAGTTCTAAGCAAACATCATTTGGCCCATGTAATACAATATGCAGAAGCAAGCAAGCAAGATGGTGTTCACTTCACAACTCTTTCCTAAGTGTGAAACCAGTTATTAACCTAAAACATGTGGCCCATTGTGCATATTGTGTTGTGCATGCTTGCAAAGAAAGATAGGTAATTTGTGGTGCTGCCTTTATTATGCTTTGTGGGAAGCTGTGAAAGCCTTTGTTCCAGCTAATTAGTTTGTGAAGAGGAAAGGCAGTCTTTTTGCTTCCTCAGCTTTCCTTCAGATGCTCATACATTTGGAGCAAAAGCAGTAGATTTTGCTGTGCTAATCTGCACATAACCTAAAAGCAGCTGCTCCATACCTTGATTGTCATATAGGGTATATTCACACCAGCAGCGTTTCAAGTCACATTTACACACTGTTGTTCACATCAGAGAGGGGTCAGGGATGTCTTCACTTGACACATGAACTGTTTGGTTTCCCACCCACTGCAACACACACAGAGAGAGAAGCTGTCATATGCACACGTGTGGCAGCTGTCTCCAATGTTCACATTACCAATTACTCCACATCCATTTTGAATTGAAGCTGGTTTGAGGGGAAATGTGTCAAAAAGCGGTATTTGTCAAGAAACTACAGGATCGATATGGGCTGTGGCTAAATGAGGCTTCAAAAACTAGCAGTGGGTGTGCACTGGATGCAGAAAAATCTGTAATGTAAACATACCTAAACTCTAGCTCAGAGAGGGAGAACCTATGGACCTTCTTATGCTGTTGGACTACAGCTCCCATAACCCCATGCCATGCTGATGGAACCTGGAGTCCAACACATCTGGAAGGCCACAAGTTCCCCATCTCGGCTCTAGGAAAAGCAGAACTCTGTATCTCCTTGTTTCTGATGCTCTGTGCATTGCATCTGCTACCGCAATCCAGCCTTTACACAACTCTACTTGATTATAATTATATTAATGGTTTGCTGTTTCTGAGGGCTCACTCTACCTGTTATAGATAAAATTGGGTGTCTCAACTGCAACACACTTTCTTACTTCTTGTGCAGGCAAAATTAATGAGCTTGGTCTGAAGAGAAGTCTTTAGAAAGTTTTTCTAAATCTAGAACTTCATTGCCAGTCTGTTATAACTACATCAGTTACATAGTCAATAGCTAGAAGAAAATGAAAATGCCTCCTGATTGGCCAATATGGTCATTATGACATCACTGGTCTGTTTGTCCAACTACATTTACAGAGGTTCCTGTACTGAGCTGGACTTTGGCTGCCTTTATTGATAGATCAGCTGCCATACTGCAAACTTGTCTCCTTTGTGGGTGGACAAATGTTCTTCATGTCTCCTTAATGTACCTGTGGGAACTAGGGATGCATAAGAAGAGGTAAGCTGGTGGGGAGCAGCAGCAGGCAGGGTGAAAATCTGCAAGAGAAGAATGGCTGGATTTGTGTAAAAGACACAGTCGTGGGTGGGGTTGAAACTGACTATGTCTGGATGCAGATGGAATCTCCCTGGGGCGGAGGAGCCAAGAGATGGGAGTAGGTCAGAGCAGGGTTGTGGATGGATTGATGCTGGCTCAGTTCTGATAGTTTCAGCCTAACTGATGGGTGCTTCAATCAGAATCCAAAAGAGGCACCAGATTAATGTGAGGAAATGCTTGATTTCTTAGGTAGCATTTATTGTTTCTAAACTGGGCGTTGCCAGCTGCTTTAGTATCCCTGCTCTTCAACCCTAAGTGTGTGGACATGCTGCAGTTGTTTCCTCCAAGGCATGGAGTAGATCTAGTCTAGGCTTCCTCAACCTTGGCCCTCCAGATGTTTTTGGCCTACAACTCCTATGATCCCTAGCAAGCAGGACCAGTGGTCAGAGATGATGGGGATTGTAGTCTCAAAACATCTGGAGGGCTAAGGTTGAGGAATCCTGATCTAGTAGATCTTCTTGGATCTGGATTGTATTTCCCCTGATTTGGCATTTGCTAGCCCCCACCCCACCCCATGATCTCATGCAAGGGAGCGTCCCTAGTTTCATTGGTGGAATGTTGGAAGATACATTTTGCGGGTACAAAAGAGGAACGCAACATCAGCCCCCGGTATTAGCAAACACTTACATCTCTATGATTCTATGAATTGTGTGTTCTGCGTGTGGTACCTAAGACTGCATCACAAAGTGGTATATTGGAAAGCTCATCTTAGCAGACAGTCAGACCTGCTCCCAGGAAAGTGTTCAACTGACTGCACGGGGACTCCCTTCTGATGTTCATGTTTAGGACTGCTCTGCCACAAGTGGGAATATAAACACTAGAGCGCTGCAGTTCAAGATCTGCAAAGCTACTATCAGGGTTGCATGATGGTGGGAAATTCAGGACAGACATAATTAAATCATAAATGTTGCTTCTTCGACTACCCCCCTATAGAGAGACACATGCACAGCAATGGGAGTTGTGTGGTACAGGACTGCAGTAGGAAGGAGAAATCCCCCCCAAAAAAAATTGAGCAAAGGATTTTGAACCAGAAAGAAGATCCCTCCACCCAGTTTTGGGCAATTCCCCTCTTACAATGGAGCTTTATATGATACACCTCCCTCTCTTGGATAGGGATTACTGTCTGGAGAGGGTTCTGGGGTGTGGGTGTGAGTGTGAGTACAGGAGACTGTAGGAGTAAAGGAAAAGAAAGGCTGTTTTCACAAGCCGCCTTCTCTTTGTGCCACTTTGGGATACAATTCATAGTAAAGAAAATAATTAAACAAGTAACTATTAATAGATAAAACCTAAAGAGACATTGTAAGACAATTGGAAATCTGAAATAGTGTGTCCATGTATCGCCACCCCCACAACCCTTGGGGCTTGTTTTCAGTAGTTCTCTGCATATGAACGCTGCAGGCCTGGATTATAAACATCACCCATCAGGTTAAACTATATACAAATGCAATTGGTCCTCTCGTTATCACCAAGCGCCTCAAAATATTACCGTGCACTGTGATGAATGACAGTCTCCTCAGCCGTGAACGAAACGTATACAAACCACAGCCTTAACTCTCAAAAACTCTGAGAAGTTTCATCAAGGAAACCCTGCTGAGCGCAGTACACTTCGGGGGGGGGGGATCCTCTGGGACACATTAAAGTATTACGAATGTATGTCACAGCAGCTGTCTCCTAACACTGCAGGGTTGCATTCTTGCTCAGCAGTGCTGCACCATGATGAATTAACTCAAAGAACTATGAATTTTGTGACATAGGCTGAGTCATTGCATATTGACTCATTGGTCTTTTTGTCTACAAGGCCTTCAGTGGAATTTGAGAGAATCGCCAAGGGGTCTCACCAATTTTGCTCTCTGAGTTTTGACCCTTTTCCAGTAGTTACTAGTAGGTTGTGCAATTCTGAATTAATAAGACTCTGTTTAGATGTCTGCTCAGCATTCTGTTTTAATCTGCACCAAATACCTTTTGATTGAACTGATTCTCATGTTGAAATGTTTTGAAAGTTAGGATAAATGAGAAGTCCTAAAAGGGGGGAAAAGATCCCATCTCTTGGACCTAGATCTGCCATAAATAAATTCAGTGTTTTTCCCCCTAAAAAAATAAATTAGGGGCACTGTCATTTTCCTACTCATATTGAAATACTGCCCCTCAATGAGGCCAAACTTAGATTTACAAAATGTTTAGGGGTATGTATACCCCTGCGACCCCCCCCAGAAAAAAGCATTGCATAAATTTTATTGCTTTTCAAAAGCCTCTGAAGCAAGAGGCCATTAACAGTTCTTGAATGTAATAATTCCATATGTTACAAACACTTTACGTGAAGCAATCTTTCCTTTTGTTGGTCTTAACCCAATAACCACAATCAATAATCGACAAGTATTGAAGGGCTATTATTGATCTGATTGGCTTCATTTCATCTCTGTCTCAAATTCACCATCAACAGAGCATAAATGTTTTGTCAACAACTTCAGTTCTTCATTGATACACCATCTTTGACTTGATTTCAATTATTTAATGATGGACGAGTAAAATGATTGGTCCGGCTTTTGCATATTGAATAGTCAAAAAGGTTAATTGGGCAGCCTGAAAGAAGACCAAACATTGTATTACTGTCATTGAGAAGTTACTAATTTACTAGAGATGCTGATCTCTCTCTCTCTCTCTCTCACCCTTCACTGCTTTCCTTTTGGTGGCAACTCATATTGAACTGTGTCTCGCCTGCCCTAATTGCAATTTGTTGCTAATGTGAAAATAACTGTTTGCTGTAGAAGCCAGTTAAAGCTAGGCTCAGCCTGTGTGTCAGAGAGATGGCAAATGAGCCCAAATACTGGGAATCCTTTAAAATAAAAACAGGACATAAAGAGCCATCTCAGATACAGTGGTGCCCCGCAAGACGAATGCCTCGCAAGACGAAAAACTCGCTAGACGAAAGGGTTTTGCGTTTTTTGAGTCGTTCCGCAAGACGAATTTCCCTATGGGCTTGCTTCGCAAGACGAAACGTCTTGCGAGTTCTTGCGAGTTTGTTTCCTTTTTCTTAAAGCCGCTAAGCCGTTAATAGCCGCTAAGCCGCTAAGCCGCTAATAGCCGTGCTTCGCAAGATGAAAAAACCGCAAGACGAAGAGACTTGCAGAACGGATTAATTTCATCTTGCGATGCACCACTGTATTCAGGAAAAACATATAGCGCAGCTCCTTTGGAATGGTGCCACAGCAGAATACATGTGAAGAGGCCTAAGCTAAAATCCTCCTTTTTCATACAACATGTAAAATGCCATAAGAAGCTTTGGCAGCATGATAAAACAGAACCATCTCAGTCCATCAAAGGCCTGAGGGGAACAGGTAAGACTTTACCAGCACTGAAAAGATGTCACTGAAAACACCAGGTGATCCTCGCTGGGGAGAGCCAGATGGGAAGCCACAACTGAGAAGGCCACCTCCCCTTGTCATCAGCCTCCATGCCTCCTCTCAGAGGAGAGAGCTGGAGAAAGGACCTCAGATGAAGGTTAGATAGCCTTGTGTCAAGCCATTACTATCCCACACTATCTGGTACATTTCCCCACCATTTTCCTTATTGCATAAAGCAGAGGGGGGGGAGCATGTTTTTGCACAAGAGCACCAAATCAGCTTCAATTGTGCAACCTGAATTTGCCCGAATGTGATTGACTCTCACCCCCCCTTCCCAAATTGCAACGGTCTGGAAGCCCTCCGAGGCTGCTGCAGTAACCAAGAGATTAGTAACCAACTCGTTTCTCAGAGTTGCTCCCAGGCTGCCAGTCTCCACTTCCCTGCCCACCTGCTTCTCAGATTGCCATCATCCCTGATGGCCAAGGAACCAGCCTTTTCCAACAATGGATCCGAATCGGAACTGGTTTCCTAATGTCTTCCAACAGATTTCTGATCGTAGCTCAGATTCAAAGCACCTCGTCTAGTGCCCGTGAACCACTTAATCTGAATTATTTAATTTCAGTGACACTGCTGCAAAAGAAAACTGTTGTTTAAAATAGGGTATTAATTTTGTATGCTGCCCAGCTGTGGGGGGGCGGCGGATATCATTCTTTGCAGTTTATTGAGCAGCATTACTAAAATATATATTTACGACGCATTGTAAATTACAGTCTATACTTAACTACAAAGCCAAGGGATAAGAGGACTTTGAAACCAGAACAAATTAAAATCACAATTCTCTTTAAAGCCATCCTAAGAAGCAATGCCTTAAGTCTCGGTTTTACGGTAGCCACAGTGTAGAAAGTACAATCAACAGGGAACTGTCGCCAAACCTAACCAAATATCTGTGCACTTCTACTAATTCTTTGCAATATATGAATTCATATTTGCCACATACAATACATGGTATCTCTTTTTGGATCAGTTGCTTTGTGTCAATCAAACAAGTCCAAAATCTACCACAAAGTGAATGTTATACCCTTCACAGAGGGGTCCCCTCCCCTGCCCAAACAGGCACATTAAAAGCACACAAGTTGGAAATAATTTTTTTCCTTAGAAACCCACATTTCAATTAAAGATTAAATAGCTCCAGGGAATTTGAACGGTTCCCTCCCCCCTCTTCTAAATTGCTTAAGCTCAAGTGAGAACTTTCTAATTAACAAAGTGAACTTAATATTTGTCTAGTTGCTTCTGATGCATTTATATATTGATTTTATTTAATGGGTGCTAGAATAAAGGTTTGTCTTTTTAACACTAAGGAAGTGGTAACTAGGCACGGTACTGCTGGGAGAAGGAAAGCTGATAGCAAAGGAATATATTCTTTCAAATCCCAGGACCCACTTCCCCTGATTCACCTTGTTTCCCCCCAGGAAAGTAGGCTACAGGTCCCTTATATTCCCAGGTCGTGGACCCAAGCAAAGCCCACAGGCCCAGTTTGGTCTGCCCCCCGGGAGCAGCCTGCCCCCTTGCCTGCTCGCAATTGGCTAATAATAATAATAATAATAAATTTTATTATTTATACCCCGCCCATCTGGCTGGGTTTCCCCAGCTGCTCTGGGCGACTTTCAACAGAATATTAAAATACAATAGTCTGTTAGTCAATAGACAATTGCCTGCTCACAACTGGCCAATTGTGTGAGCAGTAGAATCCCCTTCCACAGGCAGCAAGATGAACCCCACCATCCAAAGGGGACCTCCTGTTAGCAATTTCACTCCTCTGATGCTGCAGATGAGATTGTTGTAAATCACATGCCTGTCTGGGGAGAGTGTGGGAAACGGAAGACACTCTTATTTCTTCCGCCGTAATGTACTTTCACTTTTACTTGTTCTGTTTGTTCTCTCAGAGCTGGAGAGAATGGACGCCATCATGCTTTTGTCTGCACATAGTGTGTAAATAAATAGTAGAGCAGATCTACGATGTCTCACTCTTCTTGCTGCGTTATGCCAGAAGATTAGTGTGCATATACCAGCTGGTATATGTCGCTGAGCGCACTGCAGACGAGGGGAAATGCCTTTTCCAGAGCTGCGTGTACTGGGGGATGCTCAGAGTTTTGGGGGCTTGCAGGCACCCCAGGGCGTTTTTCCAACACCTACATCAACATATCACAGTGGGCAGGGAGGAGCACCAGCCCACAAAAGTGCCAGCTGAAAAGTTTGGCCAGACTTTTGGCACTGAAACTCTCTCAGTTACTCTGGAAGACAACCTATGCTCGAAGACAAGGGATCTGTGACCCTGTTGTTTCTCCTGTACCTCTCAGCAGCTTCTGATACCATGGGATTCTTCTGGACTACTTTTACAGGATGGGGGGGAGGGGGCATATCAGTGCTCTGGAATTTGTCTCTGCACATCCCATTGTTGTTCCTCTGCCTGGTGGTGGTGGGTAGGGGTGGGGCCTGAAATTCCCTGCATCTGCATAATCTACATCCTTCAGAACTGTATGCACCTGGGAATGTATGTGGGTTTTAAATAATAATAATAATAATAATAATAATAATAATAATAGATAGCTTGTGTCGTATAAGCTTTTACTGTAGGTAAACATGCAAGCCATATAACTGCTAAGGATGGAAATGGAGCTAAAGTCTTTCTCGAGTGTCTGAGAGAGGCTACAAAGAAAGTGCCTTAATTTATATTCACCACAGGCTTACGTTTTCTTACCTGACCCCTTTGGTCCACATAAATAAACTCACATTTTTTATATGTGTACAAAACAGCTAATGGAAACCTACCCCCCAAAGCCTGCTTTTTATTTTCTAATAATCCTTCTGCTATTTCTCCATTCTAATGTCAGTAGGTTAAGTATTGTCTCCCACTGCTTCCTGAGTGACAACGTTTTGCAGTCTGATCTCTCTACATATTTCTCTGTAATCACGTGCTTTCCCTTGGCATGATTGCAGAGTGCAAGCAACCCCATTGAGAGCCCGTTCATGAGCATAATTTTGCCTTGTCAAGCCTCAAAAATATTGTGGTTCCAAAAGAAACTTCAGATTGACAGCTTCAGCAACTTCCATCTAGAGGCTGAAATCGATAAGGATGTAGTCTTATGGAGGTAGGTCAGTAGGAAGGTCGTCTGCAAAAAAGTTACCTGTAGCGTCAGTACTTTTACCATTATATTTGCAGTATTTCTCTTCAATTTTTTTATTTCTTTTATGAATGGCTTCCCATGAAGCATCACAAAACAATTCGCAATATAATGACACATATAAAAGAGTTACGGTATATGCAAACTTCCAAAGCACCCCAAAGGACTTTAAAAATCCTTATTTCAATTTGTGGTGCTTTGGAGAGATCCCACTTCAGCTCAGACAAGACCCAAATCTACCCAAAGTGGATCCACCTGGTTCCTGATTTGGGATCAGTTCTTTTGCACGCCTCTATAAGGGACATTCCCCGAGGCAGGAGAGTGAGATGCAGAAAGCCAAGTCATTTTTCCAAGTTCTGATCACATGTTAGACTTAAAATGTGTGCTGTGGAATCTATTTTCAACGAGCATTGTGTCCAATTCCATTAGTAGTTTTATGCAAACATTGAGCCTGAGCCAAAATCTATGTAAGAAATATTTAATATGAGTGAGAGTCAAAACATTGGATTAATTATCAGATAGTCATCTACTAACCCATTTAATGTTATTTTAAAATAGCTCTTAAATGGAATTTGCCTTTATCTACATTGGCCAGAAAATGAATTTATAAATGCTTTATTGTTAATTCACTTCAGAATATTTCACAGGAAGTGATTCATAAAATAAATAAATAGTATTGAACATGAAATTAATCTAAAGAAGGAAGTGTTCTTTAGGCTGAAACTGTAGCACTCAATGCGATTTTCTAAGTACACATGCATAGCAGGAATGAGGGAGCTGCAGCCCTCCTGATGTTGGAGTCCAGCTGTCATCAGCCCCAGCCAGCATGACCAATAGTAAGGGATGCTGAGAGCCGCAGTTCAGAGACATAAGTTCCCAGAGATATAGGTTTGCCCTGCTAGGGTATGTGGGGAAAAGGTATTGAAAGCTGTCCCAGCATAACTATAAATTATAGTAAGCATCATACAGCAATCTTGATGACATGAAAGCATTGGATAATCAAGCTGTTGTTGGCATCCATCTGTCTCAAGAGACAAGGGAGTGTGCCTCCAGGGGTGAAGCCAAAACACTGTGTTAGCAGCACTGAAGTGACTTCCCCGGGGCACAAGCCTGGGCAGTTTTATGGAGGTCGTGGGCTGCCCAAACGACAAGACCCCCTTCTTGGCCTTTGGGTCCAAAGGAAAGCAGAGCAATACATTGGCACCAGTGTGGCTGCAGGTGTTGCCAAAAGGCACCATCCAACCATCTTAGGGAGTCCACTCCTGATTTTTGTAGGGTTTACTCTTTAGACTTTTCTTCTCCTAAGGATACCCTACAAGGCAGCAGACATTTAGGACCAGAGTTTTCCTTCTCCTAGATGGGCTACCTTTCCAGGTTGATGAGCCCCATCTGCCCCACCCCACATCTCCCTCTACAGCAGGTGCAGAAAGCACCTTCTTGACCTTTGGACTCACTATTGGTTTGGCCACTCAATCCACTGAAAACTGTCTTCGCGTGCAAGAGAAGTCATAATCAAGCGATGGAGCTTAAAATGAAAGGAAAGAAGCTTTTCTGAACAACCCTCATGGTCAAGCAGCAGTGGTGGTAAGCAGAGCCCCAGATTTGTGCCCCTGAACTTACTTACATCATCTTTAATTATGCCAGTACCATTCCATATGGATTCATGTCAGTGGCAGCGCTGAGGATAGTGCCAGTGCGTGTAGTTATCTGTGTCACCACTGGACTGGTGAGTGGAGCTTTCTGTTGTTAAAAACTCAGCCACCTCTTCTTGAAAGATATACCAACATCCCACCCCTTGAAAGTCACCAATATTCTACACATACCCTTTTGGGGGGAGATAAGTGACTGGAAGGACAGATCGTGAAGCTGAGGCTCCAATACTTTGGCCACCTCATGAGAAGAGAAGACTCCCTGGAAAAGACCCTGATGTTGGGAAAGATGGAGGGCACAAGGAGAAGGGGACGACAGAGGACGAGGTGGTTGGACAGTGTTCTCGAAGCTACAAACATGAGCTTGACCAAGCTGCGGGAGGCAGTGGAAGACAGGAGTGCCTGCGTGCTCTGGTCCATGGGGTCACGAAGAGTCGGGCACGACTAAATGACTAAACAACAACAACAACAAAGTGGTCCTGCAAAAGTATACGTGTGGGATTCTGACCTGGCCTGACTTTTGCTATCATGCTCCACTCATCAGACTCAGAAATGTCTCAAAACACCCCTCCAAAACACACACACACACACACTTAACTAGCCTACAATAGAGTAGTCCATGACTGGCTATTGCTGCCTTCCATTTCTGTACATAGTTCTTGGACATGTTAATTATCAGTTGCTAGGATTCACCAACAGTCAGACGAGAACAAAACAGGAATCAAAAGCAAAAACACCTGCAAATCCACATGCCCTGGCATTGGTGCACATCCTTAATTAGTGACATGGATGGTCTTTCATTGCTTAAGCCTCAAGATTAGATTAACATTTTACATTAATACTGAGCATTGTCATGCCCAGGGCAACTCGTATCCAAGGTACAGGGGGCTGCTTCTATTTCTTAAGCCTTCATCATGCTTCAGCAAGCAAGTCTGTTTCCACATCTGTGCTAGCACCTGATGTAATCACATTTCCCCCCTCTTTTGAATCAGTAGCAGCTCTCCAATAAAGCAATCTTTTTTCCATCCATCATCTACAGCCTTGGTGCATAAGCACTTGACTCCCAGTTAAACACAAAGGAAAGATGTTCGGTGCATTGTGGAGGGTTAGCAAGGCCTATTTCCACATTGACAATTAGACCGTCGGCATGAATTATTCAGCCCTCTGGCTCTCTGGTTTCAGAGCAACAGCAGTGCTGGCCTTTTTCGCTTCCTTTCTCCTTGCCATATGCCCCAGATCACGTTACCTCCCTTAGATACTCTTCTTTCTTCCTCCAGGAGGCCACGGCTCTAAAACATTTATCGTGTTTGCTAATAACGTCTTGGTGCAGACACTTCTCAACTACAATGGCCCTAGAATGCCAATCACAAGGCCTTCAAAAGGACGGGCAGCCTTCTCAACAATTATTAAAAACTAAAGTGAGGTGACATGTTGTACAAAGGATCAAATTATTTGTGAGAACAAAGGAGGGAAATAACCACCACGGTGGCTTCCCAGGGGAGGTGAATTGGAGTCAACAAGGCAATCAACTTTTCCCCCCTTGGTACTGCTGAAGACTGACTGACCTTGAAAAACAGCCATAATCACCTGGAGACAGTCTTGTATGCCACCAAACATTAATGCAAGTATTCTACAACCACCGAGGCACTGATTACAAATGAACACTGGAACCCTCGACCAAATGCTTCCTTATTTTTGTCTAATCGTTCACCTCAAGAGTACTGCAGCTACGGTGTAGCTGAACCTGTTTACTTCATTTCACTTACATTTTCCTAAGTGTCCAAAAGTGCCTCGCTTTTTCTTCATGGCACACACTGAAAATACATTTGCGCAGTTTCAGTTATGCGGCTGTTAATGTCAGGTTTGTTTCCTCCATGCCCTCACCATCGAGTCGTCAGCCTCATTTCCCCACACTGATGTTTAATCCAATTGTCTGACACAGCTGATGTGATTTGTCCATGATTTTGCAATGCCGCATCTGGGATGCTGAGAAACAAAATTACATAACACAGCCAGATCCCCCAGATCCCTCATTCAGAAAGGCACTAAGTTGTGACAAAACATAATTTCAGAGACATCTGTGGTGAACACGGTGGCCCATGTGGCCACCTTAAAACAGCCAGAGAAAAGCAAGAAAAGAAACAGCCACTGCAGTTTTTCCAGTAAGCCCTCAGCCCCCAAGCACTGCTTGATTTCCTCATGCCCTCTGCAGATTGCCTCATTTTTCTTCTCCCACTCCCGACCCCCTGATTGGCACCAGAAACATTCTCATCCCATTTACTGTGGCAGCAAATACATTCCCTGTTTCTGCTGGGTCCCATTTCTCTCTATATATATATTTTTAACTCAGCAGCTCCAGAATGTAAGAAGAGTCCTGCTAGATCAAAGCAATGGCCCATCAAGTCTAGCATTCTGCTCTCACACGACTGGAGGCAAAACCAGTGAGTGCAAGGAAGCATTGCCCTTGTTCTGCTTCAGCTTCATGATGTTGCAACACAATGGTCCTTAAGGAAATAATACCCCCAACTGTTCTAGAATGTCTAACGTGTAATATTATTCCAGGATTCTAAATCTCCATAGGTACAGGAGGCTCTGTCCTACAAACATTTGTCTTACAACTCACAAAGATGGAGATAGGAACTTAGTTCACTCGCATCTGTTCCCCCTGCTCATGGTTAGGTTGTACACTTGAGTAATGCCTGAAGAAGGCTAGACTGAGCTTTAGTTGATTCCTCTTATATTTCACTCTTCCTCTGAACGGAATGACTTACTTATCATTCTTAGGTGATCCCCTGCCCATTGTTTATTAATTAAATTTCTAAGCTGACCTTCATTCAAGGATCACAGGACAAATTACAATATAAAGACACAAAAATACATAACTTAGTAACAAACAATAACAATATCCCGAGAGAGAGAGAGAGAGAGAGAGATTAAAAGGCCAGCTTGTTTTATTAGCCAAAGGCTTGGGAGAAGAGAAACATTTTCTTCTAGCGCCTATAGATATGTAATGAAGGCGCCAGGCGGGCCTCCTTAGGGAGAGCGTTCCACAAATAGGGAGCCACTGCAGCAAAGGCCTGTTCTCATGTTGCCACCCTCTAGACCTCTCATGGAGGAGGCACACAAAGAAGGCCCTGATGATGCTTGCAGGGTCTGGATTCATATGGAGAGAGGCGGTCCTTGACGTACTGCAGTCCTGAACCATCTGAGGCTTTACAGGTCAAAACCAACACTTTGAACTGGGCCAGGAAACTAATTGGCAGCCAGTGCAGTTGGGCCAGTATATACTCAAAGCACCTTGCCCCGGTAAGCAGCTTGGCCACTGAATTCTACACCAGCTGAAGTTTCTGAACTAACTTCAGAGGCAGCTTCACATATAACACATTGCAGCAATCTAGCGTAGAGGCTACCAGAGCACTGAAGGCAGAAGTTAGGCCTTCCAGACAGGGATGTAGTTGGTCCACTAGTGAAAAGTGATAGAAGGCAGCCCATGGCACCTAAGTGATAGCAACAGATTCAGAAGTACCCCCAAGCTGTGTAGCCGCTCCTTCAGAGGGAGTGTAACTCCATCAAGAACAGCAACCTCCCATCCATCGAGTCTAGGGAACCTCCCACTAAGAGTTCCTCAGTCTTATCTGGGGCCAAAAAGCTCTCACTCCCCCCAAGCATCACCCTCTGGTAATGACCATCCAAGTAAGAGCAGAACCACCACAAAGTGGTGCCACCCACCTGGACAGTGGCTCCAGAAGGATACCATGGTTGATGGTATCAAAAGTTGCTGAGAGGTCAAGGAGGATTAACAGTGACACATTTCACCCATCTCTCCCCCAACAGAGGTCATCATACAAGGTGACCAAAGCACTTTCTGTGCCAAAACTAGGTCTAAACCCCGACTGAGATGGATCTAGAAAATCATTTTCCTCTTTGTTCTCCAAGCAGCAGAGGAGGACCCATAGGAAGTTATCCCACGGTATCCTCACAACAAACCTGAGAGAGACTTTAAGTTAAAAGACTGCCGTTGGGTCCACTCCACCAGTACTCGAAATGTGTCCTTGGACAACTGCAGCATCTCACTCATGACACTGGGCATTTAAGGTATAACCCACTAACAACTTCTCCTGTGCAAATCTATTTCAGTGAGTAGGACCTCTATACCTTGATAGGGCTTATGGAAAGAAAGGGGGGGATCCTTATGTCAGACAATCCCCTCCCAATTTTTTAAAAATTGTGTGTTTTAGCCAACCCCGCTAAATATTATTTCAAGTTTAGGAAGCTTGTTCTGCCTCCATTCATTTTCTCATAACAATACAGCCCTTTTATCTGTACTATTCATTCTGTGTAATGACTAAGGTAGCTTGAATTTAAATCACATAGAAATTGACTTTCTTTGGCATCTTGTAAACACTCAGACCTCTTCTATTTTTCTTTTCTTTTTCACAAGCCAGATACATGGTGAATTTTCATCTATTTTATTTTATCAAAGATATGTCAGCGATTTGTGACACCGCACAAAGGGGCTTTTGATTCAAGTATTTCCTGCTGTTCACCAGTTCAGTCAGCTTCCATTCAAAGCCCCTCCAGGTCAACTGGAACAATCCTACTGATTCCCATTGGCCCTGCAATAATATCTTCCCCCTTGTAATCAAGGTTTACAGGCATGCCCAAACCACAATTTCCATCCCCACAGTGAACAGAGCTTTGCCATTCGCACCATCTTGAGCTCCTTTGGAGAAAAAGTCAGAATCATAGAATTGTAGAATTGGGAGGGACCCCGAGGGTCATCTAGTCCATCTCCCTGCAACACAGGAACATGCAGGTGTCCCAAATGGGGATCGGACCCACTACCTTGGCATTGTCAGTTTCACACTCTAACCAACTGAGCTGCCTATAAATGCAACGAATAAATAAAATAAAATTCAACGAATGCAGCATTACCTCACAAAGCACTTTGCATGTGAGTGTGAGCAGGTTTACCATTATTTCTAATACAACAACCTATTGATTGAATAGTTCATACATTATATATACTTTAATCTTGCTTTTCTGCAGGGCGGGGGGTGGGAAGAGGCAAAGATACTCAAAGAGTACTATTCAACTACACTTTCCTCACCAACGTAGGCTTGGTTCCAAAGGGCTTCATTTCAGCCAGAACGCAGCAGCGGCCAGATTCAGTCCTTGTATTAAGGAATTTCTCGCGCTTTGCTGAGACAGAGGCAAAAAAGTGGTGTGCAGTTGATGGTGGCTGAGCAGCTCAAGTGGTCATCAGAAGCAGCTGATATTTTGAGTCAAGTGCTCTACAGATCTTCTCAGACCACTCAGCAGTTTCATGAGAAAAGGGATTTCACCTAGGCCTTGTTGTAAATGCTTTCTGCCTGCCAGTAGGCCTGACCCTACACCGCCTGCACAGATCTGTCCTCGAATCCAATAAAACCACAGGAAAGCTAAAACTACTCATCTTTTGTTGCTGTTACTTGCTTATTGGTGTTCTTACTTTTCCTTGCACAATCACTTGCTATCAATGACGACATCAGATAGGCAAATCTGACTGGCCACACAGAATAGACACTTCTCTGTTTACATTGTGATCCTTGGATGGGTGGGATTACCAAAATAATTCATACAGAAAGGGAGGAAGAAGCAGCCTCTGACCAGCCCAAGACAAGATGATACCCCTTTCCCCATTGCACACACACAAGCCCACCAGACTGGCAGCTAAATCTTCACTTTGAGACTGCTGACAGGTGTAGCATCCTCTACCACATCTGAGGCAGCAGACCAGAATAGGGGACTTAGGACAAGCGGGGCAGAGGTAAAAGTGAATGCTGCTGCTCCTTCCCACACTGCATCTGCCACCTGAGGCAGTTGCCTCATGCCTAATGGTAGGGATGGCCCTGCCTAGCATGCAAAGAAGGCAATCAAAGCAACAACCACCAAGCTGCAAAGATATCACTGAAAAGGGTAATTATTTGCACAACCAAAGTATTTTTTTAATAGAAAATTTCTACCATATCAAAATTGTTTGATACTGCTTGAAAAGTGAAGCTGATAAATATTTGGCACAGTTCTAAATAAGACTAAACGTTTTAGGCTAGATTTTTAGGACCAGAATTAATAGCATTCTGAAAGCATTTTTGATTCATTAAAATATTTTTTTTTTCCTCAGATTTCTTCAGTTCAGTTTGAGGCAGGTTATGTTTCCTTCCACCAAAAGGCTGGCTTGCATGGACCTTTGTCACTGGAACCAATGCAGTAATTAATCAAGACAGCAACAAAAATGCAAGAGTCGCGGCACTGCGAGCTACAATATTAGGGAGAAAGAAAAGCAATGGAACAATCATATAATGACAGTCATTCTTAGCACTTTGTGACTATTGAATATTTAACCTTTAACACCTTAGCAATACAACAGCCTTGTAAGGCAGGCCAGTGGTATCATTATCATTATTATGAGCAGACCAGAGGACTAAGACAATGCCAGAAAATGGCAAGCCCGAGATCACCTAGAGAGCTTATAGCTAAAGTGAGATTAAGAACCAGAAAGCTGTCAGCTTCCAAGCTCAGAGGTCAACCCGTTGCTCACTGGGCTGTACTACCTAAGACTGCAGGTAAAAGTCCACATGCCTGAAATTTCCTTTATATAAATAGTCCCTGCACACGGAACTTTAGATGTCATGGAGAAAGGATTTAGCCTAGCTTTCTCCCTAACGTGCTAGTTTTCTACGTGCAGTACAGTACGGGCAACTCCCCATTTATGCAAGCGTCATATTCCAAAGCACTGCACGTTTAAGTGAAATCGCATATTTTGGAAACGCCATTGAAAAAGCCTGCAAACACCCTCATACCCCTGGAAACCCTTGAAAAATCCTTTAAAAAAACTAAACTCCATGACAATCCCTTCCTTCAACCCTCCTTGTTCAAACTCCAACTTTGCACAGGCCTCAAAGTCGGTGCTTATACTTGCAAAGGCTCATGGGATTTCTAGATGCTATTTTTGCGCCATTTTGCACCCTTTCATGCCACTTCCAGGTTAGGAGCAGTGTGCGCATGCATGTGCACATGTTCCTCAAACACACGTACATGGGGAGTTGCCTGTACAGGACAGCATTAATTCATACGTGTTTGCACATTCTGAAGTGGTACACGGAATGCCTATGGAGAAGACACCACAGAACACCTAGCCTCCTGTCAGCCATATTGCTGGGCTTACCAGCAGGGAAAAGTGGTGGAACAGTGTGGACACAACAGTGGAAGCACTGGACCGGCTCCACTGATGCACTTATCCCATGCCTATTTTGACCACTGCACTGCACCAGCTAATAAACATCAACAAGGTTAACAAAATACTATTTTGAGAGAGATGTAACTGTTCCCTTCTTTTATCTGTAAAAAGGCATCTGTGTTTTGGGGCTCAGGCTGTGCACGTCTCATGTGCTATAGCTTCCTCCAGGAAATAAACAAACCTCTCGAGCATCCCACCCCAGCCACTATAAGCTTCCCAGAAAAGCACTTCAGCCTTAAGAACGCCAACAAATAACAGTTTTACCATGAAACCAAGGCGCCACAGTATTAGCGTTCCTCTCGAATCCAGCACGGCGCGGAAGCTGCTCTTCTTTGAACCACTGAATAATAACTTCTCTGGAGAAAGGCCTCAGAGGCCGTTCCCAGGCTTTACTGTATTAAATGAAAAGAAAAGAAGGAGGTTAAAGTCACACAGAGATTGCTGTGCCGAAATGAAATTGCACATGATGGAATAAAAGGGATTTCTTTTCTAACCAGTCAATGAGGCAATTATGGTTTGGAAAATGCTATTTCCCACTTTCTATAGTACTCTTCAGGCTAATTAAACATGAGGTTTGATTACTTAAACATGGGGGGTGCATAAAGAAGGCACCAGGCAAGTCTTTTTGCAAAAGCTATTTCAGAACCAGGGGGCTGCCACCCAAAAGTCCATAGTAGCCACCCAACCAGGGTTCCAGAAGGTGAAGAGACAAAGCAAAGAGTAATTTTCAGGGTTCAATGAAGCAGCACACTAAAATGGTTTTGAGGCTTTTCTCCCAGTTCCTGAAAAGTGATAAGAAACCTGAGTCTATGGAAAAACCAGACTTAGTTTGTTTTATTGGCTTTCATCCTGGAGGTGGAACAGAACCTTATCTTTTGCCCATCTTCTCCATCCAGAGCTCCTGATGTAGGAGGGCACTGTTTGCACCATTTGTCTGCATTCATGCCTCTACAGCAGCGACAAGGAACATTTTCAGTCTGAGAGCTGCATTACCTTCTTGGGCCTGGATGCTAGCGTGGGTGGGACAATAGATGCAAGTCCAACCATGAAAAAAACTGGTCTGTACATGTATAAGCTACAGGCATCCTGACAATTCAATGAAACATTCCAGCCAGGGGAAAACAATTTAGCAGTCAGTTATGAGTGTGATTGATGGGAGTCCTTGGGGCCAGATAAAGATGCCTGGTTGACCACATTTGTCCAGCCCAGCCCAGCCCAGCCCAGCCCAAGGTTTTGGTTCCCTACTGCTGCTCTAGGGTGTGTTCTCTCATTCTTCCAAAGTCAGCATTGGATCATTGGCTAAAGCTGCCCAGAGTGCCTAGGGCAACCTAGTCGGATGGGTGGGGTACAAGTAATAAATTGTTGTTGTTATTCCAACCCTCCTTAACCAGCCCACTGCATTTACATGGAGGGTTGGAACATTGCTCAGCCACCTGCATAGAATCCCTTGTCACCTGTGGTGACCAAGCAAGTTGTCAAATACAAGGCGATTCAGAGAGCCCAAGACAGAATGGTAAGGCATGTGGGGAAAGCTGATCCACACATTGAGATGCCTTCACAGAAATGATAGTGTGGAACCATTCCCATGTAAACATATTCATCCATTTGACTGAACATGCTCACAAGCCTTCCTGTGATGGGAAATCCTGAATTACCAGGGCTCCTGGTAGCAAAGGTGCTTGTAAGCATGTTCAGTTCAACATGCTGTCAAGCCCCTTCTATACCTTCCCATGCAATATGGGGAAGTTGAGGTGGGTGGAGTGGGCACACCCAAAGCACGTGGGGGCATAAGGGCAGGGACAGCATGCATGTGCCTGCTCCCCCTCCCCAAACCTTCTCACATTCTTCTGAATCCACAAATAAGGCTACTGCAATGATACAGGAGATATTGCGCTGCAATCCTCAAATTCCACTAAGATGATCTAAAGATCTAAGTGTATTTTCCTGTGAGCATCAACTTTCTAGCTCTCCACAAGGATGAAGATAGCAAGGCAACCTGACTCTTTGATCATACAGTAATATCACTTAAGAGATGGATAAACAGCTTTGGGTAAGTACGGAATAATTGGCATAGCCTTGTAAGGATCTTCTTGGTCTCACTTGAGTATTAAGAAAGCAATCGCATCTAAATTATTGCTGAATTCCACACTAAACAGTTGCACTTTAGAACTTAAAAGGCTTAGAACTCAAAGCTGAATAATATTTAATAGCCCTTCACAATTATTGCTTTTCTTAATGTTCTTATGACTTTATTTTGGAAGAGCCTCCTTCATCTTAAGTGGCTTGGAATAACAAAAATAACCACAGTATCGCTACAAGAAGCAACTCACCAGCAAAACATAGAGAATTCACTGCCTTTCGGAGGCTACATTTTTTTATTCCCTAATCAAGCTGGGAATGCCAGCAACCATTAGAGGCACAATTCTATATCAAAACACAGCAAGACAAAGGGATTGCTTGTCAAAGCGGAACGCAAAATGCCAAGCAGGAAGGGACTAGGGTTCCTTTTGCCCTGCTGAGCTGCCAGACTTCACAGGAGCCAAGACTGACAATTGAGAGTCTCGGTATTAAAAATGAAAATACAAATCGACGCAAAGAGACTTGCACTTACTTAGTGGAACTTTTGGTGTATGCCGTTGCACATTATAAAAAAAAACTAACAGCATGTTCGGGTTTCCACTCGCTTGTTCATAACACCAAGACTAATTAATAATATCATATGGTGCCGTGTAAACCCAAGAGGAGCCACTGATAAAACTTTGCCTAACTCCATCTGCTATGCTGGATTGTTTTTCACTGCTGGAAACCCACAGAACTTACCAGACAGGCAAGGGATCAATAAAAATACAATCAGAGGGGGCATTAATTTGGCCAAAAGAAAACTCACAACTAAGTTGAAATGGATTTTGTAAAGAAATTCTCAACCACAACCTGACTTGCTTCATTTGCTGCATTCTTGATTACGAAGATTTCTGATTTTTTTAGTTTTAAAGGAAAACGGTGCAAAAGTACTGAACTGTACAAGGGCCCTCAGATAGGGACTCTGTCCATAAAACCCAGGTGCTTTACAGCCTGTATTGGCAAAGCTACGTTTGCCTGTGGTCCACTCCTAATACTCAGCTTGCTTGGTGATGCGGTATGTGAACTACTGTATGTATGGCAGACACGGCAGCTATGGAGTGGAAGCAAACTCAAGGAACTCTAGATTGTGGTTTAAGCAGGCATTGTTGTCTTTCTTTAAGCATACAAAAGTCTCTCTGCCTGGAATGTGAGAAGCAGAAATGATAAGGCCTTAGTTGGAGGTCAAGCCGTGCACCAGTCTGAAGAATGTACAGGATTTATAGCTCCTTGCTGTTAAGTAAATTCCCCTGCTTAAAAAAATTGAAGCAGTGACTATTGTTGACATTGTCATAGCTGGAGGTAACACAATGTGCCAACATGAAGAACTTGTTACTTCTTAATGTTAAGCAGATCCCTCTGCTTAAAAATAAATAAAAATAAACCAGGTGCCAGTTTGTTGATGACATTGGTATAATTAAGAGGCATCTAAAAGGAATCCACATAACCTTATGCCATAATACATTAGTTAGTTTTTAAGGTGTCCCAAGATTGATTGTTTATGCTGTAACATATGGACATGATCAACTCTCTGCAAAAAGTAACCACTACCTTAAAATGCACTGATATTTAAAATTGTTGGTTTGCCATTTAATTCTGAATGCATTCCAGAGCAATGTTGTCAAGAATCTTGCTTCCTCCGCTGCCTCTTCCCATTGGGAAACCAGAAAAGGCCTCCATATAGGAGTCAACAGCCTCCATATAGGAGTCATAACATGTCAGTTAGGCCTGGGTCGTCTTATTAATACAAACAAACCTGGTTGAGACCGTCATGGTGAATGCTGGAATGGGACAGGCGTCATTCAGCTTTGCTTCTGGCTCAATATGCAGACCAGCTGCCTGGAACAGGTTACTGAGACCCGCCACTTTTCCTTTCTGGATTGCCCGCAAGGATTGCCGCCGGTACTCATCCCGGGCCCGGCGTGCTTTATGGCTCCTTTCCTCATCCGCAGCTTTTGAGCGACGTACTGTAGGGATGAGGAAGGAGAGACTCATCAGAGTGTCTTTGCTTTTTCAGCAAGCCAGAACATGCAGTTCTAAGTTGAAAGGTAACATGTCAGCAACATGGAAAGCCATCGAATCCCAACACATCAAGGTGAGGCTGGAAGACCTTCTATACCTAATAGAAAAATAACACATAATATTCCACAAATAAGGCACCAAGGGTCAAACTTTATATTGTTTGGCTAAGCCACAATGACGTGCTCACCTCGCCTTACCAGCTTGCTTGCTTTTTTCTGTACAGAGACTTTTTAATATAACTGTGGGTTTAGAGCAGGAGTTGCCAACACAGTGCACGTGGGCACTATAAAGACTTTCATTGGCTCCCATGGGCAGGTGCTCCAGAATCTGTGCTTCCATTTTCAAAAATGTAAGCCTCTAGCCCTCCTAAAAATAAAGTTATGGAACCAAAATGTGCATGCCCCTTTCTAAATGATTTCTGTGAAATGAACTAGCCTGTGTTTTCAGCCAATGAGTAAAGTCAGAAACTGTGATTCACAAGTGAGTTGTTTTAATGCCAGGCAGTAGGAATCCCTGAGGTCAATAGCATAGCATGTGGGGCCAAGGGGGCCATGGCCCCAGACACAAAATTCTGAGGTGACACAACCAGGTGCCCCCATGCAAGTGCCGGTTTCAGCAGGGATCCCCATCCCACTGTGGTGAAAGCAGCTGAGCAGCCCAGATTCACAGTGAGTGGGCATGGACAGAGGAAGGCAGGCAAGCCCAGCCCAGAGCTCCTCTCTGTGGGCGTTGGAGGGATTCACCCACCAAGGACCACAGCAGCTGGCTGGGGCCTTCCCAGGACAGACAGACCCCCCCCACTTGGCTCTGGTGGGGGGGCGCTTTGCAGATGTCGGCAGCTTGCCTGCCCTGGGCACCAGCAACACATGCTACATCACTGCCTGAGGTGCTAAAGTGCTGCATCTTTGCCTCCCCTTTAGTACATTTTTCCTGCTTCTGTCTTATTTTATAGTGTTTGGGATCACCATAGTTTGTCCTTCCTTTTCCCCTAGCAACCAGGATGCATCTTTCCTATTGGGGGGAATGGGGGATCTGTTTTCAATTCAATATGAACCTGCCTAATTCACATGTCTTGAACTAACGCACAAACCAAATTGCAGCTCTGCTATGAAACGGGCACTTCTCTGAATGTTGCTACCAGGTCCTGAAGGGACCATCAGTCATCCTGAGAGGATTCTGTTGCTGTATATTTTATCCCAAATATTTGCTTTGGTATTTTATAATTATAAACCACCTTGGGTGCAGTGGCAGAAAAGCAGTGTATGAATGCAATAAATGAGTATATGAGGCAAAATTTCATTGGAAAAAAAATGTAGACAGAAATTGGGGCTAGGGTCCAAAATGGAGAATGCATTACTGGCACAAAAAAAACAAGTGCAGAATAATCCTAACAGCAAAACATATTGGCTGCTCTGATAGGATTTCTAACCGCAAGTTCTTTGATAAAGATGTGAACGAATTCCTACTGTGTTGGGAATGAACTTGAGCAAGTCGCATCATTTGGGACAGATTAGGAGATCTCCATATTTTATGGCCTCCTTTGCTTTTCTGAAGAGCAGTGAGTCACAGGGCTAGGCTTGGATGTATATTATAAGAATGTCGCATGAATATGCATCACATTTTTTTAATGATTTGCTCCAGCTGCTAGCTTGTTAATAGTCCTTGGTCTGTAGCTAATTTGGGAACAACTCGCAATAAATATTCAAGATAGAAATGGTATTTGACTGCAAACATTGCATGGTATGTTTCTGTTCTTCAGTTGAAGGGGGGGATAATTCTTGGAAAACAGGAAAACACGCAAGCTGAGATCGCATCAATGAAAATTCAAGTAGTGCATGCCTATTATCCATGCACTGGCAAAATGCCCATCATTATGACAGGTGCCATGTGTGCAGAGGGAAGAAATGGCACACCACAGTGCATTTCTGTGCGATCTACGAACAGACACATCTCTCCAGGAGAACAAGTGAGAGCCAAAGTCAGGTGTTGCCCTGATCACACCAGCGTGCTCGCAAGTGCAATGTTTTGCTTTTCTCCAAAGAAGCATAAGGCAGCCATTTGTGGCCAGGGGGCCATCTCGCCCTCAGGACTGTGGGCTTGGATCTCATCTATAAGCTCCCTACTGGGGTCAAGAGGGAAGCCATCACCACCATGTCTTACTTGTGAGAACCAGAGGAATCTGGCTGGGTGAATGTTATCATGCCAGACCTTGCTTGGACCCAGCAATGAAATGAAGCACTGGTGTCCACATTTGAGAAATGCCCATGTAACATAGTTTGTTTTTTTTAGCACTAACAGGCTATATATTTCAATTACCTATAGAAGAATGGTGTTGTTCTTTGTTTGGCTCGACGAAAGGAACCACAGCAGTGAATTAAACCGAACACTAAAATTAGTAACGCTTCGCCTATTGACTTGGCAATAAATAGCGGTGGGATGATGAGATGAATCCCCATTCTGTTGGAAATTCCATCTACTAAATAAATTAGTAGTGTCATCAATATCATTGCAACGTTCACCCTCCACAGCAGCTGCGCTAGCAATGCGCCTCTTCGACCCCCCCGACCCCTGGCACTGCTGAGCACAGCCGCTGACTTGGTGGTGGCAAGACATGATGGGACCTGGCGCTGCTCCTAATGGATAATTTGGCTCCCGCAGTCAGCACATAATAGCAAAACGACGCAAACACTGACATCGCTGCATCTTCCTGGCCTCTGATGCTGGTGGACAGAAGCCAGGTTGGCACTGCCATACAGTTGAGGGGTAACAACAGGGCATGATTAGTCCATACAGTCTTGGATCATATGAAGGCACACGCCTGAGATACAAGCAAGGACCAGAGGTGTTATTTCAGTAATGGGGCAAGACTCCTCACAGCATAAGTTAAAACACAATAAACAGATATATTAAAAAGAAAACAAGTGTGACCCAAGTAAAACCAGCATTGAAAACATGGATGGAAGATTGATATAAAATGGTAATAGAGAACTATAGATAGATATAACTGTGTTTTATGAGGATCATGAATATTGTATTTCGTATTTTCTTTTTTCTATATTACTCTTTTCTTTTGATCCTTTTATTATCTTTGTATAAGAGAGTTTGGATTTGATTTCCTAATATGTTAAAAACCTCTAATAAAATTCTACAGTGGCACCTTGGTTCTCAAACTTACTCCATTCCAGAAGTCCATTCCAAAACCAAAGCATTCCAAAACCAAGCCGTGCTTTACCACAGAAAGTAATGCAAAATGGATTAATCTGTTCCAGAGTTTTAAAAACAACCCCTAAAACAGCAATTTAACATGAATTTTACTATCTAACAAGACCATTGATCCATAAAATGAAAGCAATAAACAATGTACTGGAGTCACACAATCAATCAATCAGTAGCTGAACTGGGTTCCACACAGTCACAAAAACAAAACAAAAGAGCCACAAAACCCCAAAATAAATAGTAAAATCAGGCAAACCTCAGCATAACACTCAAAATGGAAGTATCACACTCAAACTGGAAGCATAACACTCAAAACAGAGCACGTTCGGCTTCCAAAAAAAGTTCGCAACCCGGAACACTTACTTCCGGATTTTCAGTGTTTGGGTTCCAAGTTGTCTTAGTACCAAGGCGTTTGAGAACCAAGGTACCACTGTACTACAAAACACAAAAACATACACACAAACAAAAATACAACACCCACCCTCAGAAGACTCTGCCAGTTAGTTGCCAATGCCTGTCAGAACAAAACAGTCTTTGCCTGCTATTGAAAGCAAACCAGAGCGATACCAGCTTAGCTTCCCATGGAAGGGAGTTCCACGATCTGGGAGCAGCCTCCAAGAAGGCCATCCTTCTTTCTTAGGAGGGAGAAATGGGTCAGTGGTCTCTCATTTAGGTCTAGACCTCCCCTTTCAGTGGTGATAAAGTTACCACTTCTCTCAAGTAATGAGATAAGGCTTTTTACTATTATTGAAGATATATTTTTATTTTACAGTTACCAAGTTCCTGTCTCCCCACTCCCCCATATATCCACACAGGATCACTTATAAAAGGGCAGAAATCACGTGACACCCAGATATAGCTCAGTTGGCAGAGCATGAGACTCCTTATCTCAGGGTCACAGGTTTGAGCCCCACGTTGGGCAAAAGATTTTTGAATTGCAGGGGGTTGGCCTAATTGACCCTTGTGGTCCCTTCCAACCCTATTATTCTGTGTAACCCCAATGACAGAAATCAGGCAATCCCAATACTAAGGTTCCTTCCAAGTCTGCTTCAAGAGGCAGTATCTCCTTTTCAGCAACAGGGCTTAGAATTATTCCTGAAATAATCAGTATCCCACCCCCCATCCCCATTGATTAGAAGCTAGGTACAATCATAGTTAATGGGAATATCATTTGTCACATGCAAAATTAATTTGGTTCAAAGTGACCTGATCTCATATGAATGGCAGGTCATGGTCCTTAGGTAATTGACATTCAATAAATTATTCCAAATTCTATGAATAAGGTTGTATTCATAGATAATGTGGCCCCTGCTATAACACAACTGAGACCCACAACGGCACTCAACGCAAGGCAGCGTTACTTTGGTTGTTACTTTGTAAAGTGCTTAACATTTAACCAGATCACAGCAGAAAATTAAAACAAATTACAAGCCCGTGCCCAAAAGTTTTCAATCTAAACAAATACGACACAAAGGGAATCAGAAGGACGACAAATGGGATCCTCGTAAATCGAGGGTCGTGGTTGTGCTTGGGACCCTTCAGCCACCCCCACGGGATGTGTTGTTGCTAGGCGTGGCCCAAGCCTTATCTGTTGGGCCCCTGGATCGCGCTTGGCTGTTTGGGCCAATGGGGTGAGTGGCATGATCCTGGGGACCTATAAATGCAGCAGCACGATGGGGGTGGGGCACTTGCTTCACGCTGCTGAACACCCTCCCTCCCTCCCTCCCTATTTTAGGTGCTGCTGTTTTGGCCTTGCTTTGGATTGGGTCGCCTGCTTTGGAGCAGGGGCTGGGTAGGAATTTTTCCATTTGGCAGATTGGCTTTAGCCACTTGGTTTTCGCCTACCCCCTTAGCAATCGTCAGAACTTTGTAAGGTTTGGCAGTTAGGCATTGGTTTATAGAAATGAGCGGGAGGGGAGGTGTGGCCATCACCTGCCCCTCCAGAAATAGGTTAAAGGAATCTGGGTGTCCTGGATCTCGTCCAAAGTCCGCTTGAGGGCCATGCCAGGACCACAGGAACCCCAGGGTGAGCTTCAATTGATCTTCACCGTTGTTGCTCCCTCATTTGGTGTTTACTCTTTCAGACTGCCAGTCAGAGAGGCAGGAGTCAGTTCCTGACCAATGCCTAGGCCAATACCGCTCAATTTGTTTTGTAATCAATAAAGCTGTGGCCTAAATTTTGCCCAAATACTTAAACTAAAATTATGTGTCCATTTGAAGTTATTTAATGGGAAAGGGCTTGGGGGCCTCGGGATGCAACATTATATATTGGGAATGCCAGTTTGAACTTATTAAGCACATAAAAATAATCAAGCATGCATCCTTACTCCTCCCTCGCCAGAGGTAGTGAAATTCCTCCCTGGTGCCCTGAATATGGCAACTGACTTCATCTATAGCAAGATCAGATCCAACCTACCCACTGAAGTGGGTGTTCGAAGCACAACAATCAGGAGGGACGGTGGGAGACCCAAGAAAGGTATGCAGTGGGCCCACCTTTATTCCTGGGGTCAATCAGGCAACCAATCCATTGGCCAATCTGGCAGGCAGGCTCACCTGGAATCTTTCCAGCCAGAGGGAAAGGCCTGTTACATCTCCCTCTGGTGGGAAGACACAGCACAGGGACTGCTTTGGCAGCAGGCTGGCCCTATTCCTCAACACCACACTACTGTGGAGATAGGCGGAATTATTAAACCACTCTGGGATTTATAGCTCAGTGAGTGGAATAGGAATCTCTTAACAACTCTCATCCCCCTTAAGAAACTACGGTTCCTAGGTTTCCTCAACAGGCTTCCTCAAACTCGGCCCTCCAGATGTTTTGGGACTGCAATCCCCATCATCCCTGACCACTGGTCCTGCTAGCTAAGGATCATAGGAGTTGTAGGCCAAAAACATTTGGAAGGCCGAGTTTGAGGAAGCCTGCCTCAAGAGAAGCCACTGTACAAAGTGGGGTGATACTTCTTTAAATGTGTAGTGCAGATGGGACCTTAGATACAGACAACTCAGAAATACTAAGAATAAAGTGCAGGATTAATATCTTTTTGCATGGTCTCTCAACCATGTGAACCGTACCTGTAGTCTGAAGTGGTACAGCCCCAGCAAAAGTTTGCTCATCTTCTGGTTTTTTGGTTTTTAAAAAAATAATTAGCCTAGAGTCTGAGGTTTAAAACCAGTAAATTCCACTTATTACTACTACAGTGGTGCCTCGCAAGACGAAATTAATCCGTTCCACGAGAGTCTTCGTCTAGCGGTTTTTTCGTCTTGCGAAGCAAGCCCATTGACGGATTAGCGCTATTAGCGCTATTAGCGGTTTAGCGGCTATTAAAGGCTTAAAGGCTTAGGGGATTAGCTGCTAAAAGGCTATTAAAGGCTTAGCAGATTAGATAAAGGGGGGGAAAAGCGGAAAAAAATCTCAAGACTCGCAAGTTATTTTCGTCTTGCGAAGCAAGCCCATAGGGGAATTCGTCCTGCGAAGCAACTTCAAAACGGAAAACCCTTTCGTCTAGCGGTTTTTCCGTCTTGCGAGGCATTCGTCTTGCGGGGCACCACTGTAGTTTCACTGTCCTTGACTAGGATTCTCAACACACCAATATATTTCTCTTCCAGGACTAAAGTGGGGAATACAATGATGATGCAGATAAAATTCACTTTCATATTGCTTTTTTCTGGTGCTTTTTATTAGCATTCTTCATAAAGCCAAAAATGAAAATGAAATGAGATAAGGTGGTTATGCATTTTATTGGGCCAACTAATTTGTTTTGTATTCTTTGAGACCCAGTAAGTAGCAATAAGCTAGCACAAGATTCATAAACAAGAACTCACCAAGGAAAATGGAAAATACGCAGAAAATCACATCAGTCCAGCAAAAACAACACTGAAAGCTCAAAACTGGAGCAAAGCGTTTGTGTTAAAATTCCTGTAAGATCAACAGGAGAGGTGTTGCTTCTCCAACCCCCCACTCCTCTTGTTGTCTGACTCCAGATTCCCATCATCTTCAGCTAGCATGACCAATGGTGTTAAGGTCAAGGTGGTGGGAAATGCAGTTATCAGCGTTTGTAGGGCCACAGGTTCCCCATCCCTGATCTAAGCTATTAAAGCTCTTTCTTCCTGTTGAGCCATTTAGAAAGGCACCGTGTTTTTGTCCTTTCTAATCCTACCAGTTCTTCCGGATCACAATGCTTTCCATTCAAGGCCCGGCTCACAAATCATACGGCATCACACTGCCGTTTTCTCAGGCTAAACCAAGATCTCGGCATCATTTAAAACCCTCTGCCGGTTAAAATTTACTCACGTTGTTCTTCCCATTCATGGTCTTCCTTTTCATTCTGCGGGCTGTACTGCTGGGCTTGCTTGAGGCTCAGGTACAGCTCTTGAGCTCTGCGTTCCTCCTGTTGCCGTATCTGCTCTTCACCTCTTTGCCTCTCTTCTTCCTCTCTTTTCTAAAAAAATTAAAAAGGATGGAGAGAATCAAACAGCAAATAAGGAAACTTCCGGTGCGGGCGCCACCACCGAGAAGGCCCTCTGTCTGGTTCCCTGTAACCTCACTTCTCACAATGAGGGAACCGCCAGAAGGCCCTCAGCGCTGGATCTCAGTGTCTGGGCTGAACGATGGGGGTGGAGACACTCCTTCAGGTATACAGGACCAAGGCCGTTTAGGACTTTAAAGGTCAGGACCAACACTTTGAATTGTGCTTGGAAATGTACTGGGAGCCAATGCAGATCTCTCAGGGCCGGTGTTATGTGGTCCCGGCGGCCACTCCCAGGCACCAGTCTAGCTGCCACATTCTGGATTAATTGCAGTTTCCGGGTCACCTTCAAAGGTAGCCCCACGTAGAGCGCACTGCAGTAGTCCAAGCGGGGGGGAAATGAGAACGAAGACCAAAGAAATAAATACTGGAAAGGAAGTATGCAGCCTCTCACTTCTCTAATTGTCCAAGACTTTCTGGAGAGAAAGCAATCCTATTGTTTGGAAATTACCGTATATACTTGAGTATAAGCCGACCCGAATATAAGCCAAGGCACCTAATTTTACCACAAAAAACCGGAAAAATTTATTGACTCGAGTATAAGCCGGTTCACCACACCACAAACCTCCTGGTGGGCCGGAGTGCGTGTGTGTGCGCGCGCATGTGCACACGGCAGAGGGGGCTTCTCTCTCCCCCCCAGCCCCTCCTGTCCCCCTGCCTACCAGAGTCTGGTGGCGGCAGCGGTGGAGGAAGAACAAGCAGCCCAAAAGGGGTGGGACCCTCACTCGAGTACAAGCCGGGGGGGGGGCTTTTTCAGCATAAAAAATGTGCTGAAAAAGTCGGCTTATACATGAGTATATATGGTAAGTCCCATTGCACAAGATGGTGGCATGCCATTGAGTAAAGACAACACAGACACAGGGCTCCTGGGGTCCTTGCTTCAAACAAGGACAAATAAATGAGCTACATTTATATCTGTGCAAATGTAATGTCAGGAGTGTGCCCTAACTCTACGCAGTTTGTCATAAAAGTTTCCACTAATTGCTATATCCACACACAAACCAGATGAGCCGTTGACAGCAGAGAAATCCAAGAAGCAGCAGACTTAAGAAATCACTTTGTTTCTATGAACAGCGTTGCCTTTTTGTTTCTTTACAGCTTGGTTCTCAGCGCTGTTGCACCTTGAGAGATGCTGGGTGCGTAGTGGGAGTTTTAGCACTGTCAACATTCAAAGATCTTTCAAAAGAAGATCCAACACTGTTTCTTCCTGACCTTTAAAATACCAGCAAGTGCTCAGGTTGCTTCACTGCTCAGAGACAAACATTTTTATTTATTTAAGAATACGGTTAAGGAGAGTTGGCACTTTCTATTAGTAAGGAGAGGGGAAGAAAATAAACAAAGACAGGTGTCTCAGGTTTCACAAGGATGGTTTCTCTAGATGGTTTCTGCCCAATGACATTTCAAAACTGACTGGAATAAAGTAAGCAATTTGCTAATTATAGGCAATTATGATATTCAAGGAATATAAAATTGGAAAGAGTGCAACTTTCTACCTTTGGGAAGTAATCAAGGTGTTATTCCAGGTGGTCTGAATACCATTATAAGAGCGACATCTCGTTCAGCTTCAGTTAAGTAGGTATCATGAAATTTCGTACTTGCCGTTTATATCAGCTGGGAACTGATTTTTACAGAGGATGTTTTACAGAGGATGTTGGTGTATGATGAGACCCATGAAAGTTAATAAGACCCTGCAGAGTTTCCAGGCCAAACCCTAACAGGGTCTCTCTCCCTTTAAGGTAGATGTTCCTCAACCTTTAAATGCCCAGGGAAAAAATATTCAAGGCATACTCGACACAATGCAAAACTTAGTTAGCTTCTTTATCTTCTCTAAGAATAATAGGTAGACGTCCTTCTCACAATTCTGGGATAGCCCAGCTCATTGCCTTCAGCCTTCCAGTCAGTCATGGTCTAGAGACAACCTCCACTTTCTGGGCAACAGCCATAGAACAGGTTGCATAAGGAAGCCTACAGAACATCCTTCTTAGAGGTTACATCTCTTCCCTCCCCTAACATAGGACAGTGGTTGCTGCATGTGGCTTATCTGCTCCTACAGATATAGTGGCAGACATACTCAACAGGGGCAGATTTAGACACTGAGCCAAGAACTTGCCATCTCAAAGCCAGGTAAGCAAGGCGCTGGACTTTGGGAAGGAGGCGTGAGACTCTGACAGGGTCCCATAGTCCTCCCCTCCCAAAACATCATTAGCACTTTCCCAGCTTTGAGAAGGAAGTAGGAATGTGCTAGGATCCTGCCAGAGCCCTCATGCATCCTTCCCAAAGCTGGTTGCCTCTTTACCCACCTTTGGGAAGGCAGCGTGAGGGCTGAGTGGGGCACCAAATTTTGGCCTGGCACAGGGTGCCATAATACCTATGTCCACCCTTGTAGTCAACATGGCAGTTTCAATTTTCAGTTCCCCTAACTAGTGTGCCCTGAATACAGTTTAGAAATCACTGCTTTAAAAATTCCTTTAAAAATGTGGCATGGCCCCTGGCAGACATTTCTATTATACACAAGTCTGAAAGGGAACAATGGTGTGGACTTTTCCATGGCACCGGAGCTGGAAACCATACATTTGTGTTAGTGGAACTTTTTCATTACTGAGGTTCCATTGAGACATTGTTACTCATAGAGTGTGAACGTTATGCCCATTTTACAGTCATAAAACAGATGTCATCTACCGCATATGGTAATGGGACCTGTCACATAATAGATGCCTCTCTACAGGATCCTCTTATATTTGTTATGTTAATCAAGTAACGGCATACCAGCAAAAACTACGGTGGAGCCCTGAGAGGGCTGGAAGAGAATTATTTCCTAGTAAGAAAACTGTTTGCCTTCTTCAAGCATGGAGAGAGTTTTAATTAAAGTCAAAGGAGATATGTGCATAATAATAAAAAAGTTGTCCTTTATAATGCACAGCTCAGTTCTGATGCTATAAGAAGTAATTTCCTGTTCCTCCTCTAGCCTTCCTACCAAAACCAGGGTTGAAATCAACCCCAGGTTCACTTTTCATTACAGAATTTGCACAGAAGTAGACTTACAGTATAGTCCTTCTAGAATAGTGCCACCTGCATAGTAGTAAACAATATCCCCACACTTCAGCCACCTACGATTTACAGTTTTCCTTCTATAAACAAAAAGTGCTGAGACAAAAATTAGTTAATGAACTCTATTGATTTTTGCAATTGGGGTGCTTTTTGCTGGGTATTAGTTAAAGTTAATACACTGGAGTAAAAATGTCCCATGTAGTTTTTTCAAGCAAAAAAAAGTGGGGGCCCATGGAAACAGATAAGTGCTTTTTCTCTGACAAAACATGCATGAATTTGTTATGGAACATTTTACCACCCTGAGACACACTGGAATTCAGCTTAGGGTAGCAAAATACCATATTAAATTGTCTGTGCCAGTTCCTTCATTTCTGTCTATGAAAGCTAGTACGTATAACAGATAAACATTGAACATGCAATCTGCGGCGTTCGTACAGAGCCCCCGGTCGTCTCATGGACTATTGACCCGTACACCACTAATCCGCTGCCACCAACCAGGTCCTCCCTGGTAAAATCACTTCATTTTTTTTTTTAAAGACATTTATTAAAATTTCAACATGTTACAAAAATGAGCGAAAAAGGAAAAGAAAAGCAGATAAAAAAAGAAAAAAGATGGAAAAATGGAAAAATACAGAATACAAAATAAAAACAGTTAAACAAACAAATTAGTCTTTCTATGTCTTATCCTTCATTTACTTGTTTCCTCGACCTCCTCCCACCTCCCTTTTTTGTATTCCAGTTCACATATTTTGTTCAGCAGTTCCCTCCCCTCTTTTAAATATCCTAATCAATAATCATTAAAATATTGTACTTTTGGATTTTTACATATTACATAATAAACCCTTTTCTCATCTTCCCTTGTAACATTTCAGCTAAGAACCACTTAGTTTTTATCGAACATCATTCTAACATTCATTAATTTTACAATATTTCTGTAGATAATCTTTGAATTTCTTCCAATCTTCTTCCACTGACTCTTCTCCCTGGTCTCGGATTCTGCCAGTCATTTCCACCAGTTCCATATAGTCCATCACCTTCATCTGCCATTCTTCCAGAGTGGGTAGATCTTGTGTCTTCCAATACTTTGCAATAAGAATTCTTGCTGCTGTTGTGGCATACATAAAGAAAGTTCTGTCCCTCTTTAACACCAATTGGCCGACTATGCCCAGGAGGAAGGCCTCTGGTTTCTTCAAGAAGGTATATTTAAATACCTTTTTCAATTCATTATATATCATCTTCCTGGTAAAATCACTTCAGTCTCAGTCAGCTTTTCAATTCATAAAGAAGAGTGTATTTTATTTCAGACTTAAAACAAAACTATTACAGCATTCCAAACAGTGTTCCTCTTTACTTTCTTAGTCTTATGTTCATCTCTCTATCTCTGCTACCACCCCACACTCAGGGACCAACTGCCCTAACTGTCTCTCTATTACCAACTGCCTTTCCCAACCAGCCAACCCACTCAAACCGACCACCCACCCACCCACAACTCCCAACGAACTAACCCCCCAGAACTCCTCCCAGAACTCCTTTATAGACCCACTGACTCCACCCCCCTGGGTCCTGTCTGTGCAGCCTATTTAACTATTTCCCCTCCAGCACTCTTTCATATATGGTAACGTCACACAATCTATTGGTGTTTGTTGATTTTTTTTTAAAAAAATGATATTTATTAAAGTTTCAAAGAAAAGATTACATAGCTAAACAGAAAAGAAAAAGGAAAAGAAATAAAAGAGAAAAAATTACAAAATACAAAATACAGAAAAAAGATTAAAAAAAAACTTAATAGAAAAACACATCGATCTTTCCATAACTTACATTTCATTTCCTTACTTCCCTGACTTCCTCACACCTCCCTTTTTTGTATTCCAGTTCTATTAGTTAATTCAGCAATTCCTTTCCCTCTTTGTTTTTATCTTAATCCTTTAACTTAACATATTATATCTTTAGATTCTCATCTGTTAACAATCCATTTGTGCATAAACCTTTATAACATTGCTGCTAAGACCACTTAATTTCATTCTGACATCATTCTAACATTCATTAATTTTGCAATATTTCTGTAAATAGTCTTTAAATTTCTTCCAATCTTCTTCCACCGACTCTTCTCCCTGGTCTCGGATTCTGCCAGTCATTTCCGCCAGTTCCATATAGTCCATCACCTTCATCTGCCATTCTTCCAGAGTGGGTAAATCTTGTGTCTTCCAATACTTTGCAATAAGTATTCTTGCTGCTGTTGTAGCATACATAAAGAAAGTTCTGTCCTTCTTTGGCACCAATTGGCTGACTATGCCCAGGAGAAAGGCCTCTGGTTTCTTCAGGAAGGGATATTTAAATACTTTTTTCATTTCATTATAGGTCATCTCCCAGAAAGCCTTAATCCTTGGGCACGTCCACCAAAGGTGAAAGAATGTACCTTCAGTTTCTTTACATTTCCAACATTTATTATCGGGCAAATGATAGATTTTTGCAAGCTTGAGTGGTGTCATGTACCACCTATATATCATTTTCATAATATTCTCTCTTAAGGCATTACATGCCGTAAACTTCATACCTGTGGTCCATAACTGTTCCCAGTCAGCCATCATTATGTTATGTCCAACATCCTGTGCCCATTTAATCATAGCAGATTTCACCATTTCATCCTGAGTATTCCATTTCAACAGCAAGTTATACATCTTTGACAAAATATTCGTTTTGGGTTCTAACAGTTCTGTTTCTAATTTTGATTTTTCCACCTGGAAGCCAATTTTCTTGTCCAAATTATATGCCTCCATTATCTGATAATAATGAAGCCAGTCTCGCACTTTATTTTTTAGTTTTTCAAAACTCTGCAGTTTCAATCTGTCTCCCTCTTGTTCCAGAATTTCCCAATATTTCGGCCATTTGGCCTCCATATTGAGCTTTTTCAGAGCTTTCGCTTCCATCGGTGACAGCCACCTTGGGGTTTTATTTTCCAGTAGGTCTTTATATCTTATCCAGACATTAAACAATGCTTTCCTGACAATATGATTTTTAAATGCTTTATGTGCTTTGACCTTATCATACCACAAATATGCATGCCATCCAAATACATTATCAAAACCTTCTAGGTCCAAAATGTCTGTGTTTTCAAGAAGCAGCCATTCTTTCAGCCAGCAAAAAGCTGCTGATTCATAATAAAGTTTAAGGTCTGGCAGGGCAAATCCACCTCTTTCCTTTGCATCCGTTAGTATTTTAAATTTTATTCTAGGCTTCTTGCCCTGCCAGACAAATCTAGAAATATCTCTCTGCCACTTCTTGAAGCAATCCACTTTGTCCAAAATTTGCAATGTTTGAAACAAAAACAACATTCTAGGCAATACATTCATTTTTATCGCAGCAATACGGCCTAGCAGTGAAAGCTTCAAATTTGACCAAATTTCTAAGTCTTTTTTCACTTCAGCCCAGCATTTTTCATAATTGTCTTTAAATAGATTCCCATTTTTTGCTGTCATGTTAATCCCCAGGTATTTCACTTTCTTAACCACTGTTAAACCTCTCTCATTCTGAAACCTCTCTTTCTCAATCACAGTCAAATTTTTCTCTAAGACCTTTGTTTTTAACTTATTCAATTTAAATCCTGCAACCTGACCAAATTCTTGAATCAGTTCCAAAACCCTTTTAGTACTAGATTCAGGCTCCTGCAATGTCAATACTAAGTCATCTGCAAATGCTCTCAATTTGTACTGTTTAGCTCTGACTTGTATACCTTTAACCAATTGGTCCCTTCTAATCATATTCAGCAGGACCTCCAGGACCGATATAAAGAGCAATGGGGAGATTGGGCAACCTTGTCGTGTCCCTTTTTCTATCTTAAATTCCTCCGTCACCACGTTATTTACAATTAATTTAGCCTTTTGTTCTGAATAAATTGCACTTATACCGTTTTCAAAGCCTTGGCCTACCCCCATCCCCTGTAGGTTCTTCTTCATGAAACTCCAAGAAATATTGTCAAAGGCTTTCTCCGCGTCCACAAATATCAAAACTGCCTTGGTATTTATATTCACTTGTAGTTTTTCTAAAATATTAATTATGTTTCTCACATTGTCAGACAAATGTCTACCCGGGAGAAAGCCTGCTTGATCTTTATGTATCTCTTCCATTAGGACTCTTTTTAGTCTTTTAGCCAAAATGTCTGCAAAGATTTTGTAATCCACATTAAGCAGTGATATGGAGCGGTAGTTCTTAAGCTGAGTCTTTTCAGTCTCTGTTTTCGGTACAAATGTAATATACGCTTCTTTCCACGACTCTGGTGCCCTTTTCCCACCCATTATTTCATTACAGACTTCCTTTAAAGGTTGTACTAGCCATTCCTTCAAGGATCTGTAGTATCTAGAAGTCAGTCCATCCGGTCCTGGAGATTTACCTAGTTGCATATTCTGAATGGCACCTTCTACCTCCTGTTCAATTATTTTATAGTTCAGCATTAATTTATTTTCTTGAGAGATTTTTTGTAATCCATTTGTTTTCAAAAATCTGTCTACATCAATTTCTTTCTGTGGCCCTTGTGTATATAGTTGTTTAAAATACCTCTGGAAGCAATTTCTAATCTCAACTGGGTTCTGTATATTCCTTCCTTCCACTTCTAAATTTGTAACAGTATTTAGTTTTTGTCTTTTTTTCATTTGCCAAGCCAAGAATTTCCCACATTTATTAGCCGACTCAAATGTCTTTTGTCTCATTTGTTTAATTTTCCATTCTATCTCCTGATTCATCATTTTCATGTATTGTACTTGATATAACTTTATTTCTCTCAAAATCTCTTGCGACTTTGGTTTTGCTCTCAATTTCTTTTCACTTTCCTTTATTTTCTCCAATATTTTATCCTTCTTCTCATTTTGGATTCTCTTCTTTAATGCATTCTGTTGTATCAAGAACCCTCTCATAACAGCTTTGCTTGCGTCCCAGATTACTCTTTTTTCAACATTAGTGTTCATATTTATCTCAAAATAGTCTCTCAAGGTTTTTTGGGCCTTCTTAATGACTTGTTGATCTCTAAATAAGGCATCATTCATCCTCCATCTGAAGGAGCCGATTGGTGTTAGTTTCATCTCCATCTTAACAGCATTATGGTCGGAGCAGGTTTTTGGGCAGATTTCCACTTTTCTTGTCTTTGGTGCCATTCCTCTAGTTAGCCATATTTGGTCAATTCTTGTCCATGTCAGTTTGGCTTCAGAAAAGAAGGTTCCCTCTCTGGCCAGGGGATTCTTTGTTCTCCAGATATCAACTAAGTCCAAATTGTCTGTCATTTCAAAAAAGGATGGTAGACTACCGGTGTTTGTTGATATTTTACCACAAACAGCACACTCCGAATTCACACCCAAAATTCTACGGGCTGGTTCACATATGAATTTCCATCACTCGGTTACCACAACAGGGTGTGCAAATGACCCAGAACTATCCTGAGACATTCCAAAAGTGAATTATTACATCATCTCTTGCTTTCCAGTAGAGTCCATTCATAGACTCCTCTTCCAGCCATCATTATTACAATATTGCCAAGAGGAAGAAGGATTCCCTATTCACTTTGGTAAGTGAAGATATAATTTTTCTCGTCTGGCCAACTTTGGGATCCTGATATATAGCAGAAGGAATAAAAGTGATTTTTTTGAGAGAGGGGTCTGATGATACTGTGTGATTAATGGTTAGACACCTTCTCACAATGGACAGCACACTTTCATTTCCCAAATCAAAATGCTTCCAGATGATGAAACTTTAATGGAGTTCATGGTTTTTGTTCTCTCTCTTCTGAAGATTGTTTCAGATATTGCCCCGGTCATTTTTCCAGGAGAAAATATATATTAATGGTGTATTAAATATTTTAAGCATTGTAAAATGAGCATGTTAACTGGTCTGCAACTATTCCACCCCTGCTGAACCATTCATTAAAGTTTCGTTTCTTCATTTCTTCAAGCATGAACAGATTTTTAACTGAAGCACCCATGTGCATCCTTGTAATAGCATTTGTTCCTGTAGAGCGGTGATGTCCAAACTTTTTTAAGAGGGCCAGATTTGATGAAGTGAAGGGCTGTGAGGGCCGACCATAGGGCCAACCAAGGTTATTGAGCTTTTTTTAGAGTTGAAGTTGTTTTTTAGGATTTTAACCCATGAAATAAACTGCTACAGGGGCCAGATTAAACCGACTGAAGCAGACTTTGGAAATGTCTCCTGTAGAGGGAAGAAAGATCTGGGGGTGCTTCCAGACTAGTGTCTGTGGAATGGCAAGTGTCAGGAGGTATAGCAATTTTTGTGTCTGTACATCCAGCCAAGTTCTATCCAACCCTAGTAGCCATGCTGTAGTCATGTGGACATGAGACAGACAATTGGGTATAGGATGGTATATAAATTCTAGCAACAACAACTACACACCCAAACATATTATTTTGGAGCACACATTCTTTTTTAAATCAAAGTTTATATGTGTACTAAACATTTTCTTGTTTAAGTGCTATTGCAGGATTTTATTTTACTTTTTCAAAAGGCAAAAAAGCATTTTTTGTCACAAATTAAAAGTTTTTTAAAAAATAAACACTGCTAATAAGGTAATAGTGAAGATGTGTGCATACGTGGCAATATGCTCATATACTCAAAATGTCACTGCACACATCAAAACCATGACTCTTTAAAAAGATGGAAATGTCTACATTTGCAGACCCTACACTGCTCTTTCCACAACATCACCTTTTGTAAGCTCTCAAAATAGACAGAGTAAGCACGGGAAAACACAGGAGAACAACAGTTTGATGGTCACACCAAGTAGATTCCTGTAAAAAGTGAACAAACTGTGGTTGTTCTGGAGTACCCAGAACACCTATCATGATGGCTCCTTGTATGTGGAACTTCCCCCCTACTAAGGCATATCTGATCTCATTTCTTTATAATTTTATGTGACTAGCTGCATCCTTCTTGGCATTTGAAGGAGAGACCTGACTGCTGCTGCTATTAATTTTTTTCCTTTTCCTTTTTCTTTTTTTGGGAGGGGGAGTTTGTGATTTGTTTTAAGAGTTGCATTATGTTACAAATTTTTAAGAATCTGTTTGCTTGTTGCAAACCACCCGGTGGTTTGCACAAAGGGTGGTGAATAGATTATCTTTAAAAATTGGCGCTTTGTACCAGCATCATCTCAAAGGGCAAATCCACCGTTTCGTAAAGTAACCAGAGCTGACCTCAATCATTTGTACTCTGGTCAACTCCTGCTAAAGGGGGAGAGGGGGGCAGGGAGTGGAAATCCTAGAGAACAAAAAAAAAAATTTTTTAATCCCACCAAATTTTATTTTTAATTTTTTACAAATTCTGCTATAGTTTTCTTTGTCTGAATCATATATAGAAGAAGCCAAACAAACAAGAAGCCAAATGCCCAATGTCTTCACATGGACATTTGAAACTGGGGGTTGCAAAATACAAGCAAGGCTAATGACCCCCAGAGAGGAGGGGTAACTCCCTTGATTCAGAAGCTATACTAATGTTAGTGGAGGTGGCATTTGGCCCATCCACTTTAGCAGCCAAGGAAGCTGTCGTGGGGTTTTCTGCTGAACCTCCTACAGCTTATCTGTATGGATCACTATGTATGAAACGTTTCTACCCATTGCGCTTGTGGAAAGTGCCATTTGATTCTAGCACACAGGCTGAGCAGCTGTTTTTGAGGGCAGGTAGGTCATCCAAGGTCAAGAGGCTTTTGCACTTTAGGGGGCAGAGGTGTATTATAACTGCTCATTAAATCTGGAGTACAGTCTTAACAAAGCCACTTGTATGGGGGGGAAACACTGCTATTTGCTCCCTTACAAAAGGGGGGGGGAGTTGCAGAGCACCTCATTTCATGAAGCACAGGAAGACTAATTGTGAATCTACCAAAAAAAAAAGGGTTGTGCACAAGGGAACAGATAAAGAAACTGTTGTTCTGCGTGTGTCTTCCACCAACTAGACTCCAGTTTTTTATTTGTAGGAAACAGGAGAAAAACGGCTTCCATCTTCTACTAGGGTTGCTAGGTTGCAACCTTGGACCTCTAAATCTCTAACTTAATTGGGAGATAAGGCACTTGCGGCTTCTCCTGCATGTGTTCCTGCTCCCCGGTTTTTTTCATCCACATCTCATCTCTACAAGCTATAGCGAACAGGGCTCTGGTTATGTCAAACCACAGGCAGGGTGGAGGAAGAGGGGGTGGGAGAGAATCACATCAAAGGGAAAAGGAGCAGGAGAAATGCCTGCTTCATCTTCTGGTTGAGTGGCAGATTAAAAAGTTCCAAGGGAAGTCTCCAGGACCCAGATCCAACCTGGTGGCTCTTCCATTTCCCACATTATCCTTGCAGCCCATCCCTGCGCCAACATCCCCGCCTTCTGCCTACAAAGTCCACAGCTTTGCTGCACTAAAGAAGAACTCAAATCCAGCAGCGTAGCGTGGGTTGTCAGCACCCAGGGCAAGGCAAGTAATTTGCGCCCCCTAACCCCTAACCTGCCGCCGCTGCCAGCTTCTTCTTGCTGCTGCCTGGTCTGGTCTGGTGTGGTTCTCTCCCGCGCTCAGCGCTGCGCTGGGCGGCCGCTGCACTGTCCCTCCCCCAGATAGTCCCCGCTCTCTCTCCGCACCGCACGCCTGGCATCCCCCCCTCCACAGTGGGCGGCGACCCAGCGGCTCGGATCGGATTCGCACAGCCAGCACTGCAGTGAGAGAGAGTGAGTGAGCCAGGTAGGGGCAGAGAGCTGCGAGTGCGAGCGCGCCCCCCCAGATGTTGCGCCCGGTGCGGCCGGCCCCCCCTGCACCCCCCCACGCTACGCCACTGCTCAAATCCAAATCTTTCAAAAGAAGCTATAGAAAACACACTAAATAAAGCCTCCCAAAGTAGCTTGGGAAACTCAGCCAGATGGGTGGGGTATAAATAATAAAATTAGTAGTAGTAGTAGTAGTAGTAGTAGTAGTAGTAGTAGTATTCTGTGAAATGCATTCCTATGGAGCCATGCACACAAGTACATTTTTTCACACACTTCAATTTCAGTTGGAATTGAATAAAATACAACACATGGAGCTCAAACAGCATCAACTTTGGGGGCCCCACCCCCTCAAATATCTTATTGGAGGGGGAGAAGGGATCTCGGTCCCTACGAATTGGTTCCTATAATAAGAACTTTTTAGGATCTTACAAATCTGGAATTTGTAGGTTGGGGTTCATGTTACCAATGGTTTTCAATAGTTTTCAAATGACGCCAATATTTCTCTCCCCCCCCCATACACACACATATATAAAAACAACTCAGTGTAGGTGGTCTTGCTCAGAAATTGACCAAAAGGAAAATATTTAAGTGCTCTCTTCCCCGCTGCCAGTTCTCCTATCAAATCTGCACTTTTGCCATGTGCCATCAGTCCCTAACTTTCAATTTCGGATATATCCTGTGCATGAAACTAGATGTGATGCTTGATGCAGGTCTCCCATTTCCTGGAACATTTAGTCAATACGTCCTATTAGGTAGAGTGAGGCAGCTGCCTCAAGCAGCAGATAAGGAATGGCAGTGAGAGGTTGAAGAACATGTCACATGATCTGTCTGTGTCCACCTAAGCTAGTCTGCTACCCTTGAATGACTGGAATACACTGACCAGTCCAGTAATGATGAAAACCTCAGCTGCCAGTCCAGTCAGCTTCTATATGTGGAATGGAGAAGGGTAGACATTTGTCCTTCAGCTACAGCAGCAAAATGTATTGGGTCACCTCTGGTCACCATCACTGGGTGGCTGCTACTGGCAGGGGCAAAAAAAACTTTGGGAAGTGTCACAGGTAAATCTGGGGAAAAACAAGGTGGAGAATATTACACAGGGCTGCTCCTTTCAGCTACCACAGATCCTAAGAGCCAACTCCATTTGTACATATCATCTCAAAGAGAGCCTTCACTATGAGGTGAAAATGCCGTGATATTCCCAGGGAGTCTTGCCATCCCAGGAAGATTGATGGCAGAATGTCAACATATAAGTTAAGGGAGTCAACAAACCTTTAATTCCTCCTGGATTTTCTCCTCCATCATTTTGGCTGCTTTGCGATCTTCTGTCTCTATCTTCCACTTCTCTGCCACTATTCGAGCCTTCTCCTTCGCCATAGCATCTCGAAACTTCTTTGTGATTTCCGCTTCTTTTTGCTTCCTTTAAAAAAAGGGAGCAGGTATGCAAGTAAAAAAAAAAAAAAGTAAAAACAGCAAAGAGGATTGTGACTCCTTAAAAGCTCACATGTTTATTTTGAGGTATGCCAGGGATTAGGAAACACACAGACTTGGTGGGCCAGATCTTTACCTCCCCACCCACCAATCAAAGTTGGCCTCCAGTATGGACAGAGATAAAGACCAAGCAAGATTGAATTACACACTCATGAACTGATGTGCAGGGAATTTAGTCCTGCTTTCCAGCTGCAGGATCCAGCCACATCTCTGCCTGCCCCACATATGACATCTGCTATGGGCCCAATGGGAAGATCTAGTGGCCCAAATTTGGCCTGCAGAGTAGAGACATGGGGCTACCTTTGAAGGTGACCCGGAAACAACAACTAATCCAGAATGCGGCAGCTAGACTGGTGACTGGGGGCGGCCGCCGAGACCACATAACACTGGTCTTGAGAGACCTACATTGGCTCCCAGTACGTTTCCGAGCACAATTCAAAGTGTTGGTGTTGACCTTTAAAGCCCTAAATGGCCTCGGCCCAGTATACCTGAAGGAGCGTCTCCACCCCCATCGTTCTGTCCGGACGCTGAGGTCCAGCGCCGAGGGCCTTCTGGCGGTTACCTCATTGAGAGAAGCAAAGCTACAGGGAACCAGGCAGAGGGCCTTCTCGGTAGTGGCGCCCGCCCTGTGGAACGCCCTCCCATCAGATGTCAAAGAGATAAACAACTACGTGACATTCAGAAGACATCTTAAGGCAGTCCTGTTCAGGGAAGTTTTTAATGTGTGTCATCTTAGTGTATTTTTTGTCTTTGTGGAAGCCGCCCAGAGTTGCTGGGGAAACCCAGCCAGATGGGCGGGGTACAAATAATAAATTATTATTATTATTATTATTATTATTATTATTATTATTATTATTTCCTTCCTCCCCTCTATACCTGCCAACCAAGGATAACATTTCACTCCCAATAGGTTGCCTGTAGTGTCATGAGAGTGGGGGCAGGATCTCAGACTGTAATTCACAGCAAGATCTCACTGAGACTGGTAATTATTGGCATTCTTTCAAGCAGCCACCCTACTGTCTGAGAGACAAAACCTCAGAACTGAAGACTAAAGCTCCATGGATTCAGATGATTCCCAACAACAATGGAAACACAGAGGCTTGTGTGACGGAGACCTGGGTGCGTGGAGGGGAAACTGTTACCTTACGAGAGATGGCGCCCCCGGGTTTTTCCGTCCTCCACCAGTCACGGACTGTGGGCCGGGGGGGAGGGGTGGCATCATTAATCCAGGAAGATTGTTCTTTCAGGGCTCTACCATCGCCATCGATCCCTGGCATTGAATGTGTTGGCCTAGTGTGGAGATCCGAGGTGAGCTTGGCTGTCTGGCTGGTGTACCGGCCACCTAGCGCACCAGCAGCCACCCTGTCAGGCCTGCTGGGGGCGGTGGCCAGCTGGGCCTTGGAGTTCCCTAACCTATTGGTATTGGGGGACTTCAACATCCATGCTGATGCCACTCCCTCCTCACAGGCTCTGGACCTGGTGTCTTCCATGGCGACACTAGGGCTCTCCCAGTTTGTTTCGGGCCCCACACATCAAGCAGGCCACACGCTGGATTTGATCTTTGGCATCGGTATAGATGTGATCATGTCTCCTTCGATGAAGGTGCCATGGTCTGATCACTATGCTCTGAAAGCCAGGATTGATTTTCCACCCCCACCCTGCTTAGGTGGCGAGCCAATTTGGGCTCGCCCGCAGAGGCTGATGGACCCTGATAGATTCCGTCAGGCCTTGCGGGACCTTGCTCCCCTGGCGATTCATTGACTGAGCTTGTTGAGGGCTGGAATATCCAGCTCCTAGCAGCCATCGATGAGATCGCACCTAGGCGCCCTCTGCGACCCCGCAGAAACCGGGCTCCCTGGTTTACCAAGGAGCTTCGGAAAATGAAGCGGGACCTCAGACGGCTAGAGCGAGTATGGCGGGGTGCCCGTGACGGAGCCTCAAGAACATCTTATAGGGTTTTTATGAAAACCTACGAGATGGCAGTGAAGGCCGCTAAGAAGTCCTACTTCTCGGCCTCCATTGCCTCCGCTAGCTCTCGCCCAGCGCAATTATTTAGTATAATTAGGTCTTTAACGTCCCTTGAAGGACAGCCAAATTTAAATAACAATTTGACACACAGCTGTGAGGCATTTGTGGGCTTTTTTGCGGAGAAGGTCCTGTTGCTCCGCCATGACCTCCCTGCCAATTTGGATACAATAAAGGAACTGGAGGCCCCTCGACTGTCCTCGGGTCCAGTATTGGACCACTTTGACCGGATATCCCCAGCCGATGTGGACAGACTCCTCCGAGCTGGAAAGCCCACCACTTGTCCTCTCGACCCGTGCCCGTCTTGGCTGATTACAGCGTGTCCAGACGAGGTGCGGGCCCCTCTGGGTGATATCATCAATTTGTCCCTTGGCACCGGGATATTCCCAGGGGAACTGAAGGAGGCAGTGGTGCGCCCGCTCTTAAAGAAAACATCATTAGATCCCTTAGATCTATCCAATTACCGCCCGGTTTCGAATCTTCCATTCCTGGGTAAGGTGACTGAGAGAGCAGTTGCTGAACAGCTTGGTAGGTTTCTGGATGAAACATCGGCTCTCGATCCATTCCAGTCCGGCTTCCGCACTGGTCATGGGACCGAGACAGCTCTGGTCGCCCTAACAGATGATCTCCACAGGCAGCTGGATCGAGGCGGGTCGGGGCTGCTGATTCTTCTAGACCTGTCAGCAGCCTTCGACATGGTCGATCACGAACTCCTGGACCACCGCCTTGCCGACGTGAGGATCCAGGGCACAGTCCTTCAATGGCTGCGCTCGTTTCTCTCTGGTCGGGGACAGAGGGTGGCGCTTGGGGGGGAATTGTCATCACGCCACTCCTTGGTGTGTGGAGTGCCTCAGGGTGCGATTCTCTCCCGATGCTTCTTAACATCTTTATGCGCCCCCTCGCCCAGCTTGTCTGGAGTTTTGGGCTGGGTTGCCATCAGTATGCCGATGACACCCAATTCTGTTGATGGATGGCCACCCTGACTCGGCCCCAGACACACTGACCAGATGTCTAGAAGCTGTGGCTGGATGGTTACGTGGGAGCCGGTTGAAGTTAAATCCTTCGAAGACAGAGGTCCTCTGGCTGGGACAGGGCAATATGGGATTGAGGGGGCAACTCTCATCTCTTGCAGGGGTGCAATTAGTGCCAGCATCGTCCGTTAAGAGCTTGGGTGTAATCTTCAATACCTCCCTCTCTATGGAGGCGCAGATTACAGCTATAACAAAGGCGGCATTTTTTCACCTCCGCCAAGCTAAGCAGTTGGCTCCTTATCTCTCTCGCCCTGACCTAGCCACTGTGATCCACGTGACAGTCACCTCCAGACTGGATTATTGTAACTCGCTATACGTGGGGCTGCCCTTGAGACTGACCCAGAAACTCCAGCGGGTGCAGAATGCCGCGGCGAGACTCCTTACGGGGTCTTCGCTGCGAGATCATATTCATCCGGTACTATACCAGCTGCACTGGCTCCCGGTGGAGTACAGGATCAGGTTTAAGGTGCTGGTTTTAACCTTTAAAGCCCTATACGGCCTAGGACCCTCGTACCTACGGGACTGCCTCTCCTGGTATGTCCCACAGAGAAATTTACGGTCTGCAAATAAAAACATCCTGAAGATCCCAGGCCACAGAGAGGTTAGGCTGGCCTCAACTAGAGCCAGGGCTTTCTCGGCCGCGGCTCCAATCTGGTGGAACGCTCTATCACAAGAGACTAGGGCCCTGCGGGACCTGACATCTTTCCGCAGGGCCTGCAAGACAGAGCTGTTCCACCAGGCCTTTGGTCAGGGTGCAGCCTGACCCCCTCCTCTGGCAATCTGCACAGAATTTTGCTTAATGGTTGCCATCAATTTGATTTTAATTAATTTTAGAATGAATGTTTTTAGAATGTTGGATTATTTCGATTGTTGTTAGCCGCCCTGAGCCCAGCTTCGGCTGGGGAGGGCGGGATATAAATAAAAATTTATTATTATTATTTATTATTTACAACCTCTTCATCCATATAGAGGTCTTTGTGGGTATCATAGATCATGGAAAAAACTGGAAAAGATTCCTGATTAAAGCAAGAGACATAATATTCTTAAGTTTTTTAAAAAACTTAAATGCAAATTGATTAGGTTTTATGGCTTTGTTTGTTGGTTGGGTTTTGGTTTTTGTTTAGCACTAATGTCATAGCTGACCGAACCAAAGTGGGTTATTTATAACAAAAGCAAAGATGGATATACTTGATATTTTAGATTAAAAATTGAAAACGGTTTTGAAATGAAAGCATTGTCCTATACTTTGAGACAGTGTTCTAGAAATGTGAGCCTCCTTATCCAACATCACTGACATGAGTAACTTTGGTTTTGCAAAATGCTCACCATAATTCTTCTGCTTCCTTCTGGGCTTGTTGTCTGGCTCTTTCCGCAATAAGTTCTTCTGTAAGCTGCTCGTAAGGCTTGTCTCCAGGAGCTTCTCCCATAATCCAAACCCAGACCTCGCCATCAGTCCCACAGAGCCACTGCACTCGTTTGTCATTATCTGCAACAGCCATCAAAATACACAACATAAAGGCTTTGTGACAAGGGAATGATGTTCTCAAGAGTCAATAACACACAGTCGGCACAAGGATCAAAATACAAATCATGGACCTAAGCACATGAGCTGTTTCACAGAGGTGAAGCCAACCTTAATATGTTACACCAACCCTGTGCTTATTTGTGGCAACACTCTGAGTGAACATCAGGACCAGCAACTAACCTCCTGGGAGCTAAGCTGCAGGCTTCAATTTCTGAGCCATCACTTCTCTTTTGGTAAAAAAAAATGAAAAGAAAGAAAGCGGCAGACTCCAATCAGCTTCACCAGTTTGTCTTACTCACTTCCTTGCCTTTCCCTGCTCCCATATAAACTTCCTTTTCCTGCTATTGCATTTGGTTTTGTGCAACAAGTAGTTTACTGCTGACTTCATAATGCTGGCTGTTGATCACTCAAGATGACATCGCAATACATCACAGGAGGTCAAAAATACAATCTTTTGAAGTGTGAAATCTTTCTGTAAATGCAGAACTGTGTGAAGGAGGCTACACATAACCTTTTCCCGAGTCTGTTACAACAAGATGTATGCCCAGGCTACCCAGGAAGAACAAAACACACCATACCTATGAAACAGAATTGTGTTAGAAGTTAAAATTATGTTTTGAGTTCCTGAGCAAGAATCATGTGGTATGAATATATAATATAAACCTCAAATGATCCCAGAAGTTCCCACAGCTCTGGTCATTAACATCACGGAGTCAATCTTGTCTGAAAAACATACTTAGGTCTCTTAAATGGAAACTGTTTCCTTGTCCAGATATGTGCAGAAATTAATTGATTTTATTTTATTTAGAGAGCATGAGACAATGGCACTGCACATGTGTAATGGCACAGTTTCCTAAATAAGTGTGGCACAAGTTCTATTTTGAGGGAAACAGCAAGGTTAAAAGTTGCAGCCCTATGCAGTGAAAATGTCACCAGCAACCACTGAATGGTCAGAACTGAATGAAAAAAAGAAAAATCAGACTCTGGGAAAATTAAACAGAAATCTCATAAAAAGCAGGGTGGCCGGCGGGTGGGGGGTAGTTGATAGCAGCTCCTACTTTGAAGAAACAGAACAGCTACCAAATCAAAAAGTTAATATAATTGTATAAATAAAACATGAAGGGATGTTTCCATACATATACAAAAAAGGCAGTGAGGAGAAAGAAAAAAGTTGTTCAATTTAAGTCAAGCCAGAGAAAAATGATATAAGGCCCAAAGCAGATCGACTGAAAATAATGTTTAGGTGTGGGGAAAGAAATGTGTGTGAGAGGGAGGGGAATCATGGGAAAATATTGTCTAATAACTGTTTGAAACCGTATCAATAACTAGGGGCATGCAATGGCCACAAAAATCGATTTGTGCTTGTATTTGTAGATCAGGGTACTTGAGACCATTTGAGAGCTGTCTGGAGCCTTCCTGTTTGGGACCAAATTAGATCTGTTTAAAACAAAACTCTCCCTGCCCACATTAACTTATAATGGGGAATCAAAAAAACGACTAAAACTCCCCACACACAGACTTTTTCACAGAAGTGAATGAAAATCGCAGGCATACAAGCCCCTCCAGAGTGGATTAATCCTGCCAAATCATAGGCAGACACATTTCATGAGTTTTGTGCAAGAAACCTTTGAAGTTTGATCTTTGTTATTTTTTTTTTTTAATGATATTTATTAAGAGTTTAAAAATTACAGAAAAAAGGAAAAAAACAATAAAAAAGAAAAAACAATAACAAAACATATAAAACATATAAAAGCAATACAATAATACAACAAAAAAGAAAAACAAAGAAGAAACTAAAACTAGCATCCAATATTCCATAGCTTTACCTTTCCTTTACTTGTTTCATCGACCTCCTCACACCTCCCTTTTTTTGTATTCTAGTTCAATTCACTATTTCAACAAGTTCTTCCCATCTTTCTCAATTTTTATTCTATAACTTATCTTAATGATCTAACCTTGAATTTTTTCATTTTAACCCATTATCAATCAGCTTTTACTTAATTCTTTGTTACATTTCTACTAAAACCATGTAACTTCATTCCAGCATCCTTCTAACACTCATTAATTTTACAATGTTTCTGTAGATATACTTTAAATTTTTTCCAGTCTTCTTCCACCGACTCTTCTCCCTGGTCTCGAATTCTGCCAGTCATTTCCGCCAGTTCCATGTAGTCCATCAGTTTCATCTGCCATTCTTCCCTGGTGGGTAGATCTTGTGTCTGATCTTTGTTATTATTTTTAATACTTGTATCTTGTTTTCTGCCAGAAATGGATGCATGAGCAGCCCTGTTGAAAGGATGAAGCCTGCCAAATTTCAGAATTATAAGTGCAGTGATTCTTCTTCAAGGACATACTTTTTTGGGGGGGGGGGATTACAATAGAAATCATAGGGTGACCAGGATACTGAAGTAATTAGTATAGATCCCAAAGAAATTCTGAAGTGGGGAAAATATTACCCACCTACCTGGCACCCAGAAAAGACCCTGTTACCACAAAGTTTGTTGGTACGATGGACTTCTGCCCTCCCCCTGGAATTTTGGGGGATATTGCCTCTTCTCCCAGGGAGAGAGACATCTGCCTTCACAAGGGAAAGGGTGACGGTAGGAAAAAACAGAATAGATCAGTGTGAAAAACAAACACTTTTTAATATTTTGCTCAACATCTCTCCCACAAATTGCTGTGGTTTGAGTGCCATGGGATAATTAACTGTGATTAAAGCCTAGGCAAAAGATTCCCTGCATCTTTCCACCACTTAAGTTCAGGATGTTTTGCTATCAGCTTCATTTTGCTTTTACTGTATTTCATTTTATTTTAACGCAGTGATAGCTTTGAAAATGCTGGGGGGGGGGCACCTGACTTCACAGAGTAACTTGGGGCTTTAGGGAGCCCCTTATCTGACTCAAAAACTCTTGTTAAAGAGCGCGCTCCAACTCAGGCATGTGGAAACCTCGTCCATATCACTCCTATCTGCCTCATAATTCAGGAAGTAAATGAAGTTCACGCACACCCCTACCAGGAACCAAGTAGAGGGGTTCATACAGTAAAGTGACAAGAAGAAGAAGCAGTATAAATATAACATCAAAAAAAATGGGAGAAATTCACAAGTCAGCAAAGTATAAACAAAGTTGTTTATGTGTCTCCCTAAAGGCAGGAACAATAGGGCAAAGACAGTGATAACAGTGCACTTTTTTGTGGAAACCAATTTTAAAACTCCACATGGACATGGAGCATAATGTTTTCATATACAGGAAACAGTATGTCATAACAACAAACCTGTATCCCGAAGAATAGCTTGTGAGCGGTTTTAGATATATTAGAACCAAGTGATTTAAGAATGCAATGAGCAGAAAATCAAGAACTGTTTTAACCTTGCTCATCAAACGAATGAATTCAGATGTATTTATTTGTGTGAGAATGTTGCATTTAGACCTAGAATAATTAAAGTAATCCCAGGAATATTCCATCAGCCATGAAAAGAGGAGGCATAACAACACTCCTCAAACTGGAAAAGGTTTTTGAAGCGTATGCTTGTACACAGGCAATAGAGAAGAACAACTAGGGTTTTTTTTCCCTTTTTTTATAAGATATTTATTAAAGTTTCAAAAATAAAAAAAGTTACAATAGTAATAATAAGAAAGAAGAAAAAAAGAAAGAAGAAAATACAAAATACAAAAAAAGTAAAAACAATTAAAAATAAATCAATCTTTCCATATCTTGTCTTTCACTCACTTGTTTCCCTGACCTCCTCACACCTCCCCTTTTTTGTATTCCAGTTCAGTAAGTTAATTCAGCAAATCCTTTCCCTCTTTGTTTTTATCTTAGACCTTTGTCTTAATATGTGATAATTGTATATTCTCATCTGTTAACAGTCCATTTTTACATACTCCTTGTAGCATTACTACTAAAAACCCCTTAGCTTCATTCCAACATCATTCTAACATTCATTAATTTTACAGTATTTCTGTAGATAGTCTTTAAATTTCTTCCAATCTTCTTCCACCGACTCTTCTCCCTGGTCTCGGATTCTGCCAGTCATTTCTGCCAGTTCCATATAGTCCATCACCTTCATCTGCCATTCTTCCAACTAGGGCTTTTTTTCAGCCAGAACTTGCCGGAACTCGGTTCCGGCATGTCTCAGGTGGGCGCTAGTGCCATTAAAAGAGAACAAGGGGGTGTCTATGGTGCATTCAGGCACCTCTTTTTCTAGGAAAAAATAGAACTGCCTACAACCTAATACATTTTCACCCACATAAACGTTGGCGTGTGTTCAAATGCTGCTTTTTATGAAACAAAATTTTGAAGAAGTACAAGGCACATGATTGTGCAAATCTAGCACATTTGGAAGACAGTGTCCAACACTAGGATGAATCAACAGCATACATTTATGCTAGATATATATTGGGCCTAATGAAGTTATGTGGTACTTTTTAAAAATAGAAACATTTATAACCCACCCTTTGGTCCCAGTTGGAATAGATTCCAATAATTTAAAATCAGAATAAAAATTTTTGATAGAGCCAATTGAGGTACTTTCATATATCCCTGCATCATGCACACCAATAAAAGGTGGAAGGAATCTGAAACATGGGACACTTACATTTAAAGTAAGGTGAACTTTAATGTTTGGTCATGTTCTCTAGGATCCTGAATTCAGCAACACAGTCGAGGCGATGGTAGGTAAGCAGTATATAAATTGTTTAAAATAATAAATAAAACAGACTGTCGTGAGCTGCACTTGACTTGTTTTATGAACAAATGCTGAGGTAAAATTATCCTGATGTACCTCTAGAAAATGGCTGTTTTGCATCGGCACACATCAACAGCAAGGCTCCTATCAAATAAGAGTTTGTGGACGTTTTATTCTCATTATTCACTACAGTGATGTGAATGATGGATGGTAGGAGGCAACACTTCAATTCGCAGTTCATTCTCTTGTGTTAATGGACACTATGTAAAACATTGCTTATGGCTAAGCAAGGTCTTTAGTCTCTCCTACTCCCCATTACTATAGCAGATGACTGTACAGCAACTACAATGGTACCTTGGGTTAAGAACTTAATTCGTTCTGGAGGTCCATTCTTAACCTGAAACTGTTCTTAACCTGAGATACCACTTTAGCTAATGGGGCCTCCCACTGCCACCGCACAATTTCTGTTCTCATCCTGAAGCAAAGTTCTTAACCCAAAGGTACTATTTCTGGGTTAGCGGAGTCTGTAACCTGAAGCGTCTGTAAACTGAGGTACCACTGTATCAACAAACCAGTGGTTTTCAACCAGTGTGCTGTGGCACCCTGGGGTGCCTTGAATGATTGTCTGGGGTGCTGAAGGCAACACTGGCCTCTGTCCCTCTTTCCTTCCCTCCATCCTCTGATGCCCTCTTGCATCTCTGCCTGCCAAAGGCTTGCACAGCTGTTTGTTGCAGCAGCCCTGGCTACAAGCTCAGCAGGTGAATGATATGTCTGGGGCTAGCCAGGGGGTCCTTTCTAAGCCCCTGTGGAGCAGTGTGTGAAGACACCTCTCTTTGGGGCAGGGGAGCAGGTCAGAGACCAGGGGTGCCAGCAGTGGTTGCCCAGAGGACTCCCAAGAAGAGGGGAGAGGAGGCTGAGGGAACACCCCACAAGGGAGGGTATTTGAAAAGTAGTGAGGGACTACCATCTCTGCAGGCAAGGGGTGACATAACTGGGCTCCTGAACCCCACAGGGGTGCCGCAGAAATGATGTAGTTGGGCAAGGGAGCCGTAGACTCCAAAAGGTTGAAAACCTCTGACGTGCCATAAACCCTTAATTTCGATGGCTTCCTACATGAGAAATAAGTTTAGACTGGCAGAGTTGGATGTTTCTCAGCCACATGCAGGGGCGGACCCACATTTTGGGGGTCTTGAAGCTTGAACTGTCATGGTGGCCCCTTTGCAACCAGCAACAAAGTCTGGGTAACCACTGTTATCTTCTTCAATGGGCCTGTTAAAGACAGATCACCACACCTATACAACATTTGTGCTACTGACTCTCAAACTTTGGGACAGCTTTCTGTAAATCCAGGACTGTCCCTGGAAAATATGGACATGTGGAGGATCTGAGCTTCATTAGTTTCATAGCAGATCTGCCCTTGCCCACTTGTATGCATGTGACTGCTGGCCTTCTGCAGAGCACTCTTCTGAACAGAGCATGCACATCGGGACTTAAATAGAGGTCTTTCTAACTGAGAACGTAGCACTGCAGCAAACACAAACTCAAGAGCTGGAACAGAAACAGTTTTCTTCCTTTGCTTTAGATCCAAGAACAGGCATCACTTTTATAAGCAGGAACATTTCTTTTCCACCCAGGGTGTCACTGTTCCCTGAATAATGAAATTCAGGCTAGGAATCTCTCTAAAAACAAGTTAAGATAAATCTCAATAAATAGGTCATATGGAGGCAGCCTGGTACCCTCCAATTGGCTGAAAAATATCCTATTTCCCCTGATATTTGAAGCAGTGGGGGGCAGGACAGATAGGTAACAAGTCCATCTGAGGCTATTTTGGAGAGTTCACTCATCTCTGGCCCTTTGGCTTCACCTGTGCTAAGCAAACCAGCATCCCTAAGAATTGTTCGGATTACATCCTCAACACATATCATTCTAGGCTGCATCCGTGTGGTAAGTACACAGCACATTCGCTTTTTGCAGTGCCAGTGACTACAATGGCAGCCTTCCAGGAGGCAGGAGGCTGTGACTAATATAACATTGAAAATGTATACTCACTATTGCTCGTAAACACAAGCAGCGCTAGCACTAGAACCATAATATTTGCTTGTCCTTTTCCAGTGCCTTCTATGACAGATAAATAGAAACCACTTCTGGCTGAACTTCACAGCAATGAACTCAGGAAACAAGGCCTTAGAGAGCAATACGGAGCTTAGGACTCTGGCCTATAAGAATCATTAGTCTCCAATGAACTGCACTGCCAGTCTAATATATGCCATGGTCTGGAGTGGCTGTTCCCAGCCTCATGCTCGCAAAAGGCCAACAAAACTAAAAGAAAAAAGAAGTTTCAGAACATTAAGAGGGGAGGGGAAGCAGAGGAAGAACCTTCCACAATACACCAGGCAGTAAGAATTTTATGAAGAAGACCCTCTGACCTGCAAAACTATGAACTAAATAAAAAACAATTTCGTGGCAATAATGCTTGCCTGCAGCATCATTCATGGGGAGTGCTACCCCCCCAAAAAAAAACTAAGTTAGCATCCCCATTTATGGGCCCCTGTGATTAACTGAAGGTACTTTTCACACTTTCTCAGAATTTTCATTATCACCATCTACTCACTTCTATCCATCGGTGACAGAAAAGGGGTAGGGAAGAGAGCTTTGGAATGGAAGGGATCTGAGAGTTTCACTTCTGAGCCACTGACATGTTGCTCTCCCTCTTCCTTTTGTGAGGGAAGATCAGTGTACATGCCAACTTTTCCCATCCCAAATCCAGGACACCCAAACCCCCATCGGGTCTGCTTGTCTGATCAGCAATCTGAGGGCTCATCCATAATTGCCCTTGTCCTTGAAAAAAAGCAGGTGTCAGAGCAGTTTCCCCCTTGTCCCACACTTTCTAGCATGGGTAAGAGCAGTTTTGACCTTGCCTTGCTGCTTTACCCCAGAAAACCCACTCTTTAACTATAAATTGGAGCAAACATCAATCCAGAGAAAACCCAATCAATGTTTTACTCCAGTTCAATGGTAAAGAGTGGGTTTCCTCAATGGAGCAATGGCAAGTCTGGATAAACCTTCAGAGTCCCTTGGTACCTAAGAACCTGGCTCCAAGATTCCCTGTGATAACCTGTAATACAGTTTTGGGGATCCATCGATAATGGAATTGAGATGCCGCATACCAATATTATATTCACCCATTTTTAACAAACCTAAGAACATATGTAAGAAAATCTGTCTCCAGCCCCAGCAGAAAGCAGGCAGGTACAGAAAGATCTGCATCTCTCATTTGAGGCCTCAAGTCATTTGCATTCATGCTGCTAATTAAAAGCCATTTAAAATAACTGGGGCTGCAGATGATGGGATATTGCTAGAATCAGCTCATTGCATGCAGGCTCATTTATCATTGTTTTTAGCAATTATGGCATCCTTGACAATTCCCCATTGTTTGCCATCTCCACAGCCTTTTGAAATTGATTCATTTTTGTGTGGAAAGTCCATTGCAAACCCAATTGGATATCAAATCTCAGAGAAATACCATCAGTTAGACAAGGGTTGCAGCACACTCAGCCAAACGAAATATTCAGGTACTTCAGTCACTCTATTGTGTGGTAGATTAATTGCTAATTAAATTATCGTTTTAGTGGATCATTGCCTTGGAACCTTAGTAACATTAAGGTACTTCCAAATCCTGCTTGCTGCTGACTACAATTTCCTGTTTAATCCCTTTGTTTCTATCACATGTTCCTCACAACTAAAGCTCCCTAGATGCAGTAAACTAGTATAACAGAAACTGGACTGCACTAAACTTGTCTTCCTAAGGTCCTAGTTTGTTTCATGTGGAGGGTTGGTTAATATGCGGAAGAATTTAAAAATATAAGACAAACACCTGCTGTGGCACAGTCCTGATTTCTACCATTTTGTTTTGTGTGGTGTGTGTTTTAGCATTTGGCAGTTCATCCACAGCTATGGCTCTCCCCATATTATTAAGTTTATTATTATTATTATTATTATTATTATTATTATTATTATTATTAAGTTTATTAAGTTTTATTAAGTTTGCAGATGACACCACCATAATGGGTTTAATAACAGGTGGGGATGAATCAGCGTATAGAGGGGAGGTCCAAAAAATATCTACAGGGAACAACTTGCACTTTAATATCAGCAAGACAAAGGAGATGGTGTTGGACTTTCGGAAGAAGAGTGGAGAACTAGCCCCGCTGTACATCAGGGAGGGCTGTGTGGAGAGAGTCTCTTCCTTTAAATTACTAGGAGTTTATCTCAGTGAAGACCTTACTTGGAAAATAAATACAACCCAGGTGGTTAAGAAAGCCCAACAGAGACTCCATCTCCTCCGAGTATTGTGGAAGAAGGATGTCAATCAACATTTGATTATCTCCTTCTACCGGTCAACAATAGAAAGTGTCCTTTCATACTGCATCACGGTGTGGTACGCTGGTTTGACACCATCTGATAGGAAGTGCCTACAGAGGGTGGTGAATACAGCACAAGATATTATGGGCTGTCCTGTGAATCCGCTGGATGAAATAGCAGAAGAACGTTGCCTCAGGAGAGTGAGGAAATTTCTCAGGGATGATTCACACCCTGGCCGGCACTTTCTTGATCTCCTGCCCTCAGGCAGAAGATATAGAAGCATGATTAGTCACACCAACAGGGTAAAGAACAGCTTCTATCCATGGGCTGTTAGGCTGTTGAATGAAAAGATAACAACAGGGCAACTGACTTTTGGGTTTGGTGGGTGTGCGTCAGTAAACGAGGGGAATTAAGACTAAGAGAGCTGAGTGGGGGGTGCTCATGTAATCTCACTGTATACAAGTTGTACAAGTGACAATAAAGTATTTCAGTTTCAATTTCAATCCTAGACTCTCATTCAGAAGCACAGGATTCTGTTTTGGCTGCCATGGCAACCAAGGTTCTTAACAAGCTGGAGGCCCATTGGGTGGTTGGAAGGACCATCAAGTGGTTGGCTATACCTGGCTACATCCCTTTCCAGCTGGCTTTGACCCAACTTTCTTTGCCTCTCGCTGTCCATTTGGACTCTGTCCACTGCTTCCTCTGCAGCTGAAGCTCAGATTTCCTGCAGCCTTTGCCTCCTCCTCATACTGTTCAGCTGTAGTCCACCTCTGTAGCCATGCTGGAAGAAAAGAGCTGACTTTGTGACATCAGCTGCCATTAAACCAATCTCCTCTGGAATTTAGATTTGACCTGGCAGTGGAGATTTGTGCAGTAGCTGCTGATGTCACAAAGACCCTGAGCTACCCCCTGCTAAAGCAAGAGGAAGCAGTCCTCTCCCAGTGTAGAGTCCCTTGAGAGAAGAAGCAGTTGGGGTCCTCCTAAGAGAAATATAGTAAGTTCCTCAAATAAAGCTTAGTACTTTCCTTCTCCTCCTTAGCTACCAAAAGAATTCAGGAGGGAAGCTTGAGACACGCAATTGCAGAGATGTGGGACACGTATCATCTGTTAAAAATAACACATTTCATCACTTTCCTTAAGTCAAAGCGTTATTTGGCTATTGTATGTTTATTTGAACTGCTTGTTTATTGAACCCTTAGGTCATGCATCCCCAGGGCTCAGGACAGGTTATTTGAAACAAACAAATCACCTGACCTTACATTTAGAAAGTTGTGTTCTCATCCTTGCTGCTTAAAAGATTTCATACTTATTTGTTTCCTTTCTGCTATATTCTGCTGCAGCTGTTCTGCACATTTCAAATATGCTCCATCAGCATTCAGTGATCCACCATAGACCTAATCATTCTTCTTTGTAGTTTTTGAGACAAGCTTTTGAAGGCTTGTTTTCTCTCCCTCCCTCCCTCCCTCCCTCCTTCTCTCCCACCACGTATTTTGAAGCCTAGTGCATCCTAATGTACTGAATGGTTTAGCACAGGGGATGGGCAATGAAATTAACTACCACTTACATTTTTTATCAACGCTCACTGTTGATGAATTGTCACACGTTCTGATATGGATTTGTCAGATCTGCAGGATAAATACTATTCAGTTTCATAATCAATGGGCTAATAATGCCCTTATAAAAGCTGCATTGGAGCACATGATAAGAGCATATTTGAACTCTTCATCCACATTTCTGGGCTTAGATGTAGGTAATATTCATGATACCTGCTTAGGCCATTGATAGCCACACTAGCTTTGTCCCATTTTTGCCTTGTTTCCATGCCTCTGTTTTCTCACTGTAGCTTATTTATTATCTTCCCCCATGCTTCCTACATGCACTGGTTCTGTGCATACAGTATTGTTAAGAACTGTGTGTGCTGTTCTCCATTTTCAGTTGCCACAAATGCAAAGAGTTGATGGGCAGCTTTGAATTTTAAAAGCTCTCACTCTCCATTAAGCTCAAGCCAAGACACCATAGGCAAAAATAGTCCCTCCTTATCTGAGTGCTGTGAAACAAGCCTTCATCCTCCCTGCTGCTATGAGAGGCAGCGGTGCCCCTGCTAGCCACTTATATGCCCTCTACCATAAACCAAGTTCATGAGTGTTGCTGCTGAGATGACACATTCTCACTGCTGAGCAGCTGCAACTGGCATGGTAAGGCTATGCTGCTCACGTGACCTTTGATCAGCTGAGTAATTAATAATAATAATAATAATAATAATAATAATAATTTATTTCTACTCCGCCCATCTGGCTGGGCTTCTCCAGCCACTCTGGGCGGCTTTCAACAGAACATTAAAAACAGAATAAAACTTCAAACATTAAAAACTTCCCTAAACAGGGCTGCCTTCAGATGTCTTCTAAAAGTTGTTTATTTCCTTGACATGTGATGGGAGGGCATTCCACAGGGCAGGCGCCTGGTTCCCTGTAACTTCACTTCTCGCAGTGAGGGAACCTCCAGAAGGCCCTTGGCACTAGACCTCAGTGTCCAGGCTGAACGATGGAGGTGGAGACGGTCTTTCAGGTATAATCCTTCAGTTCCTGCATCATGCTGGGAAAGGGAGGGGAAGGAGCATAGCAGGCAGGTCAGTGTGGTGCAAACACACTGGCAGGAGCACCCGATTGGATCTGCTGGTGCATTTGCACCATGCCAACCTCACCACTGCATCGCTCCCCATCCCAGTATGCTGCAGCGACTCAGCCAGACACAGAGATCAGGTGAGCAGGTTAGCTCCACCATACCATCCACTGTTACAGATGAGGTATTTCCTCTGTGAAGGAACAAAATCTGTTAGTTAATGCTTCCAGTGCTGAACGTCTGATGTTCTCATCACCACCTATAGTTTCTTATTTCAGTAGCAGGACACACTTTATGGTTTTAAGGTCCAGGTATAGAGTCAATCAGAAGTTGCCATGGTGCCATTCCATCTGGTCTGCTACCCTCACCAACCATACTGATACCTGTCTTTCCATCCTGTAAACATTGCACAACTGACCATTATTTTACTTCAGTGTTGATAATGTAATATTTATTGCCAATTTTGCACCTTGTTCAGGTTGTACTATCCCAGTTACACTAGTGAGAAATCATATATGGTTTTCTCATTCATCCTTGCTGAAAATTCAGTCAGTTTTCACTCATGATTCAAAATGCCTTTCCTATTCTTATAAAACTGGCTGATAACTCTTGCCTAGCCTCTAGTTCATTAAAGCCTGTAAAAAAATTCTTTCAATAGGAATCATTTATGAATACTTGCAAAATCACCCAATTAGAGCCTCTGGAACTTTGGGAGTTAGGGTTGCTAGGTGACTTGTATTTTAAAAGGCATATCTTAGGGCCAATTCATTTTATTTTCCCTGTTGGGGAACCTATTTCTGAGTACAAAGTACACACAGCATTATTGATGAATGGTTCAGCTCACACATGTATAAATCATGGCCTTTTCTGGCAAAATCCCTGCAAGCATTAAGGGCCTGGGTCCTGCTTACAAGCATTTCCCAGCAAATATTGCAGATAATAGACATGCATGCCATCAGCATGTTTGGCAATAGGTTCCAAAATAATGTATGAAATGGCACTACAGTGTGTTCGCCTCACTGATCTACAGAGTCTAATCAATGTCATTAACTCCAAATTAATGCAGGCACAGAATGATAGCCATATGCCTGCATTAACTTCTTGGTCCTCTGTTTGAATAGATAGCACCGAAACATTAAGAAAATACCCAGCCTAATAATGTAATATTGCTTTCTCCCACCACCACTCAATGCCAAAGACTCAAAAACTTGCTCCAAGCATTTAAAACAACAACAACAGTTGCAGATCCTCCAAGTGTCCCTATTTTCCAGGGACAGTCCTGGATTTACAGGAGCTGTCCTGGTTTCTGATTTGATCTTTGAATGTCCTGCTTTTCCTTAGGATTTTCTTGTTTTTACTGAAAAAACGTTGACGAGTATGGAGTTATGTGACCCCCTGAGCCAAGGAGATAAGTAACTACAGAGGACTGTTGGGTTACGTTACCTTTGGGTAAAGTAACTTTCGGACTGTGAACGTGGCAAACTTGGAAGTGTATACTTCCGGGTTTCGCCGCGCATGCATGCACAGAAGCGCTCTGTGTGCCGCATGCAGAAACACTCTATCGCGCCACGTGCATTTGCAGAAGCAGCGCCTCATGTTGCAGACTTTTCGGGGTACATAAGGACCCCCAGAACGAATTAAGTTTATATCCAGAGGGTCCACTGTACACAACTTTTGGAAGACATCTGAAGGCAGCCATGTAAAGGATAGGGTTTTTTAATGTTTAATGTTTTATTATGTTTTTATGTATGTTAGAAGTCACCCAGAGTGGCTGGGGCAAGCCAGCCAGATGGGCGGGGTATAAATGGTGTTCATGTCAGGAGCTCGTCCTACACTCGAGTAGGACCCTGGCAGAGACACATGCCCGACTGGCATGTTCCCTCCCTCCTGGTCGATGATTCAGAGCTTCAAAAGCTTTCTTCAGCCTGAACATCACAGCGACCGATGCCAACAGACATCGGCACACTTAGGGATCCACAGAGTCTTCGCAGCTTGCGTAACAGACCTCAGCAACTCAGCATTTTGGCTAATCTACTTTATTTACATATAAACACACACGGAGCACTGCAACATGGCTCCCTCTCTAGCATCAGACAGCAAAGAGAAAAAACAAAGGACAATAGTTCCACTTCACGGAACACAGTAACACAAACATCCTGTCTCTGTCACTTCCCACTTTGTGGAGTCAAAACACATACCGTCATGTGATAGACAACAATCCCATGACTGCAGTCACGGAGCAGGAATTCTAACAGTTTATGGAATGGGATGGGATGATATTTTCATTGGAGAAATGTTGGAGGGTATGCAGTTCTTACAGAAGTCAAGCCGTGGGATAGTCATCCCTGCTTTAGACTGCTATTTAGTGTAGTTGACCACTCCATCCGAAAAAAAGCCATTGTGTTTAAATGAGCTGATTTTGTAAGCATTGCCTTGGATTTCATTGGCCAATGGGAAGCAACAGGAAAGAAACAGAGAGGGGTGTTTTGTGAGTTTAAAAGGCAAACATAAGGAGAGGAGGCAACAATATGGCAGTTGGGATAAAGAACTAGGGAGGCAATTGGGAACAACAATGAAACAGGCAAGTGGAGTGACAGGGGGAAAGCTAACTTACACTAAATGAATGGTTGGGGGACTAAACACTATTGAAAGAGCTACCTATAGATATACAGAAGACATAGGGGGACGCAAATGGTGCTAAGAAAACTAATACCCACACCAGATGGAGGCAAGAAACCAAATGCTACTCACTAAAGAAAAAAGGCAATGGCAAAGAGAATACCTAACCCCTTACACAACTGTGTCACACTCTTATGATGAAACAGTACCACGCATTTTCAGCCGACACACAACCAAAGCTCCATGGCAGGAAGTCAGGTTCAGCACCCTATCTAGTGGCTTTTGCTGCCAGGGGATGCTGAATGTTGGGTTCAGTAAAGCTCAATGTGTAGCAGGTAGGCAGGTTAGCAACGTCCCCCAAACACCCTCTCATACATTTGACACCCAGTTTAAGGATGTTAACAAGGTCACGGCAAATGTTCTGTAGCATCAATTGCAGTGGTACTCGCTCTTGTCACTCTTGAGTAAGTGTGCCCAGGATTGTGGCCTAAACTATAAAAATAACCCCAAGTTTCATGCCTTGTAAGCCTTCTATTTACTGCTGTGTGTTCATGCTGCAACTACCGTTCCTATCTCCTGCCATCTGCTCCTCCTGGGCTGAGGACTTCAGCCCTTGTGGTCTCCCCCAAAGACATGCCCTCTGGACAAGGTGCAAGAGTCACAGCCCCTGGAAGGAAGGGAAGTGAAACAGCCTTTATCAGGAGTCCCAGGTGAACAAGAGCTCTCACTGCCTCTTCAAGTGGGCAGCTCTCCAAGCGAGAAGGGTGAGGAAAAGGAGCCAAGATTTTGCGAGGGGATATGCAAAGCTGCTCTGCTGCAGGAGTTATTGGATGAAACAAATCACATGGGCCTAATTCAGACTGGATTCAGGCCTGGTTCAGGGACAGAAGCAGCCTTGGTTGCCCTAAGAGATTTTCAGGGCGTATGGTCCAGTGGCATTTTCCTCCTTCTATTTGGCTTTTGATACCATCGAGACTGGATCATCTCCATGGGTTGGACCTAGTGGTCACAGTGCTGCACTGCTTCCACTCCCAAAATTTCCAATACGAAGTGGCCCAAAACCAGGATACCATTTTTCAGGGCTGCGTGTGAATCATGTGACTCACACGAGCTTGTGCCCCCCCCAAAAAAGCTTTTTTTCAGGGCAGAGATCTTGTGCGGTGCTCCAAAGTGTGCATTTGGGGGCACTGTGTTTTTTAAAAAGCACTTTTCAGGGGTCTTGTGGGACAGCCAGCCACATGAACTATGCCTCTTTATCCACGTGCTAACTTCTCCAGCAAGTTGTTGTATTTTGTTTATTTTTATTGTTATCATTATTGGACAGCCTTGTAAAATAAAATTGCTGGAAGGCTGAATTGAGGATGGTTTTATATAGGTGTTTTTTATTGCTGCAGGTTATAAACTCTTGCTAGTTTTAAGTTATGCTTGTCTTTAACAGATACGCTATTTTAATTATTTGTTTTATTGTACAACAGTTTGGGCATTTTGTGGAGAAGAGGCCAACAAGCTTTATATATAAAAACAGATAAGAGGCTTGGGAAAAGATAGCACTGTCAAATAGAATATTAGCGTCACAGCAGATTTGAAATGAGGGTGAAATGACCCATTTCCTTCTAATACTAATTAGGCTGCTTTAAAAGTACATGATAATTTTTTCTAATTGGCTTCTCCTGACATACTACAAACAGCAACACAAAAAAATCAGACAAGCAAAAAAAATCCACCATTGCTTCCCACTAAAATTAGTATTTCTGCCTTATATACTATACTAAACTGGACATTGAACTTTGCCTGGAGAGACATGACATATTCACTTAGCCGTGGAGCTTTCTATTTATTTATTTCATTAAATATTTCTTCGCTTTTCAGTAGTGATCAATTCTCTGTGCAGATTGTCACTTATAAGCTGATAGGCAGAAGAGACAAACGCCACAACTTATTCCCGAATTATAAGTGGCTCCTAAGGCAAAATACTTTTGGAACAATGGAAACATTGTTTGAAAATGGTGCCACCGTGACCATAGTGGAAAAGTTGTACGGTTGAAAGATGGTCTCTTAAACAGGCTCCACCTTCTGCATAATCAAAAGGGACAGAGCCAGATGCTGTTGAATTTTCCAGAACAGCAGGTTTTTTCCCTCATCAGTAAAGGTGCTTTGATCATCCTGGAAGGCAGTCTTCTCACCATTCAGGGTCAGATTTTTTTAAAAGAAGAAGAAAAAAAACCCTGCAGATTTGTCATTCTATAATTGATGAAGGAAGGCATTATCCATAATTGATTAACACAAATGCTTTGTTGACAAAAGACGTGGGTGGTTAATAAATGGCATATTCAGGCTATTATCTGGATTTTGCTATTTTAGGACAAGCCCCCAAGTCAGTAGCAATCAAATGGCATATAAGGAACCTTAGTGAAAGGCTCACGCTCAGTGATTTCAGAGTAGTTGTTTCGTGTCCCAGATAGCTCAGTTGGTCAGAGCGTGGTGCTGATAACACCAAGGTTGCAGGTTTGATTCCCGTATGGGACAGCTGCATATTCCTGCATTGCAGGGGGCTGGACTAGATGATCCTCAGGGTCCCTTCCAACTCTATGATTCTATGTATGGTAGGTATGTGGCTGAGAAGCGGGTGCTGCTAGTTCAGCCTGCATGCTGGGAACAGCACAGAGGATGCACCTGTGGCTTTGATCAATGATCTTCACTTAGAAATCACTAAGGGAAAATGATATGGCCCTATTGATCCTACTTTTTCTCTCAGCAACCTTTGATCACAGGGTATAGACACCTGCCGAACTGGTTCTTCTCATTTTTGTCAGGGAGGCCCCAGGGAGGGGTAATGGTCAATTCCCCTTTGTGGGTGCCCTAATGTGGAGGTCCTTGGAAGCAGAGATCTATTCTAGCCTCCTACTCTGAGTAAATGGAAAAGTAATACAGCTTTGCGAGATCATGTTGAAGAGTAACTCCCATATTGTGCTCCAAGATACACTTAACTGTGAGCTGGGAGAAAGAGAAAAGAAAAGAAAAGAATTTTAAGCTCTCTTGAGCCCAAAGTACTCACTCGTGAAAGAGATTTCCTACTCCATTTCTGTATGGTTTAACCAGTCTGCAGACATTAACGCACACTTTTTAAGTATATCCAAAGGGCAGGGATGGTTTTCCGGTTTACTTAGAATCTGTGGAAGTTGGTTTTGCTGTTATGAACGAAACCAAGCTCCCATTCATAACATCTAAAACTATCCTGAAAGCTATGCAAAGAGCTGATGGAGGTAGGAGCCCAAGCTAAGGCACATCTGTTACTACAAGTCTTGTTTAATCGTTTAGCTCTTAAGTAAAAGAAGCAAGATTTATGCGCAACAAGGGAGCCCAGCATTAGGCAGAAAAAATAATCCTGTTTCTACACAAGTGCCTAACTAACAGCCCTACTAAGGTAACCTGTTATGAAAGACTTTGGGGCTTGAATGGAGAACCTCCGGGTTCAAGGCTGGGACTGAGGGTGTGCAGGTCTCAGACCCTTCTACAGACACAGAAGGGAATCGTGTGTGAGCTTCAGCCCCTGTGATTGACAGGCCAGATTAAGCCTCTGGATTAACCTAGGGTAGGTACTGTATGAACCTCTGGCCACCAGACAAATTGATCCTAATTTGCCCTGTGAGGCCATTTTTGCCAAGCCATGTTCACCTGACCCACAACTTGACATCATGTAATTTCAGGTGTGGGGCTAAGTATAGTTGATTTAATTCACACTGAAATGCAAATGTATGCGTATTAATGAAGGCTTAAAATGGAAAATGGCTAAACATGTATTTCCCAAACTTATGATCTGAGATGAGAGGTATGTGCTGAAGAAACACCACAATATCATAGGGCATAGAGAGACCTGCCTCCTATGGAAAGACCTTTCTATTGAAATTTTGAAGTAAAGTAATGCTTCTCCATTTGAAGTAAGAATCCTCCTTTCAGAGGGCGAGATAATGTATGTGGTTAAAAATTTCAGATTCACATGGTATAATGTACAGGCTAGGGTTGCAATCCCTAGCACACTCAGTTGGAAATATATATCCACCTAAGCATTGTGGGTCCTACTTCTCGCTAAAGAAGCATCGAATGATGCTTTAAGAAAGCAAGCTATGGAAGCTCCTGGTTCAAGACTCACCTGGGACAAAAACTCATTCTCAGCCTTATTAGAGATCTCTAGCACAATCACAGGGTTCCAAGACCGGGAGCAAGGCAAATACGTGTATCTGAAATGGGTTGAAATCTGGATGCCAGGTGCTGGATAGCTCCATCGGTAGAGCCTGATACTTAATCTCAGGGTTGTGGGTTCGAGCCCCACATTGGGCCAAAAGATTTGTGCATTGCAAGGGGTGGTCCCTTGTGGTCCCTTCCAACTCTACAATTCTAGGATTGTATGACTCTAGACATAGAGAAGCCCTAGGAGGCAAGTGAGAATCAAAGGGCTTAGCGACACCTCCGTTTGCCCTGCTGCTTTCGCTCGTGGAAACCGGATCTTTAGCGCTGAATCGGAACAAATGGCAATCAGGTTCTCTGCAGCTTGACGCTTGTTCTGATTTAGTGCCAAGGAGCGGGTTTTCCGGAGGGAATCGGCAAAGCCATTTAAACCCATGCTTTCTAGGCATGGGGCAAACAGGAGTGTGCATGAGCCGAAAGTTGTGTCTGGGGTGTTTAAGCTACAATAGCTCAAGCTGCGGCCAGAAAACATTGAAAAACGTGCACCAGCCCTGTGACATTCCTAAAACTCTAGATAATTTGAGGTATTTTTAATTATCTTTATATTTCCACAGCTCATCCTTGAGGGGTGTACAAAGTTCTCTCCAGCCCCCTTTTCACCCTCACAACAAAGGTAAGTTAGTCACCAAGTGAGAGTTACACAGCTTGAGCCAGGGTCTCTGTCTCCCCACTCTGAATCCCAACACTCTAACCACTACAGCACACTGGCTGGCATAGGGCTTTCTGTGGAACACAGGGCTGTGAGACTCCTTCTCACCATGCAAGCTGCAGTGCCAGTTCAAAGTCACCCATGTAAGTTTTTCAGCTTAGCCTACTGGCATAACCTTGGTCTCCATTGTACTCCAACTCAGTTCAGAATTGATCAGGCTGCCTTTGTTCCCATTTAAGGTGAAAAACATTGTCCTTCTCTTTTATGAAGGATGGAAACAACTTTCGCCAGTCACTCTGCCCCAATTCCACCACACACACACAAAAACTGCAGCTAAAGACATGGGCAAGTCATTTGGAAGGAGCAAAGTGTCATAAAACATTGAGCATAGGTGAGACGCATGCATGCAGAGATAGAAAGACAGTATAAAGTTTCCTGTGATCGTTTTCTCCTCTTTTTCATCATTCTTTGTAAACCAGAAAATTAATTACCCGGAAAACAATTCTGTGCACTAAAAAGCAGAATAGGTTTAATGTATAATTTATATATGGAAATGCAGCTGTCAACACTGTGACAAATTACTATATAAAAATGTTGCAGTTACATTTTTCGGTGTTAGTGTGCATTATGTTCATCTTCTGCACAAGACAATCTTCATCCTCTTAATGTTGTTTTGGCGCACAGAGCTGAGCTGCATTCTGAACCCCCTACTCCCAACAAATGACAGATCAATCAAACTGAACAGGCTTTTATTTGCACATGGGAGGGAACTGCAAGAATGCAAGAATGCTCTTGAAGGTCTCCCGAAGAGATACCCTTCACACTATATTTAAAAACAGTGGGACTTAGACAAGCGAATCAGAGATTATAAAGTCTTTCAGTCCCAGTGTGAATGGGCCATTTTGGGCACTTCATATGCTGTGCCCGCAAAACACCTCTGACTGACGTGTGTCTATGCTTCTGACCCTAGATGACTATAGCACACAATTATCTCATAGTCTTTGCTTTGTTTACAGGAAAAACTATATAGTTGTTGTTATTGATTTATTATGCAAATACAAAACAAAGGTACATACATCTGGCAAAAATAAAGACAATAAAAGAAAAAGAAAAGAAAAACACACACATACCTACATACAAACAAAAACAAAACAGGTACAAAAATAAATACGAAATGAAAATGGAACACATTCAAAGAATATAAACAGTAAAGTAAATAGCTAAGAAAGACATCCCAGGGTGCCATTTCTCTGCTGAGGTACTGGCTTTTCTGGGATGGGTTCCATTTGCAATTATTATTATTAGTAATGCCCCGCCCATCTGGGTGGGTTTCCACAGCCACCGTGACATACCCTACAACATTTCTCCAATGACAACAGGGACATCCTATTCCATAATAATATTTTTTTTATTTATACGCCACTCATCTGACTGGGTTGCCCCAGCTACTCTGGGAGGCTTCCAACTTATATAGAAGCATTAAACATTTTATATATATATATATTTTAAAAAAAAAAAAACTTCCCCATACAGGGCTGCCCTCAGATGTCTTCAAAAGCTTGTATCTCCTTGACTCAGGGGCCGAATAACTCCATATTGCACAACATTTCTCCAAGGAAAATAGGGATGCCCTAAGGAAAAGTGGGACATTCAGCATCAAATCAGAAACTGGGACAGCTTCTGTAAATCCAGGACTGTCCCTGGAAAATAGGGACACTTGGAGGGTGTGTCGTGAAATAATGCAGGCATAGGCAAACTTGGCCCTCAAGATGTTTTGAGACTACAATTCCCATCATCTCTGACCACTGGTCCTGTTAGCTAGGGATGATGGTAGTCCTAAAACATCTGAAGGGCCGAGTTTGGCTATGCCTGAATTAATGTATAATCATGTCCTCATGAGGCATTCAGAGGACAATTTAGAGAGGGAGGGTATTGCTCACCACCCCACTCTAGCCCATTCACACCCCAGTAGGGGGACTGGTGGTGCCAGTAGGCCCTACATTTCTGGTCTGCTAGTTTTACACACTGTTAAGCATTATACAGAAACAATGAGTCTATGGATTAGGTGTGCAAGTCGAAAGGCACAAATCCCCACGCATAAAGAGAAACAAAGAGTCGTGCTTAATCCATAGAGGAGAAAAAATTCAGAGCTGACTTAATCCCCCTTCATTTCAATGCGACTGAACTGCAACTACCGTATTCTGCACTGGAGCCATTGTGACTCATTGGGCAGAGTTCTAGGCCTGAACTTGGAATGCTTAGGTTCAAGACCAATACACCTGGCAGTTGCCTGGGTGAGGTCTCAGTTTCCATCTTCTTGAGATTTCCTTCACAGGGCAACTGCCAGAGCAGACAATATGAGGAATACACAGACATTGAGACATTCAACTCCCCACAGAAATGACTGGTGATCAGAAAAGCTGTCAAATCTTACTCTGCTTGAGTCTCGCTGTCCTTTGCAGCACAGCCGCCTCTCCCTCCTGCGTGTCTTCCTCTCTCTCCCTCCATCGCCTGACCTGCTCTTCCCTCATCTTGTAGAAGAGGACATGCTTCTGTTCTTCATTCAGTTCGGCCAGTAGCTCCGGATCGATGTACATATCCCGCAAAATTTGCTGCAGCATGGCAATCCGGTCAAGAAAGCAACGCGTGTGAAGTGGCCAGGTGGAAAAGACAAAATTCAAAACTGAAGGAAAAATACCCTGTCCAGTCCAGCCAACTGAACGCCTTTAGCACTTCCTCAAAAACAACTTGAAATGAAAGTGCTGACCCTTCCTGAGAGGGATTGGGTTCTCTTTCATGCTCCGATCGCTTTCCGTTAATCGCCACAATAATAATAGCTTGTGTCACCTATCAACAGGTGTCCAATGGGGGTGGAGAGAGAGATGGAACAGGAGATTGGCAGGGCGAAGGCGTACAAACAAGGATGAGCCACTTGGATGGTATTAAAAGGCTCCCCAAAAGGGGAAAGAGGATAACTCCTGACAGCTGCCACTTAAATACCTGGAAACAGTTCAGTATTTTACAAAACTGATCCGATTATGGCACGGTGTCCCATGTTTCTTGCTTCTCATTCCCACGGTGGTGTGTTCCCCTTGATGTAGTGCTGGGGATTTGTGCCTCGGGGTTTATTTTTAAATCTATGATGTCATGGTGAAAAGTAACAACTACACCGGCGATATCTATGTCATTCCAGCGCCTTTTGGGAACTGATCCCTTCCGATAAAAGGCAACACACGTTTACACATTATCTGTATCGCTGCTTACTCTCCCTGGTCGCTGGAGCACACGCCACCACCTGGCTCTGTCTAGGGTCATGTTTACTTACTGCCAACAGACATGGTGATTCAGCACTAACGGATTAAAAAGTTTTTTAAGGGGTTTTTTCCCTCTCTCAAACTTGCAGAAAGAAATGGAAGAGCAGCCCAAAGCTGTCAGGAGGAAAACTTGCAAGGCAGCTAATTAATATTAATTAAGCCAAAGTCTGGCCTTGGCAGTTCAAGCACACTGCGTTAACCCTCCTGCCATCGGTGTGTTTTCCATTCTGCGGTGGGAAGATAGAGACGAGATTGCTTTTTAAGCAAATGGTGACCTTTTGCTGTTTACTGGCATTTTCCTGCTCTCCGTGAAATACTATTGTTAGCTCCTCGGGGTTTCTATTACAATAATTTATATGCAACTAATCATAGCCCCGTCCAGCCTCTAAGGTCTAAGATGTGTAATAATAGATTTTAAAGCATAATAGACGGTGGTAAAATTCTGTTAAAATCCCATTTGAAACAGCTAAATGCATAACAAAACTGCCAACCAGTTGAACTCAGGCCACCAAAAGGCCATGGAGATGTTAATAGTCTAACAAGATGCTCAGGCTTCTTTGAATTATTCAGATATAATCAAAATAGTTTTGTAAGACATCTACTCTTTTTTCCCCTTTGCTTTTTAGAAAAGATAACTATTTTTTGGATCATCAGAATGTAAGAGTCCTGCTGGATTAGAGCAAAAGGTCAAGCAGGATGCTAAGGGAAGGCAGTCTCTCTGGAACATCAAGAGAACCATTAATTCAAAAGGCTACATGACCTTAACATTAGCTTTCTGACTTCAGATTTTCATCGGCTGAGAGTCACATCCTTGGCCAACTTGTATCGGATTCCTCTATGCCCGTCTTAGGTGGAGTGACACCTTAACCGCATCGTAGCATTTAGACTGGAACAATTCCAGTGCCTGTAAGGAAGGTATCGTCATTCTCGAGAGAACTGAGTAGTATAAAAAAAGGCTTTTCAAAATAAAACCTAAAAGAGCCATTAAAAAACAGCCTGATGAATACCAAGTATGCTGAGTAGCCACAGAAAGTCGGGGACAAGAAGCAAATGGATGTTTTGGAGCCCCTTATAGTTTATACTACCCCGGAGGAGGACTTAGCTGGCTAGCTAGTACCCTGAATAGGAACATTTCTCTTAGAAGGCAAGAATACAACATTTTGTTGCAAGTCTCGGTTATAATCTAACTTCCATCTACAGTCAAATCCACATCATACATCCAAAGCACATGGATTCCCCCAAAGAATCCTGGGAGCTGTAGTTTGCCCTTAAAGAGTTGCAATTCCCAGCACCCTTAACAAACTACAGTTCCCAGGATTCTTAGGTGAAGCTATGTGCTCTACATGTATGACATGAATGTGACCTAAAAACCTCTGCTCCATTTTCAGCAAAAGAAAACTGCTAAGTGCAGCTATTTCCACCCATAAACTGACCAAAATATCTGCCATAGGCAACACAATACACAGAGCAGTGATATAATAACAAAATGCAAATTCACACAAAAATACAGTGGTACCTCGGGTTACATATGCTTCAGGTTACATACGCTTCAGGTTACAGACTCCGCTAACTTTGCTTCAGGATGAGAACAGAAATCGTGCAGTGGCGGCGCGGCAGCAGCGGGAGGCCTCATTAGCTAAAGTTGTGCTTCAGGTTAAGAACAGTTTCAGGTTAAGAACGGACCTCCGGAACGAACTAAGTACGTAACCAGAGGTACCACTGTATTGCATTTTGCTATCACATCACTACCCTTTGTATTACAGTTGCCCTTGGTGAAATATTTTTGTGTGTGACTTTTTGCATAGGCAACATAAGACATTGTGGAAAGAATTTCCCCTCTGTTCTTTGTTCCCCCAACTCGGCATTCATACGCATATATTGCTGCTGGACTTGGAGGTTCCATTTAACTATCATAGCTGGTAGCTGCTGATAGAACTATCCCCCATAATGGAAGGTTTCCAAGCTTCTCGCATATCTTTTTCCCAACGTCAGTGAGAATGATGTAAATCAAACAACTTGTTTGTTTTAAGAGGTGGACATTTACTGATCATGATTCAAGGTAACAGAAAAGGGCAAAATTCTCTAAATGATTATTCTGGTCAAGGTCTTTCTTTTTTCTTTTTGGCAAAAGCTTCCTTGGCAAAACTCAACAGTCAGTTTACACCACCAAAAACGCTTTGTGTTAATTGTCAGATTAACTCAGCATTGGAATGAGTGGATCACTCTCTGTCAGGTTCACGGGTGTTCATTTGTAATTCTGTCCCATTCCATTTCTGCTTTAATCTGTTATTTTCTTTAAAAAAAACCAAAAGCTCATGAAAATTTATATTTACATTTGCTGACAAATATACATTTCTAAACAAAATTTCTCTCAAATTACACATTTCTAAAATGGATTTTTCCTAGAATACACATTATTATAGGCATTTTGGTACATTTCCTAGAATCATAGAATTGTAGAACTGGAAGAGACCTGTAATGCAAGAATCTCAACTAAAGCATCCATGACAGATGGCCATCCAACTTCTGCTTAAAAACCTCCAAGGAAGGAGACTCCACTACTTCTTGAAGGAGTCCATACCACTGTCAACAGCTTTTACTGTCAGAAAGTTCTTCCTGGTGTTTAATCTCCTATTTTGTAATGCAAAGCCATGGGTCTGGTCCCTACTATCTAGAGAAGAAAACAAGCTTGCTCCATCTCCTATGTGACACCCTTCAGATACTTCAGATATCTCCTCAGTCACCTATTTTCCAGGCTAAACATACCCAGCTCCTTCAACCGTTCCTCATAGGGTTTGGTTTGCAGATCCTTGAGCATCTTGGTCACCCTCCTCTGCACATGTTCCAGCTTCTCAATGTCCTTCTTAAATCATGGAAGCCAGAACTGGACACAGTACTTCAAGTGTGGTCTGACCAAGGCAGAATAGAGCAATACTATTACTTCCCATGTTTGGAACACTAGACTTCTGTAGATGCTTCTAATGCTCACTGGCAGCATGAAGACACCCACTGGTGGAGTATTTTCTTCTTTTTATTTGCAAACATACATGCATGCCTATTTCCTTACACCTTGTTCCAGTTTGCTTGTGGGCAGCAAAGTCCCTGTTGGCTCCTCTTGCACATCAACTCCATTGAGTGGAGTGGAATTTGGGGAGACTCACAACAACCTCTCTGCTTGAGACTGGTGATGACTTCCTTGAACAAGGGAGCTCCATGGGTTGTTCCCATTGACAGGAATTGGAGGGGTGTAAAGAGAGAAGGTAAAAGAAAGAAACATCTTCCCTTCTTGCCCCACCCCTCTCCCTTTGATTTTTTTTTTTTATGGTACATGCTTGTCTGAGATGAATTCAACGGAATGCTTTTATGTTAGTTGTGGTGGTTACAGTAGGGAAGCCTCTGATAGGGATTGGATGAGCTATCCTAATGTCACAGGTTGGAAAAGTAGGCAGAAGTGTATCCAGCTATCATTGCCTGGACAGCTTGATCCTACAGAAAAGCAAGGCAGGAAGAATCAACAGAAGAAGCAGAGGTATCTAGGGAAAGAGAGTGGTCTGCAAAATTGCAGCAGTCTAGATTCGAAAATCAAAAGGAAGATCTACAGAGCTGCTGTCAGGGCAATTGGTTGGGGTAGAATGAATAGGATGGGGCCACCAAACATGGCAGGACTGACCTACCACACAGCAGGAGGGGGCGTCCCTCCAAGACTATTAAATGCAGAGTCTGAAATTAACTAAGCACACAACTGGAAAATAATTTCAGAGGAAAGAAGGAAAGCTGAAAGAGAGTGGGGGCAGAAAAGAGACCTGCACAAGCCTAGGGATCTGTAGAAGGGATGAAAGATGAAGCTCACATATTGATTTGAAATAGCCAGCCAAATCTTTGACTTAAAGGTCTCTTGTTACCTGCTGTTTTAATGTTGTCACTCAGCATTTGGTAAACTTGGTGTCTAGGCCTTTGCCTTATAATTCCCCTTTCTTCAAATAAGAGCAGAATTGTTGTTTTCTAGAGCAAAAGTTCAGAATGTATTACTCTTGGCGTGGTTGCTATCACTGCATAGCACATGAAGTTTCGTCGGACCAGCTGTTTACATACCACTTTCACAGACAGAAGGCTAAGCTCTTGGGACTCTGTAAATATACAAGAATTACCTATTGAATTCAGGAAATAGTGTACAGGTGCCCTATTTATGTCTATTTATTTATGTCTATTTATGTCAAATGTTAGAGAAGCCTGTATAAATCCTCTAAACTCATTGTGCTTTTGTAATGAATTACTAGTATTATTATTATTAAGCAGATCTTTTGCATATAGGTGAACAACACAGCCTTCAAGCTGGACACAGCATAGTTGCATAGCCAAGTGCAGCTGTCTCAAGTGAAAGTTGGTGTAACATAGCAACTGAAGGTATGTGTGTCAGCTCGCTCTTATCAAGCAAGAAGCCACTAGGCAGCCTTAGATAGTAAAGCTTGTAAATGTCATTGGAGAAGATTTATGTTACAGGATCTTCAAGCATAGGGGTGGGGGGTTAGCATCTCCAAGACACAAAATAGCTACCTAGCCAATATATTCTCCAGGTCATCCAAAAGTCAATGGGCCAGATCTAGACTAAGTTAGATGCAACAGGACAACCTAGTTATGACTTGTGCTTTGAAATCCATGGAATCTCAGTGCAACTAAATTAGTCTGGATTCAACCCAATGTATTGGTGACCCTCAGCAGGGACAGCTTGCCCAATGGGGCACAGCCAAAGCAGTAGGCACTCAGCAGCAGTGTCACTGCCACTTACTGGGAGAGGAAAGGGGAAGATGGTGGCCAAGTTGGGGTTGCATGGGCAGACTGGTAGTGCCAATCCAGTGCTCCCAATGGGGGGCCCACACAGCTCCATTGTTGCTACTGTCTCACCCCTCTCCTAAGTGCTAGTGATGTTGCTGCCTGGAGATTATTGATGTGGCTTCACCCCACCGAGCAAGTGGCTTCTGACCCCTCTCTAAAGGTCACCTGGGAGCCATTGTAGAATCGCAGGCAGATTCTACCTACTGTGAACTTTCAAGTGGTTTATTTGTTGGTGACACAGACTTCTGTAGAGAAGAAGAAGAAGAAGAAGAAGAAGAAGAAGAAGAAGAAGAAGAAGAAGCAGCTTTGAAGATAGCATACTCTGACCTTTGCCTTGAGCCAAGGAATCCTTGGAAGTCTCCTCCTGCCATCCGGCTTACAAATATCATGGCAAATGAGAGATCAACCTGGCCCCATTCATTGGGAGGAGCTGTCTTGATTCCAAGAGCCCTCCTCCTTGTCTTGATTCCAAGAACACTTGACTCCAACTGCCAGTTGAACACCTCTGGAACAGCACCAACTGCTATTAAAGCCACCAACTGCTCTTCAAGCAAGAACATCACGAGGGAAATTGAGCCTGGATGCAACTGGACATTAACTCCCATGTAACTCACCATTTTGTTCTGCCCTTGAAGGACTGACCACTCTCCTCTACCTCTTCTCTTCCTTTGTGTCTCTTTATATAACCCTTGTGGCAGTACCCTTCTCTCTTTCAATTGATGAGAGTCATTTTGAGAGGCTGTCATTGTCTGAAAAGTAGGATAAAAATATAGCATTATTTTTTTATTTGCTTTTCATAACAAGCCCATGAAGAAGAACACCTCAATTCCCATTTTACAGATGAGCACAACTGATGCTTAGGGGAAATAACTTATACAAGATGACACTTCTAGACATCGGGTCAATGCCCTAACCAATTGATTGTGCTGACTTTTATCACAACTCCTTATTTGGCAAGGTACTTGAGTTGCCAATGTAGTTTTATCCTCACATCTCCAGATCATTCACCCAGCAAAAGGTTAGTATCTCATATTCAGTTGCCTTTAACCTTGAGATATAGATAGACCGACAGACAGACAGATGTATTCTATTTCCTTCCCATTGCTTTGAAAATTGTATGGGGGGGTTTCTGGGGTCCATAGCTTTCATCAGATTTTCAAAGGTTCCTGTGAGCCAATAAAAGGTTAAGAAACACTGCTTTCACTGGTAATCTACCTTATTCGCTCACCTTGATTTTATATTTTCACATAACTTCCTTTCTCTAAACTAAACAGCTCTCTGGCTCAAACGCAAGAATGCTGAAGCAGCACAAAAAGAATTTTATTCAGAGTTTATGACATAGCCAAAGCCCCCCTCGGCTGTGACATTTATATAAAAACAGTCAGGTACTGCATATGTGGAAAGGAAGATGGAGGGGAGACCTTCTTAAATAGAGAGGATGTTAGGCTGGAAGAAATAAAAATCTTAATCCTAGACCAAGTACATGACATATACATGATCATGACATTTCATTCTGGATTAACTGGCCTGGAATTACTACCACTACTGTACTTACAATTAGTAATCTGTATTAAAATTGTAACCCACATATTGTAGTATTTTGCCATTTTAGGGAATTAGGCAGTTATCCTAGCTATGGTACTGAATTTTCAGAATTCAGGATTTTCAGAGGTTTTCCTTCTTAAGGCTTGCTCTTTTTGCAGATGGTGGGTGGGTGGGCTGAAACCTTTGTCAAACCTTCTGAAATTGTCAATGTTTGAATTGATACCTCTTGGTGTCATTTTTAGGCAACAGTTCTCATTAGGTTCTATGTTTATCATGGAGTGTACAAGTCACTCAGGTACTAGATACCGGATGGATGTCATTATGTTATCACACTGACATATCCTGTTCTGACAGGGGTGAATCACATGCCAATGGGAAGCCTGCAAACAGGAAATCACTGAGGATGAGTAATTTTTTTTAAAAAAAAAAATCACATGGTAGAACCAATCACATATCATACAGAAAGGGTGATATCATCACAATACTGACTAAAGCAGGCATAGGCAAACTCGGCCCTCCAGATGTTTTGGGACTACAACTCCCATCATCCCTAGCTAACAGGACCTGTGGTCAGGGATGATGGGAAATGTAGTCTCAAAACATCTGGAGGGCTGAGTTTGCCTATGCCTGGACTATAGGGTAATTCAATTCAAATATTTACTGACAGTGAGCAACTATTCTAACCAGAATTCTGAGAAACAAAAATGAACAGAGAAGTGGATGAGTAGTTCTGACTTAACTAGTGCTAATTATGCCAGTTTGGTCTCAGATTGGTTTAAATTCTGCACCCTACATCAGGGGGTGGGGAAATGGCCTTCAAGAATTTCTAGAGTGGCCCACCAGCCGTCTACCCAATTTATCAGTGGCATCAGTTGCAGTATCAGCAACAGCAATTGTAAAACACCCTTGGATGAAGCAGCGGTATATAGATTTAATAAATAAAATAACATGGGTGGTGAGGAATGTACCTGAGAACTTTTGATTTAAACAAGAAAACTCTATTTAAATAGATGCACTCAATTTATATAAACAGTGTAGTCCAAAGAAAAATACTCCACAGTGTATATTTTGGATTTCTACCATCTTTATGTAGCTTCCAAGCCACCGCTAACCTTGAGGAGGTATGTACTTCTAAATGCATCACTTTTTGAAACAATAAAATGCTCTGAGCAATTTTTCTCAGTGCTCTCTCTAGCAAAGAACCACCCACCTACCAGATAAACAGATTGGCTTTAGAAAGCCAAGTGGACAAAGTGGTATCAGCAGTGCTGGTGTATATAGAGTGGCATTCAACTCAGTTTTACTCAGTGTAAACCCCTTGAAATTAATGGACTTAATGTAGCCATGGCCATTAATTTCAATGGGTCCACTTTGCATAAAACCTAGTTGAGTACCCCCTTCAGAAAGGTTCGCCGTGGAGGGCTGCCATCATTGCAGCCCTTGGAACATGACAGCTGTTGCTGCCTACCTGCCATTACCAGGTAAGGAAAGGGGCACCAAGGTGGGAGGCCCACCTGAGAACCCACTCACACCCAGAAACAGACCTGTTCCGGTGAAATAATAGGTCCCATGATCCTCTGCATTTCACAGGGGTTCCTTAACAGACAAGGTAGAAAGAGTTCCTTGCAGGTAGAAACAGGTGGGTGGCAAATAAACCCTAATGCACAGCTAGGTTCAGATGGGATGGGGTGTCTGATCACTACAGCACAAGCATCTAGTGAATTCTGGTTCCCAGGCTTTCCTACCACGGCCAAAAAGCTGTTGCATACACTTCAGTATAAAGCTTCACATCTCTCTCAAGTATACTAATTGCCCAGGCTGAAGTGGCAATACAGATGTAGAGCATCATCGAAAAGGGCGCCCAGATTTTCCCCACAAAGGGCTTCCAACACGTGGCCAGGAAAAAAGCAAGCAAAATGTAAAACAGAAATGGGCTCTCATAAAAAGCACACTCTGAATATGTAAATGCAGCAATGAAACTGCTAGCACATTTGCAAAGCAAAGCAGGGTCTGGTACGGTTTCAAATTGGATGGGAGACCTCATGTTGAGATACCTGCAATGCAAGGGGCTGGACTGGATGACCCTCGCGATCCCTTCCAACTCTACAATGCTATGATGCCATGAGAAAGGGAGGGAAAACACAAGCTTTTATCTAATTAAATTTCAAAGTATAAGTATGAGTCAACCGGCTAGCTAAAGCGTGTTAAGGAATAACAAAAGTCATATTGTCTCTTGATAATGCACCCATAAATACTGTTTGCATGTGGCACATTAGAGGTGCACAGCATTTATTATTTTGTGAACCTTGGAAACATAATGGTTGTGTCACCATAGACCATGGAATCTGGGATCAAGCAGTGGGAGAAGCAAACTGACAGCCTGAGAAGGGGTGAGGGCGATAATGTTTTATTTGTGGCTGTCTTCCCACGCAGAGAAGCGTCAATGAGAAAAGAAAATGCAAGCGAACACTCACCCAGACAAATCTTCCCTGCCTCCAATCTACCCAAACACTACTGTCAATTCTTAAAAATGGAATACCTAAACCCTGTTTTCTCCCCACCCTGCTTTAATTATGGATGGTTTGTTTGTCTCCTTTCATTTACCATTTCTTTTTCCCATTCAAAGGACATAGTTAAGTCTATGGTGCCCTCTCATGGCCAGCCTACATGGTGCTTTCAAATAGGGGGAAGGGAGAGTCTTGCTAACTACGGCTCCACTTATCTGTGGTAAACTGCCTTGGAAAGTGTGACTGCATACCCTCCAACACCTTGAAGACAAAATCCAGGATGCCATCTTTCTGGGCACCATCTTCCCATTTTTATCACGAGAGCACGGCAGCCATCTTGGTTGCCATGATCTTGTGCAGTTATGCTCCGTGCCCCCCCCCGAAAAAGTGTTTTTCCAGGCACAGTGCCCCAAAACACACATTTTGGGTATACCATGCAGCATCGCAACCCAAAATAACACTTTTTATGGGGGAAAGCGCGCCACAAAATCGTGTGAGATCAGGGCAACTAAAACAGCTGCCATTTTTTCATGATAAAAAATGGAATGGTCCTGATTTTTCTGGAACATTTGCAGGGTATGTGATTGTGAAAGGATGAGTGTCAATATTGTAAGTGATCTAATGTACAGCGATATTCCCAATTACAATCCCACAATGTAAGCCAAAGCGAGTGGCACCTTCCTGATGTAGGGATTCAGCCTACTAGAAAGATACTACATATGTTTTCTGAGGCATAAGTTCCATGGGGTTCTACTGGACTTGCTCCCTACTGAGTGTGCTTAAGATTGCTGTGCCTTCAAATCCACAATAATTTGGTATGGTTAAAGTTATCTGGTTGTACAAATGAAATTTATTACGGTCCCAGACCAGGTTCACATACCGTACTAAGCAAACATGGAGCACTCCTCCTGTGGGAACTTAGTTCCCTCCGCCTCTCTGCCCTGAGCTTCTGCAGCTCAGGAAAGGCTGGAGGGTTACCAGACCCAGAGGCAACCTCCTCTTCCCCTGGGCCGAGAGCGGAGCACCTGCAGGCAATGGGTCCTCCATCACCTCTGGGGCTAGAGCAGACTCATCTGGTGCCTGCACCTGAGGATCCAGCACAGGTGAGGACCCTTCAGGCTCAGGCCCCAGCCCCAGCTCAGCTGGTTCTGGAAGTGGGGACTTCTGTGTAGGCTGGGATTCCTCAGGTTCAGCCTCTGAGTCCGAATCCCAGGCCATCATATTTAGCTCAATGAACAGGAGAAAAGTGCAAGCCAACATCCCAAAAAGCATCTCCCTGCATCACATGAGCTGCTCTCAAAAAATGGCTGAAGTCTTCTTTAGTGACCGAATCGAGGCAACTCATTTTCTTTGTCGAAGCCAGAAGGGTATGCTCTCCTCAATGGCAATGAAGAAAATGAAAGCAGGAGGAAGAGAGGAGAGTTCCTCCCTCACAGTGCCTGGGCTAGGAGGATGCCCAGAACCACATTCCGATTTCTGGTGGTCTCTTGGTCGGTCATTAGAAAGAGCTATTGCTTTGAGATTCTCTTTGGCCAAGTGGAAGCTGCCATCACACCTGGGGAAGGCAACGTACTGTCACATGTGATCAGTGAATCTCAGCTGTTAAAAAGTACTAGGCAAAAGGACATGAACATGGCAGTGCAAAGAAGAAAGGCAGGACAAGCAGTGTAGGAAGGTATCATCAACCATATCACCTCATGGACCACTCCTCTCACCAGGTGTACCTGTGCCTCTTTTTCAGAACACACTAAACAGGCTGGCATTATTGAATGAAGCACACACAACATCTGTACACAAGGGAGGTGAGGGCTCCCAGTGGCACAATAGAATTTGGGCCTATTATTATCATTATTATTTATTGAATTTATATACCACCCCATACCCAGAGGTATAGAATGATTAAACATTCTACTGACATTCTTCAGTTGTTGTAGCTTTCAGCCAATGCAGGATGGGCAACTTTGGAGCCAGCAAATGCAATATACAGCTAGCAGTGATTTCAGGGCAGGACTTCAGGGCAAAAATCCAGTGCCCCATTCAGCAGAATGAAGAGGGCCCTCCATATGCAGCGAGGCTGACTCACCCCATGTGGAAGCAAAACATATTAACCTCTAACGAGGGGACTCCTCATAAGACCATTAAGTCTAGGCTGAGTCTAAAATTACCTAACTGCACTACTGTGCACAGCAGGTAATGAGCCTTCACCAATACATACAGAGATTCCTTGGGAAATGTGTTTTTATTTTTAGATCCTGGAACAGAACAGAACTCGATGAAAATGTGAGACAATGAGTTCTTAACATTATATATATATGTGGCTATGATGTACCTAAATTATCGTTGGTAGATGTGATATGCTGTCTTTTGTTAGATTTGTCTGTGTTTACGTTTTTATATTCTGATTTTGTTTTTGAGATGGGGAGATGGGAAGGCATTCAGGCAGTGATCCTTGGCGTGAGTTAGAGGAACTACAAGCACGCAACAACATCCCAGGCTTTGTCTACGAAGTGTTTGAGGGCATGCCATTTATTTTCAGCTTGAGAGTTCATTCTCCAACGTAGCTTTTTCTACTGATCCATTTGATTTCGCCTCTGTTTGGCTGCAAGAAATCAAGTCTATCCCCCACTCTGAGACCAACTCCGCAAAAAAGACTCTGTCAGCATGGTTACAGTTCTGTAAACGTTAAACTAGCATTGTGGGATGTACCTACAGCACTGCACCTCCCACCACCCCAGACTAATGTTTTAAAGGGCATTGTGGTTTCATCTCCCAGGCTGACACCTGAGCCACACGGAACACTTTTTCAGTTTGTCTATTTGTGTCCCTTGGTGCCCTTGTAGTACATATGATTACTTTTGAGTCTGGCAAAGGCCTGCATAGTTCAGCAGAATTTCTTAAAGCTTTGACAAGCTGGTCAGAGAGGGCATGACTCCAATTTTTGTTTCAATTGGTGGATGGTGTTTGAAAATCTGACCCGCATTTACAAAGGGCGGAGGCTAATACAACTGGGCGAACTTTCCTAACTGTAGTTTATCCAGTTCCAGTAATTTTCTCTTTTTCTATAGCAAGATAGATGGGCTCCACTTTCATTTTATATATTAGACATGCTTCGCTATTAGGCTTATTCATTGTTGTTCAATGGGTTTATCTTTCAGGTAGTTTGGAATGCATGTTTCTTTTTTCTGTAATAAAGCAACTTCTTAAGGATTACTTGGGCTGCATCCAAGAGACTGCTTATGGGCAGTTGTTTTGTGGGGTTTGTAGGTGAGCACTAGGGGAAAGCAGACTCCCATGTTACTTTGCAGACTTCTTTGTGAAACCTTTGCAATGGTTCAAAAGCTGCTGCACATTTCAAAAGCATTTGTACACCCCTACATTCACAGAGCTAGACAAGCAGCCCTCTGGGATGCTTCCATGATCTGGTAACCATGTTGCACCAAAGAACTTGGCTAAACAATAAGTAGGTGTTTTTTCCCCCCAGACACTACACAACATAGCTGCTCATGTGGTAGACAACTGCAATAATTTTTGTATCATGCTGAATAGAAGAAATGGGGGGGGGTAGTAATACCTCTATTTCTGTAAGCACATATTAAATTCCCAGGCACAATTTCACTGCTCAATTTTGAAGTAAATTTTGCACTCAACGTTTGAATTTGTTCCGAATGTGCCATTTTACTTCAAAACCCATCATGCAATAAAGCCTTATGATGTAAGATAATAAACAACATTGCATGGTGAATATCAAATATAGTAAAACACTAAATACTAAATGCATGCCAGCTTTCCATTACTACCAAAATGAAACAGCATATCAGCAACACTGAGCTGTGGGAGAGTGAGTTTTGGGATAAGAACAAGTTGTAAAACATCTGTAAAACATCTGTGAAAGAGGACTAGAGCTCTATATTTTCTCCTGCACATGGAATGCCTTGGAGTTTATTTCTCTAGTCATGTTTTGATTTCCTTGTTCCCTCTATCACAGTCTAGTCCAAAAAATGGAATCAAAGCAAAACTATTAACATAAAATTGGGCTCAGTTACTAGTAGCTCTGATTAAATTCTGATTAAATTCACTCCTCCCCCACCATCCTGCCACCCTAATGCTAAGTGGTCTAGTTTCTATTAACAGCTCTGCAAAATAGTGATCTTTTGTCGCAGTCTTGTGTTGAGCAATGAGTGAGCTCAGGGGAGAGGGAGGCCAGCCAATCGACAGCCTCAGACGTGGGCAGAGGGGGCAGCTGCCCCCCCCAAATCAAGTAAATAAATAAAAATACTTAAATGTAACTGACCAATTGTGTCACAGATAACTTGGTTCTGCCCCTCTAAAATAAATCCTGGCTATGTCCATGCTTTCAGAGGTGCACTTGCCTGTAGGCAGAATTCGTATCCAAAGTCAGGTCGAGTCCTAGGGTCAAGCAACCAGCAATTCACATTGTCAGAGGGTCCAGGGAATCCGATTTTCAAAGGTCAAGAGGAGCAAGAAACAGCAAAGTTCGGCCAGAAACAACAAGTGTTGTTGCCAGCATCTGAGTGAGGCTGGAAGCCCTGCTTAAGAAGCTAGTTGGTTCTCATCAGCACCTTCTCCTCTGAATCCCTGAAGGCTGATCAGCTGCACATGGAGTCACTCCGCTTTCTCCCCCCTCAGGCTGCTGTTCACCAGACAAAGCTGACTCCTGGCCCATGGCATATTCCCTCTGTCCTTCATCCGTTCCCAGCATCATGAAAGGTATTCTGCTAATTTCTAGGATACTGTCTGAGATGTCTCCATATCTGTCCATCTCATCTTCCTCCTACACTAGTGGGGGGAGAATAACTTCTGTAGCAGAAAAAGAGAGATGGGAGAGGTATTAAGATTGTGTTTGGAGAACTGATGGCCTCTCAACCTGGGTGGAAAGGAGACACCCTTCTTCAAATGCTATGTCTCCCTTGTAAAGGAAAAGGCTTGCTCAGCACACAGTTAAAATGAGTTGTGATTTCCTTATATTCCTCTGTCCTCCTGTTGGCAGGCTTGGGAATTCTGACATCACAATGGTAACCTGGGCGATACTGCTTACAGTGGTACCTCGGGTTACAGATGCTTCAGGTTACAGACTCCGCTAACCCAGAAATAGTACCTCAGGTTAAGAACTTTGCTTCAGGATGAGAACAGAAATTGTGCGGTGGCGGCGCAGCGGCAGCAGGAGGCCCCATTAGCTAAAGTGGTGCTTCAGGTTAAGAACAGTTTCAGGTTAAGAACGGACCTCCAGAACGAATTAAGTTCTTAACCTGAGGTACCACTGTATTTCAAACATTTCCACCATGGGGCAAATATCCCATTAATGAATTGGGGAAATTTTCTTTATTGGGTATGCAGATACTGTATAGCTTTTCCATCTGCCTCTAAACGCAGCAAAATATGTTATGCTCGCAATAATTTTTTTAGTGCACTCTCCAGCACCATTTAGCAACATTATGTATAATGCATTGGTTGTGTTGCGTTGGCCTCACATCATGTTAGGAGGCTGAATTGATTGCTGGTGTGATTAGAGGCCACCGATAGGAGAGGAAGTTAATCAACATGACCTAGTAGCTTTATGGAAGACATTGACTGAATTAGTCGTGTCCCCAGCTACATTTCTGGGAGTCAGATTTTCTTCGCCTAAGCTACCATAGCCTCTTCCTTTCCAATGAAAAGACCTAGTTATGAGTCGGGTAGGCAGATCTTCATCAAACTCTTGCTCTTGAAGAGTAAATTCTTTTAAGGTTGAAATGGGGGAAATGTCTCTGAAAGTAACACCCTTCCTCTTTGCCCTTATTTCCTATAATACCCTAGCCTCAAGCTATTTTCTCCTCCAATTCAGTCACCCTCAATCATCCCAAAGTCAGGGCAGTGTACATAATAATTCAGTGACATGGTTATTTCAGCAGCTCCTATTTCAATTTTAAAGTTTATAGTCCTTAGGCTAGAAATATACTTGGAAGTGAGTATGGCACAAGTAACTAATGTGCGACCCATACTGAGGTCTCCAAGTGATAGCTGGTGGTCTCTGCATCCTGCTGTCCTCCCCATACATATATATATATATATTGCTGCATATTGCCAGCAGGTAATACTGCTGTGATCCCTACTGTTACAGAAAAGTCCCCACTAATATGATAAGCAAAGGACAGCCATGGGATGCTCAGATTATATAGCCCTTAGGTACTAGCCACCCTCATTTGTGTGAACTGCTTAAAAGATTATTACCGTATATTAAGCAGTACAGTATACATTTTATAAATAAATAGTTATTCTGCACAAGCCCCACTGAAATGAATGAGGTTCATGTGCCCCAATAGACCCATACATGCACACCACCAATATTATTCATTTTCCTCAGCTGCCTCATCACACACCTTTATTTGTTTATATAAACATCTATAGACAGCTTATTTGTAAAAGTGTCCAACACAAAAACCATCACAAAAACCACACTAAACAGCATGTGGGATTTCTTCATTATATAGTGTTGACCACAGGAAAAAGTAACAAATGTTCCATTGAAAACAGCATGATTCAATAGAAAAATCTATTTATGTTACTACCAGATCTGCCTCTCCTCGTGACATCACAATTGGTTGCTCGAGATATGAATTGTGCAAGCTCCATCATAAGTCCCTGGAGTAACTGAAACATATCCAAGGCTTGATATTCCATCCGACTAAAGTGTTGCTATAGCATTTATATATATCCGCTCTAACCTAATATAACAAGCTCCCGCCAAAGCAAGGCAGGCTGCTTTCAAACAAAGATGTCACCAAACACAGTTGCCAGCACTTAAAGGCAAATAACTGCCAAGGGGGATGGAGATAATACAATAGTCTTGGGCTGGTAATTTTATTTAGTTTTTATTTTAGTCTCATAAAATGATAAGACTTGTCATCGTAATATCAGTTATAGGAATGGAAACAAAGCAGTTTACGGTCCCCCTTTACGGTTCATCAGATTTGCTTGCAGATTAGTCAGCATCAGCAAATTCTTTTTTATTATTATTTTTTGCTCCTTCTGTCACAGTCAGAGAATAAAATAACATGTGCTACGGAATACAGGTCAGCTCTCCTCATACGGAGCTCGGAGCATTCTTTGTTATTTTGCAACACCAGCAAGAATCTGAGCAACCAAGTCATTAAGAATGTAATGGATTTGACACAGACTTCAGATGCAATCCTCACCCTAGATATGTCAGGACGGACAGATTGAGATGTGGTGGATCTCTGGCTTAGCTGGTGGGTTCCTATCTCAGCTGGGCTATGCTGGCGTAATCCCCCAGCCCCATTGCAGCTGAAGATACACTGGCATAACTCCCCTATCCTGGCTCAGCTAGGGCCCAGCCAGCTAAGCTGAGCTTGACAAAATTTACACCAGTGTAAGCTGTGAAAGATGGGTGCTCCAGGGGAGTGGCTGGAGCAAGACCAGGCTGGGGGGGCGGGACTTACCGTATTGCAGGGCTGGCACACAAAGTATTTTGGCATCTGAGGCATACCACAAAAGATCCACACACACACCTGCCAGCCAGGGAAGGAGGGGTGGATGAAGATCTACATCAGAAACCAAGGGTGCCAGCTAGGGGGGCCGAGGGACCTTGTCCCCTCTCCCCCCCAAAAAAATCAGTGACAGGGCCCCTCAATATCCCACTGCAACAAGCCTGTGTACCTGTTAGGTACATCAAGAATAAGGGGGGGGGTGACCAACAACACCTCCTATTCGCCAAGAGGCCACTGTAGAGGCAGTATGGGGTGGGCAGATCTGGTCTCCAAGGAGTGTGCCACAGCTGTTGCTTGGAGGCTAGATCTGCTGCCCCTGTGAATCCTGCCGCCCGAGGTGTCTGCCTCATCTTGCCTCATGTGTGGGCCGGCCCTGCTCTGTTAGATCCAAACTCTATTCCGCTTGGTCATGTGACCTGGCAACGCAGTGTAAGGTATGCTGGCCCAAATAGTGGTGTATACAAATGTCTGTTTTATAGGCTGGCTGTAGCTCCACTCCTGAACAGAGTCTGGATCTGTCATATTTTACACCGTCTTAAAGCTGCACCAGCATAATTAATCCTGTTTTACCAAATTTAGGACAGCTCCCTTAGTCATACGTAGAGCAGACCATCTCTCTGGGTTGTGTCATTCGAGACTACAGTTGTGGTTTGAATGCCCCCCACAAGCATACAGAATTAGGATGTCAGGGAGAAGGTTCATAGCTAACTTTGCAGCGTGGCCATCCATATGCAGAGATGGCTTTGTCGCAACTGTGATACACAATCTGTGTGAATAGCAGAGGAAAGACAATACCACAAGTGATCTCTATTTGAAGAGGAAAAGCGTAGTAGGAAGAAATGTAGGTGGGGTGTGTGTTTTTTCCCTCTCCAAAAATGTAATTAATAGATTACATACCGGACACCTAATCGTGAGAAAGAATCTTTGGAGAGACATAGTAATAAATTGAATCTGACATCCAGAGTGCCAAGTCCGACTCTGAAGAACCTGATAGAGATAAATGGGGACCAATAGAAACAGACATCTGCGCTGCCACTTCCCCCTTGAGCTATAAGTGGGCTAATTGCCAAGAAGCAGAATTTATCTTATTTTTTCTGATAATGCTTGCTGCTACACTCAGATGCATTCGGGAATAGAATTCAGCAAAGCTCCCTGCAGTGCCTTGCTCCAGAATACCTTGTATCTTAACCCTTTCAGTCCTCGTCCTCAACCAAAACAAAGCCTAAATACATTTGACTGCATTTACTCATGTACATTCCTTGTTTCCCTATCAACCTTCAGCCAGCTCCACTGTTGCCACCAGTCCTCATCCACATGTATTATGCTTTTCAAGTACACAGGATAAACAAGTGTTTGGGGGTCTTTAACTCAAGAGTCACAGTATACCAGAAGTAAATGGCATATTTAGGGGGCCTCAGCAATGAGATGGCAAACAAAGCTTAGAATCGGAAAGTGTACAGTTTACTACAAAAGACAGAGATTAATATGCAGATAGAAGGTTGTTTATGCAGGCAGTGTATTTACAGACACCATAGAGGAATGCACACAGAGAGTAGAGTTCAAATAGAAATGAATGTTGCTTCAGTGCATCATAGCTGCCTGTGTAAAAGCTGGGAAAGGAAGATGGAGAGAGAAATATAAACATGGATATCCCAAGGCGGGAGGAACGGAGAGCAATTCTTCTCCAGGGAGTAACAGTAAATGAGTTTGTCCTAAGCACCAGGCCACTAGGGATTACTTAGGCCAGTGATGGCAAAAGTTGGCCCTCCAGCTGTTTTGGGACTACAACTCCCATCATCCCTAGCTAACAGGACCAGTGGTCGGGGTGATGGGAATTGTAGTCCCAAAACAGTTGGAGGGCCAAGTTTGGCCGTCACTGACTTAGGCAGTACCTGACCAGGTCTTAGAGGTCAAATGCCTTGACTCCTTGCCAACAAACAACCAGAGGGAAGCTAACAATGGGACAGCGAGTGCAGGTCAAACCTACAGAGGCTTCCTTTGTGGGCTTGCACTTTCTGGAACTATCACTGTGATGACTGCTGGAGAAGAAGGAGCATATAGTACTTCCTGTTCCTCTCTCCTCTATCTCTTTCTTGGGGCAGCAATGGATGCAGACATGCCTCTGTTTCCTCCAGCTCCAGGTGCATGCCTGAAGCTGGTTATACTGTAAATATAAGTTTTTACTGCTGTCACTGCTGTGAGCCAAGGCAAGAGTAAGTACAATTGACGCTTGGGTTGCAAACGTGATCCGTGCGGGATGCACGTTCGCAACCCACAGCAGAGCATCTGCGCACGAATGGGTTGCAATTCTGTGCTTCTGCGCATGCGCAAAGCACAATTTAGCGCTTCTGCGCATGTGCGACTCCCAAAACCCGGAAGTACTGGTAACCTGTTCCAGTACTTCCAGGTTTCGGCGGGTCCATAACCTGAAAAAACACAACCTGAAGTGTCTGTAACCCAAGGTATGACTGTAAATCATATTTTAAAACTTACTTT